TATATCAAAGAAAAGTTCAAATGTCAGAATTTTTATAAAGCATAATTTGAGATTATATAATTAAAAATTTCTACTTTTTACAAAACAGTAATTGTTGAATGATTATAAATGAATCTAAAAATAAATTGAAGTATTCAGAAGAAATTATTGTTTATTTCTGTAACTGACTATTGGATGGATTGGGACCATATTTATAATATATATTTAATAATAAATAATCGTTTTTCTTTAAATTAAATGTCAAATTATCAATATATTTTATAACAATAATCAAAATAAAGATGAAAAAAGAATTTTAAATATCAAAGAGGAATTATATAGGTATGACAGATATATTAAAAAAAATGATATAGATTACATTGCACTTTAAAAAAAGCATGACATTGAATTTGACAGTTTAATTGATAATCCTCTTTATTTGCAAATTTTAGTTGACTTTCTTTTTATTTTACCTTGATTACAAATGGCAGGATGCAAAAAATGTATAATTATTTAACAAAGTCTTACTTTTAATATTTCGAATTGACATATTTTTCTAGGCTTTTGAAGTTGTCAAAAAGTTTGTTGTATATATGATTTTAGCCATAATAATTTTAGAAAAGCTCTTTATTGCTTTATTAATAATATACCAGAAAAAAGAAACGAGATATATTTACTTAAATAAAGTTCTCGGGGTGTATATTTAATTATACTATACTTTATTTCATATCCTATTTACAACATTGAGTTGTTTATTCTTAACTTATTAATTTAATTAATTGTAAGTAAACAATCTTAATTATATTCATTTATTTTTTGGAATTTTATGTTTTGTAATATTATAATTAGAAGGAATTTATCATTTATAAATAAGTGAATAATCAATAGATGGTAAAATTATATGTTTTGATAGATTAAGAATAACAATTAAAGAATACATAATTTAATTTTTAAACTTAATTATCATTATTTTATTTTCAGTTGTTAAAAATTCTTAAATTGTTTCTTGGATAATACATTTACTTGTTTTATTGAGTTCTTCATTAAATACATTAAATTTATAAGAAAATCAAACTATTATAGATAATAACAAAAAATTTATTAATTACTTTTCTGATTCATTTAATATACTCTATGTATTTTATTCACTTATCTAAACAATTATTTCAACATAATAATTTCAAGTATTTATTTATACAATTTTTTCATTTCCTTTATTACTTAAAATATTTTTGAAACTTGATAGTTATATTAATATTAAATTGGAGCATTTAGCATTTTCAATATAAAAAACTAGCATATTTGCCATTAGTCAAATTTTAGTCAAAAAGTAAAATAATCATTTTCAACCTTTAATTTACAAACTTTACATTAATAATTATCATAAAAAAAAGTGTAGGAATGTAAAATGTATTTGCAATAAATAAATAACTTATATAGATCCAAGGGATGCAGCTTCACTAACTTAAGAAATTGATAAGGACTTTATTCATTAAAAATTAAAACAGATGAGAAGATTAATTTTTAATTAAAATATTATTAACCTAAATGAAATATAATATTATACCATTTTGTATGGTATATTATTAGCCAACTATGGATGGCCTATTTAATCGATAAAACATTTTAATTAATTAGTTTAAGGAAAATTGAATTCAAAGAGTTCTATTAAAAGTCTAAATTAAAGTCTATAATACCCATATTCTTTTTCAGCAACTTTAAGACATGATTCTTCATCATAGACTCAGATAGATCCTGGAAAGTATCTTGATACAATACAAAAGAGTAATAAAATAAAAACATAACAGTAATCAATTCCTTATTAGATTAAATTAGAATTCATTTAATTATCAAAAATATCTTACCTTTAAAATGAGATTAAGTAAAATTTGAGATATATGTTTGGCAATTCATAGATAACTGAAGAAATGCACAATCTATCTGAACAAATACAAATATTTATATAACAAGAAATGAAGTTAGATTAATATGTAAAAGAAATTAAGAAAATCTTAAAAATCAAATTAAAATATTTTGAAAATTTATTTCTATAAATAAAAGAAATGAGAATTTCCGATTTATTGAAGTCATTGATGGATATGACTGAAAAAATGATGTTATTTAAAAATGAGTTGGATGCCGAGTATGAAATCACCAAAAGCAAAAGATTATAATCTCTTTAAATTTTTTATGAAGCTGAAATTTTGTAAAACTATTTAGAAGCATTTAAAATACACAATTAATCTAGTCTATCAGAAGATTAAATACAAATTATTAATAAAGATCTAAACATTAATTTTAATTCAAATGATATGAGCTATATTATTTTTTAAATAGATGATGATCTTTAAAATGCAGAATTGAAACAATATTCTTCAAGTTTACTCTAGATAATTGACTCTAATTAAAATGAGGAATTAAATTTTGAAAAATTATTGTTACCATTTATTTTAAGGGAGCATCCCCTTCTTATTTCAAAGTTTTTTAAAATTGGATAATCAAAATATTTTAAGTAGTTTAATTAAACATTTATAAAAACAAAAAAAAATATGGCTAAAGCAGTTGTGTTTAGTTTCGATAATATTATTTAATAAAAACAAGATAAAATTATCTTAGTTGGATTACTGTAGGAAATTGTCATTCAATAAGCTTTTATTTTGGTTGATGTAAATTAAGTAATAGGGGGAATAACTAATGCTTTTTTCTCATTGTTAGGATTCAATTCTTAATTAATTGATAGAATTAATGACTTTTCAATATTTTATTAATTAAAAATAACTTAGATTTTTCCAAATTTTAATGATTTCTTATAAAATGAAGATTAGTAACCTATAATGAAATTTAATAATATAGATACTTATTTCATAGACTTAGAAGTCTTACTTAATGAATTTTCTAATGAAAGCAACACTACTTTGTAGTAGTAATATGTTGTTTTAAATAGGCTTTTGGGAAAACAAATTTATACTAAATTTTACCTATCAAACATTACTATTTAAGCCTATTAAATTTATGGATATTATTACTACATTATACAATTAGATTCATCATTTTAAAGAGCAGAATATTATAACAGCAGTAAAACTTAGGAAAGATTTAGCGAAGATCGGAGAAAATCAGAATAAATACCAAATTTTTAAATAAGCCATCTAAATATGTCTTTAGAAGAAGCCTAACCGGGAACAATAAATTAAATTTCAATTTAAAGTAGAGAAGGATATTTAGAAAAAAGTTAAATTAAAAATAATAATATTAACTTATATCATCAAGACTAATAAGAGGATGTAGAATAAAAGGTGGATTAATTTCTTATCCTTTCACCAAATAAAAGTACCAGTTAATTGATTTATAACTAAAAATATAAGTTTATTTCATAAACTTCACAGTAATATTACTATAATGTAAATAAAAATTTATAACAAAATCAATTAAATTAAAGCGATGACGATAATGAATAAAATATTAAAGGAAATCAACTAATAGATAAATTATATAGAGGCTCATTAAAAAGCACTGAATTCGGAATAGGTAACAGTGAAGTAATAAAGAAGTATGAATTATTAGGTAGATTAACTAAAGAGAAAACTCCTTAAATTTTAAAATTAGCGATAAGTACAATTATAATCTTTATTATAATATAAACTATCTGTCTCTCATTAGTTATCTCTATTCTTCATAATGATATTCTTCAATTTATTTCAGATATTGAGATTATAGCTCTACATGCAAGCATTTAAGGACCTCATGACTTATTTTTTTCAATGCGAAATACAATCTCTACATATTAATAATTGGGAAGTGAAGGCTACATTCCAAATTATATAGTGCCAAACTTGACAGCGCCATATGAACAATAATTAAGATATGGATATTATGAATTGAGGGATAGTTTATATCAATAACTAGAAAATGATTATTTGAAAATGTTTTTAGATGAAGAAGAAATGACATTACTATTTATGAGGAATAACGACACAGAAAATTATTCAATGGAACATATATCATTTAGAGAATGTCTAATGATCATACTATAATATTAATTTGCATAAATGAGACAATTTTAAAAGAGATAGAGCACTGCAGGATAACCATATTAGGTATTTCTTTTTTCAAATTATTACAATATACAGGATAAACTGGAAAGTATTACAAATGATATTTTATAATATTCTAAAAATAGAAGCTAAAATGTAGGAATAAAATGGTAAATAATTTGTTTAGTTTTCGCTTTCATTGTAATTATAAATATAATAGTTTTAATGATTGAACTTCATCAATATTATAAATTATATGATAGATTTTTATTATTATTAAACTTTATGGATAAATCAAAAATATCATTTGAAATTGAAAAACTGAATTAATTATATAAATTAATTATTTCAAATTAAGAATATATATATACATATTAGTTTGATCTTTAACACAAAGAATAAATGATGAAAAGTTATGTTGCTTCAAATAAAACTTCAAATACTAAGAAAAATGTTGAAAGCAATTCATAAGTTAAAATTACAAGAAGTAATATTTTTGTGTTTTGGATATTTTTAGCTTGCATATTTTAAGTTTATATAATAGTTATTTTAATAAAAACAAATGAATACATTAGTAAATATGATGACACAGCAGATTTTTACTTTATAATTTAAAATTTAAAATTCAGAAGTGGATCAATGTATATGTATAGAGAACATTTATTAAGATGGAAAAGTTTAACTTATTTAACAGCTTATGATTTAGAGAGAGCTTATTAATTAATAGATAAAGCATAAATGAATATATAGGAATATTTAGATTTTACAAGTTCATTTTAATCAAATAAGTATTTATTATCTGATGAATTCATTTCTTTTTTTGAATATTAATAAACTCATGATTTATGTGAATTTATAGACTAAGTATATATTATATTTAATATTTATAGATTTATATAGAATTTATGTCATTATATTGTGAAAAATCATTTGATGGATTATTGAAATCAGGTTCAATTTCAGTTCTTAATTTTATGTCAAATTAAATTAAAAATTAATAAGCTGTTAATAATTTTACTAAAAGAGCTGAAGTTAATCTTTATGAGTTGGAAGGATCATAAATTGTAATTAGATCATTTTTTAGAGTTTCGGATGAATTTTAAATTGGTTTGAAATAAATCACAACATAATAAAATGAATTCACTCTCATAATAACAATCATTTTCATTTGTTATTTGATTATTTTCTTAATGGTTGTTGTATTTATAATCAAGAATCTATTAGTAAAAGAATACGCTATGTTAAGAAGGATAGTATATTTAATTCCACAATAGATTGTTTTAGGAGATGAATCATTTGAAAGATTTCTAAAATAGTTAGCATTAACCTAAGAGTTAAAATGATTCTATGTAATAAATTATATTATAGAATTATACATATTAAGTATTTAAATAATTATGATATCGACTTTGATCATTTATAATTGAATTTAATTTTTAGTTTTTTTTTTAATTTTAAATTTGATAGACCTATTAATGAGAAGTATCTTAAAATGAAATAGGAAATACTATTATTATCAGTAACAATATTTTCAATCTGTTCTTAAAACTCAAAATTATTTGCATGAATATAATCATGAAAATTGAAAAAGATGATCAAATTCTAAAATTTATCTGGTTCTAATGTAAATCATATAATAAATTATTAAAAATATAATTGAAAATGATTTAACTTAAATATCAAGAATTATTCTTTAAAGCAGCTTTGGTTATATCGTAAAACATGAAGTTAGATAATTGAGAAAAACATAAAAATAAAATATTGAAAATTCATATCTCATAAGTGAGATATGAATTTAAGTATAAGATTTATTCAAATTTAGAACTTTGTACCTTTTTATTTTTACAACTATGAAACAGAAATTAAACAGTATGTATAAAATTGTTTGAATTTAGATTCATTATTATTTTTTGTATTTTTATTCTGCAACTTTGTTTTAATATAAATCTTTTTCATTCAAAGGAACATTTAAAAATTTATTGTGGGATCATAAACTTTGTTTCTAATTGTGAAGTGATTTTATTAGTGAATATCTTATACTAAAAAAATAATGGAGGTTTATGTCAAGTTATAATTATTAAATAATTAAATTAGAAAAAGATAAACTGTATTGTATTGTTACAATAATTACATATATATAAATGATAGTTATTTGCAAAAAAAATTTGACTAATTATTTATTTATAATTTTTATTATAATATGGATAGCATAAGAGAAAGACTTTTATAATTAGATCAACAAGCCTAACAATTCTAATAATAAAATAAATATTTAGAAGCTTTGAATGTTTTTGAGGAAATGCTAATGATAAAAAAGTCAGCTTATGGTGAGGATTCTGAAGAATATTTCAAAACAAGTGATAAATTATGTGAATTATGTAACTTAATCGCTATGATTTTCCTATAAAAAGAAAAATTTGATGCATCATTAGAATTTTTAAAGAAGGCAGACTTGTTAGCATAATCTAGTACTAGATATAAGTATTGATGTCTTAATATTTATTCATTTTTTATTAGAGCAATTACTTACAATAATTTAGCTTGTTTTTACAGAAGGAATGGGAAATTAAGGAGTGCTTTATAATATTTGTAATAAGCATTAGAAATAGAAATTAGACAGGAAACAGCACCATCTTTGGCTGATACCCATTTAAATATGTGTGCTGTGTTATCCTAATTAAATAGAGTAAGGAATGTTATATAATAGCACGCTGAAGCATTGGAACATGCTTTAATATCAGTAGTATTACTATAAGATGAATTTTTAATGAAACCACCAGATTAAAAAATGGAACAAAGTTAAAATTAAGATTAAAAATCAGTTGAATAAAAGATGAAAGATAGAGTTGCTGTGTTAGCAATAGCTTATCATAATTTAGGTGTTGAATTTGAATATTTGAAGAGATTTGATGAAGCCATTTAAACATACTAAAAAGCAGTCAGATTTGGTGAGTTACACCTACCATCAGATCATTAATTAGTAAAACTAAATTAGACAATTTTAGATTGGAAATTTAAAGAATGTATTGGGAAATGCTTAAGAATAGATAAACTAATAAAGAGCCAAAGATTCTAATAAGAGATAATAGAAAGAATTACAAAGTAGAAATCAAAATAAAAGAAAATTGGTAGAAGTTGAAGCAACATACAAATAGAGTAATAAAAAGAAGACAGAAAAAACTGTTTAGCATTAATAACAACAACAAGTAATGGGATAGACAATTCGTTCTAATCCATAAAATAATAGTGTTAATATTAGAGAGGATGATCAAGAATAATAAGGTGGTGCTCAATAAGAATCCAGTTATAATGATCATGATGAATTGTAATAAGAGGCTTAAATATAATTATAATAGCAATAATAATATTGAAAATATATATTCATATAAATATATATAATTATTTATTTTATTTTTAGATGAAGCAAAAATAATAATTAGAATAAAAAAAAACATTTAATTTATGACAGAATTAAATCATATAAGATTCTTAATGTAATAAAACACAGAATAAAGATTACACATCTTTGATTATCTTAATAATTGAAACTAACTTTGTTTAATTAAAATACTAATTAAGAAAGAAAATAATTGATTAATGCCATTAATGCTTTTAAGTAAATAATAAGAAAAAAAACATAGTAAATAGTTATTTATTTGTTAAAAACAATATTACCATCTTAATATTAAGTTAGAAATTAGTAATTACTAAATGCTTAATACATTATTATAAAATAAACTGTAGAAAAGGTAAAATTGATATCATCTAATATTAGAAATATTGATGTTGACATCATAAAATCTTAAATTATATAAGCCTTGCAAGAAATTATATGAGAATATCTAGATTGATTTTAGCTCTAAATCACTTTTTTTTAATATAAAAATAAAATTAAATGTAAATGATTTTTTCATATCCACGTTCGCTATCAATCAAAATAATTAGAAATAATCATAAATTTTCACATTCATGATACGAAAATGTTGTATTCTTTATGTCTTTCTAATTTATCTGATAAATAATATCAATGAAAACTTAAACAATATTAGAAAAAGTCTTTTTAATTCAATTAATAAAAACATTTTAAATTTAGAGGACTGCAAAAAATATATGGAAAATTCTCATAGCACTAGAAAATAACTGAAACTGCAATTATTTGAAAATCTATTGTTTATCCATTAGTTTTATCAGGTACCAAAATATTTACAATATCTCCTATTTTCACTCGGTACTTATTAATACATTACCTACTTATAATTACCCTAATTTAAAGACAAATAAAAGCTGTTGTATTAATAATTTAATTACTAATATTTTATTACCTATCTCTCAAGATTTGATATTGCATTTTGTGCTTAATTTGATTTACATGAGTCGCAATATTTATTAAGTTTAAGTTTATTATTAGTATTCATAATTTTCCCATTTATAATAGTGACTTTTATAAAAAAGAAACAAGTATTTTACTAGAGCTCTTTATTACATACATTAATAAACATTTCATCTTTAATTACATAAATATTTTAACAATATTTATATATACCTTTAACAATCCTTATAGTGAATAGTATTAGTCATGTTACACTTAATAAAGAATTATCGGATTAAATTCTTCAGGTATTTTTTGCTATTTTAACATTTATTTTAATTGTTTGTTAACAGATAATTTTATAGGTAATTTGCCTTAAAAGTTTTGACTTTAAATTGACTTCATTTACATAAATTTATGTTTCATTTTTAGATTATGTACTTTAATTACTGTATATAATTTAATTTATTAGTTACTCCTTAATATACAATATTAAAAATGGCTTGATAATTTAATCTATCTTAGTAATTTTAATTTCCTCTATAAAAATCTTGAGAGTTTTTGAATTACACACTTGCAAGTCATTTGAGTAAAATATTATCCTCTTATTTTCTTGTTTTGGATTTTTATTAGGATTTAATACATTGATTCTTTACCTTTTAGATGACTATGAAATTTTTGTTAATGTTCTGACATTAATTTTATTTTTATTGTTCTATTAGATTATAGATCAAGAATTCAAATCCTTTGAAATGAATCAACTTATAAAATATATCAAAATTAGTAAGAGATCATTTTTAAAATATTTATTTGGGAAAATGATAAATTAATAACTGAATAAGACTTAATAATATCTAATAAATGCTTTAATTTATTAACATTATGGATATATGAAATATAATGAAGGAAATACGTATGAAAATTTATTTGAAACTTTAAATTCTGAAGTTGAGTTAAAGTTTTATAATAAATAATTGTCAATTTTAAGTAAATTAATTTAGAATGATAAGAATTTTGATATTCAATATGTGTCTATCCTTTTTTAATTAAAATTCTATAATTTGGCATATAAATAAATTATGATTGCTAATAGTTAAAATTAAACTAAAAAGTTAAACTAGAGTTCAGATTTTTATTAAAAGGAGAGTGAATTGTCAAGATTATAAACATTTAACAATTAGGCAAAAGAATCTAATAGATCTATGAGTAAATCAGGTAAATCAAATTCGGAAGATTTAAATAATATTATTTAAAAGAAAGTATTAAAAAAGAATAAACTTTTAATATCTATTAAAGAGAAAATTCCAATGATAACTCAAGCTCAAATGAATTTCTTAAAATAATTGATTCGTTCGGATATTAAATCTTAACTTTAAATGATTAATAACAAAAAATATAAATTTATAGAAATATAACTAGGAGTTGAAATGTTTTTGAAAAATGAGAAAAGAAATAACAATTTAAGATAAGCAATACTTCAATTATTGTAAGAAAAGATTGTATTTTACTCTTAATTTGTAAATAAAAAGATATTAAATCATCAAAAGTTATTTGATTCTGCTAAAAAATTAAGTGGTTCAATGTATAATATTGAATAAAAATTAAATAAAAGATATGATTAATATCCAAGTCATAAAATATAATCTACATTAATTTATTTCTAGGCAGAACTATAAAACAATTTTATAGAAGCTTACAGAATAAAGAACTTAACATCAATATCTGAATAATAACTAATTGATATTGAATAAAATCTTTAAGTATCTTTATTCTCTAAGGATGTTATATATATTAATGCAGCTTAATTGGAAGATTAAGGAGAGTTATTAGTTTTAAATTGTTCTGAAAATACATAAAAATTTTTTGAATTTAGTAATGAACAATAAAAATAATTTACATCTATTAGTTGTATATTACCAGATTTTATAGTTAATGAGCATAATATATTAGTAAATAATTTTATTTAAACAGGATAAGCTAAATTTTATTTATCTTATTCTCCCTCATTTTATAAATCAACTAATAATTTTATTAAATGTTGTGATTTATTATTTGATATGCATTTTGATGAATATTATTTATTCAGATATTCTATTTTTTTATAGAATACTTCCACTACTTAATCTTATATATTTGTTGATGTCAATGAATAATTAGGTGGATTCACAGAAACTGTTTTTGAAAAATTAAAATATACAAGTACATTCATAAATGAAATAAGCGATTTTAATTTTAAAATATTAAATATTGAACTCATATTCCCTGAATTCTCAACTATTATTAAGCAACGCAAAAATAATATTAAAACTGAATTAAGATTTTTAAAATAGGATGTATTTTTTTAATATTTACAGTAAACTGATCATAAATTTACCATATTGGGCCTTTGGAATGATAGTAAAAATCTTAATTCATTCCAGGTTGATCTTAACATACAATTTTAAAATATATGGGACTTTAATTATTATATAATTGAATTAAGAGATTGTAAACCTTATTATTAAGAAAATATGATATCTTTATAAATTACTAGATCATAAAATGATATAGAGAATATGTTTTAATTGAGTTAACTTACAGAATCTGAAGCATAAGCTCTTGATGCAAAAGAATTTAAAAAAAAATCAAATAAATTCAATTTAATAGATTAAATATAATAAGAGGAAATAATTTTATCATCTAAAATACCTGCAGTTTATATTTAACATATTCCTTAATCAGATTTTGAACCAAATATCTTAAGTCCTAATTCTAGTTAAATTGGGCTAAACGAGATATCTTACTCAAAATAACCTTAATTATAATAATAAGATTATTTTAATTAAAGTGTACGTGATAATTCATACAGTATGCAAAAATCAATTCAGTAAATATAACATCAAAACATTCTTCCTATTGAATAAAAAGAAGATTTTTATGAATAATAATTTAAGAAAAATACATCTCTCACATCAAAATAAACTGGAATTTAGAGATCAATTTTTTATAAAAAATATGAATTAATTCATGATTCATTATTTTAATAAGTACCAGCATCAATGAATAAATTATTGTTTCTTATTCTTACTAGTTTATTGATCAGTCTTATATTTTATATTATTGTACTTGCTTTAGTTTCATAAGATTTAACTAGATTTATAGCTGAAATAGATATGATACAATTGCATTCAGGTGTCATGGTACCTCATGATTTTTATTTTCAAATGAGATTTACAATATTTACTTATACAGGATTCTTAAATAAAAAAATAATCACAAAAGACAGATTCAATAATTTAACTGATCTTTTGTATAATAATATGCATATTGGTTATTATGAATTTAAGAATGGATTCACTGAATAATTAAATAATTAATATCTTTAACCTTTTTATAATGATAAGAATGTAACTGTATACTACATGTATGAGTTTGGTTTAAATACTTACCCAGTGACTTATAATGTCAGAGAAGTGTTCTTCACATTTCTAACTTATTACTATGAATTTCTTTTAAGATTTTAAGCAAGGTTAAGTCCAGCAAATTAGACTTATTAAGTATTTTAATTTGCAAATGCTTTTAAACTACATAATCTTCTTGAGATTTTAGCTTAAGAAGCATGGGATTATTCGAAATAAAGAAGCATTGTAATAAAAGATAAATGGAATGAAATTTGGATGATTTTTTTAATTTTTAGTTTTCTACCTATTGCTCTAGCTATTTATTATGCAAAACTTTATAGATAACTTTAAGATAAATATTTGAATTTATTTAGATACTTTTCAAATATCAAAGTTTAAAGGGAGATAGATAAAACAAAGAATTTAATTAAATAATTAAAATAGAATCCTGACCGTCTTTATCATTATAAGTTTGAAGTAGAATAATTTGAAGAGTAAATAGTATATGAAAAGGGAATAATCGAAAAAGAATAACAAAAGTATAAGGAATCAAAATACTTACCCTAATTTAAACAATTACCTATTACCTTTTCAGTTATCATTCTTCTAGGAGTTTGGATATTATTTTTTTTATTCAGTTTTTTTAGTAATTAACAAGTCTAATAATATTTGGACAAATACCCTAATTCGTGTGATCTTTATAAATTTTTGTAAAACATGTCATTATCTACAGGATCACTACCCAGGAATAAAGAATTTAAATTAGCTTTTCCAACATTTCCATATATAAGAGATGAGGATGGTGTTTTATTTTATGAAACCATAAAAGATAGTTTAAATGATATTTAAGAGTTTCTTAAATTGTGTTTAAATTTTAATCCTGATTTATATTATTCATCAGAGGGATTTTCAGAATATTTTAATAATGTGCAGTCATAAAATGTATGTGATATTTTAGGAGATGAATAAGTTGGGTTCTTGAGTTATTATTGTAATGTTTCTTTTAATGGAAATTTAAAATTAGGGTTGTTGCCAACAATCAAATATATATTTAATGAGATTTAACAAGAACAATCAATTAACAATTTTACATAAAGAGTTGAATATACATTTTTAGAAATGGAGGGAGGATTAATTGTAATGAGGGCATTTTAACATATGAGTAAGGTTTTCAAGAATGGAATGGTGACGATAACTTAAGAATAAATCAATATTTCAAATGTAAAATATTTCAATTTAATATAGGCACTATCAGTATGTTACATTATCTTGAATATCTTACTAATCATATATTTTTCTGTAATATTACCATTGGTAATGATAAAGGAACTGATTTAAGTGAGAAGATTTGTACTAATTGTTCCAAGAACTGTGTTATTACTAGATGATCAATTTGAACGTCATGCTAGAATGATTGGAGTAAATGAAAAATACTGAAAATTTAATGAATTTTATTGGACAATTTATTATATAATTTATTTTATTAAAAATTCTTAAGATGGGTTCTTTTAAAAACACAATAATTATTATCTTTTTACTTTCAACCTGTGGATTGGGATCTCCGATAAGATCTATTACAGCTTATTAGAACTGTGATCAAAAATGGCATAAAGAATTATTGAATGGAGATCCAGAAAAGACTCTTTGTTAAAATGGTAGCTTAGTAAGTTGTATAGCTATGATAATGCAAACAAGTGCTAAGATAATTAATAATAGAGCTGTAAATCCAGCCATATTAAATAAATACTTGACCAATAACAATGGATATAAATAAGGAAGTGAAATTAATTTTTCAGTTTTGGACAATGTTGGCTTACATTTAGTGAGAACAGTATCAGATTTAAAGACAGCTATAGGTACTATCGAAGTTAAATCTAGAATATTATAATAAAAACTATTACATAGTATTGAACATAAATTATGGGAAAAACTATGGTGTTTTAATAGGATATAATGAAAAAGATGCTATTTATATAATTAACAATCCAATTAATCCATAGGAAAATAAAATTTAAGCCAAAGATATTGCTGTGGCCTTGATCTTTAAACCCCTTTGAAAAATTGGATAAATAAGAACATATATTTTATATAATATTTGAACATAATATCATTTAATACTCAATAATCGTCAGGTGCAATAACATCATCTATTTTCAATATCATCTTGACAACTTATGTGGCTAATTAGATTTACTATTTCTTTGAACTCAAAGTTTCATATATTCTTTATTCTTTCATATCAATGGTACCCTTAATATTAATAATAGTAAATACTAATTCCATGCAATCAATTCCAATTCTTGGATTGTTTTCTTTTAATTACAATGCCTTAGCTTGAGCAACTGATGTAATTGGGTTAAGACCACAATTATCTGCTAAACAACAAGGGATACCCTCTAAGGCATCTGCAAATGATCTAATGGCATATTATTCTACTGATGAAACCTAAAATATATAGATTAAATACTTCATCAGCATATTAAAGAACTTAGATAGCACAAGCTAATTCAGCTGAACCTCCTCCATAGACAATTCTATTGTCTTTAATTAAATTTCTAATGACACAGATTGCATCATGAATTGATCTTTTGGCTTCATCAACGATCATTTGACTTCCTCCTCTGATCAAAATAGTAACAGCCTTTGTGCATTGACAATTTTCAATGACTAACATTCTTTCGTTTGAAGTTCCGAATTATACTTCTTTGACACAACCAGCTTTTCCTAATTTTTCAGGTGTAATTTCTTAAAATCTTGGAATGATTCTAGCTCCAGTAGCCATAGCAATAAGTTCAACATCTGTACCAGATACCCATCTGACAGCAGGTAATTCATTTTATAATAATAAATGATTGGCTTCATCATCAAAACCCCATTAACATAATGCAATGTTAGCACCACTATTTTTGACTAGTTTGACCATATCAACAAAGTATTATTATTCCTATAAATATAATTTCTTATAATCATCTGCACTAGAAATATTAATATTGTGCTTAGTCTTAGGTTTAGGTGGTTCAAATGGACATGTTAATAAACAAATTTTGGCATCTTTTACCTCTTTGGGCATTTAAGGATGACTCATATCTTTGTCAATAAGAATTCCTGAAATTAATCTTGTGTCTTCTACACTTCCTCCAGTTTTAGTTTGAATTTTAATCAAATCCAAATTGACATCTCTCCTGGCTAAATCAGCCACATCCAAAACTGCAGTGACTGCAATCTTACCAAGTTCTCTCTTTCTTTTAGATACAACTTTTGAACCAAGAGCTGTACAAGCTGCTTAGACTAAAGCTTCATTGTCATTTGCTTAAATATCTATTTCTTCTGATATGGTTTCCAAATGTTCTATATTATTAGGATATGAATCAATACTTATAGCAACATCACATGCTCTATCAAATCCATCACTAATCTTCAATGGATGGATTCCTTTGTCTAATAAAGTAAGTGCCTACTCTAATAATTTTCCAGCCAACACTACTACTCCTGTTGTACCATCACCTATTTCAGCATCTTGTGATTATGACAATTCCACTAATAATTTTGCGGTTGGATGCTATATTTCCTATAATTTATTTTAAATATTTTTATACCATCTTCTCCACTATTGTTGCACCATCATTTGTTACTGAAACATCCCCATCTGGAGATACCAACATCTTGTCCATTCCCTTTGGTCCAAGAGATGATGATAATGTATTTGCAACAGCCTTGGCAGCCAAAATATTGCTTTTATATGCCTCCAAACCCTTCATTCTTTTCTTTTATCCTTGATCTCTTAAAATAATGTATGGTCTGCCATAGTCATCAAATGCTAAACTCATTTTTTAAATAAATATTTTTAAATTTAATCATCGTCCCACAATTACTGTAACTTTGTATATATATATCTAATATATAAATATAAATTACAAAAAAGGTGCCCCAATTTAATTTATTAATTATTAATATGCGTAATCGATTCCAAGCTTGCTCTTTCAAGAACTCAACAAATTCACTCATATTCAATACTCCACTCACTTTAAATAAAACAAGGTCATGTTAATCTAAAGAATTTGGATATGCTAATAAAAAAATGATCTATGTTACCATTATTTTACCCACTTTTCAACCTTACTAAAATATCATTTCCAAACTCAAGAACTAAAATATCAAAATACAATAAAGAAAATAAATCATAATGAGAAATAAAAGACATTTGATTTAAAAAAAAACCATCTTAGAAATCATGTAAAAATAAGAGTAACAACCAAAAAAAAGAACTAATAGGCATCATAATACTGTATTTTACAATCATTAGGCTAGTTCACCTACTCAACCTAATCTTTGTTCTAATGATACTAATTCAAATCCCTCAAAAGAAAATTCAAGGCATTCCATCTAATTACATAGGTACAATTCGCTTTCACCTCCTAAACTTTACATAGATAAGAGGACTACAAAGTTATAAACCTTTTCTTAAAGATTGAAAACATTTTACTTACCAATTACAGCGCCCTTTGATTCTTAAACCATTTTGAAGTTGGAAATGATACAAGATGGAAGAACTAAAGTCATTAAATAATAAGGTTCTCTTGATGATTTTTAAGTTAATATAAGATTATATAAATTTGAGGATGACGATAAGTATACAGATGAGTAAGGCAAAGACAAATAAACTAAACTTTTTACTTTGAATTAAGAAGAGGATGAGGAAGAAGAGTAAATTGACAATGATAATCTACGTAATTAAAAACAGTTATCCAATAATCAATAAAAACAAGCTTATAAAAATATATTAAAATTTAACAGGCGTAGTCTTTAAAGCCTAATAGACAAATAATAATTAGGAAAAAGTAGAATCAAGGAAATTTTGACTACTGGTAATTTAATATAATTACGTTTCAATAGAGTACAGTTAAAGAGCTATAACTGATAATTTGTCCCCTATGAATAATTGTATTCTTGGATATTCCCCAATATCTTCGATTAAACTCTTGGATGAAAAAAGAAAAAGACCTGTTCATAAGCTGCTCCCTTTAGATATTAATCCAGTTAGTCAATTTACATTTTCAAACATGATACCTCATTTGCCTCTTTCCATAATATCTCCATCTATATAGTCGACAAAAAATAGTAATGCAAAAAGGAAACTTACAAGAAAGATCATTAATGCAGGAGGAGTGAAGAAACACAAAAAAAATATTACTTTTGGATAATTGTTGATAAAAGTATGAAAACAAATCTGATCTAATGATTGATATATTATTGATATAAATTAACTAAATTAACAAATTTATTATATTTATTATATTTAGAGTGTGGAAATGCTTATTGATAATAAAAATTGAATTGATAATTAATAATAACATTATTAATTAATAATAAGAGATGAAGAATCTTTATATAAATATAGAAATTTTAATTGATAACCTTAAATAATATTAATGCAAAATAATCCATATCCTACTTCAGAGCTCAAAATAGATGAACAAACATTCAAATATTACAATTTGGTTGAATTATTTGGTGAGAAAGTAACAAGATTGCCATACTCAATAAGAATATTATTAGAGTAAGCAGTCAGAAATTGTGATGGATTCAATGTTTAAAAGGAAGATGTTGAAAGAATATTAAATTGGGAAGAAACATCTAAATTAGACAAAGAAGTGGCCTTCAAACCTGCAAGAGTAATATTATAAGATTTTACAGGTATTGAATTTCATATATTTTCTTAGGTGTTCCTTTAGTAGTTGACTTGGCAGCAATGAGATCATAAGCTCAAGTTATGGGTAAAGATCCTCAATTAATTAATCCTTTGTGCCCTGTAGATTTAGTGATTGACCATTCTGTACAAGTGGATTTTCATGGAAATAAAGATGCTAGAGAATAAAATGAATAGACAGAATTTGAAAGAAATTTAGAGAGATTTAGATTTTTGAAATGGGGAAGTTCAGCTTTTAAGAATTTTGAAATTGTACCACCAGGAAGTGGAATTGTACATTAGGTGAATTTGGAATACTTAGCAAGAGTTGTATTTGAGAAGGATAATCTATTATATCCAGACTCAGTAGTAGGAACAGACTCTCATACAACAATGATTAATGGTTTAGGTGTCTTAGGTTGGGGAGTAGGTGGAATAGAAGCTGAAGCAAATATGTTAGGTGAATGTACTAGCATGGTACTTCCTTAAGTAGTAGGATTTAAATTAACAGGATAATTGAGTGCTCATATTTCAGCAACAGATTTAGTCTTGACTTGCACAGAGATGTTAAGAAAGAAAAAAGGTATATATAAATATATTAATAAAAAAGTTGTGGGAAAATTCGTAGAGTTTTATGGACCAGGTGTATCAACATTATCTTTAGCTGATAGAGCAACTGTGTCTAATATGGCACCTGAATATGGAGCAACTATGGGTTTCTTCCCAGTTGATAACAAAACAATTGATTATTTAAAATAAACAGGAAGAAGTGAAGAGAAATGCAACTTAATAACTTAATATTTGAAAGCAGCACATTTATTTTATGAGGAAAGTTAAACAACTTTTAGTGACACTTTAGAATTAGATTTATCAACTATTCAACCTTGTGTTGCTGGTCCAAAGAGACCATAAGATAGAGTTACATTAAATTAATTGAAATAAGAGTTTTCTTAAGGATTGACAGCTCCTGTTTCTTTTAAGGGATTTAATGTTAAAGCTACTTAAGATGTTGAATTCCAATATTAAGGTTAGAAATATGGTTTGAATCATGGATCTGTTGTTATTGCAGCAATTACATCATGCACTAATACTTCAAATCCAGGAGTCATGTTAGCAGCTGGTTTAGTGGCTAAGAAAGCTGTCTAAGCTGGATTAGCAATAAGACCATACATAAAAACATCATTAAGTCCTGGATCTTAATGTGTTACATAATATTATAAGGCAGCTGGATTAGATGTGTTTTTGGATTAATTAGGTTTCCATAATACTGGTTATGGTTGTATGACATGTATTGGTAATAGTGGACCAATTGATTAAGCTGTAAGTGAAACTGTTTCAAATAATGATTTGGTTGTAGCTGCTGTATTATCAGGAAATAGAAATTTTGAAGGAAGAGTACATCCAATTACAAGAGCTAATTATTTGGCTTCACCTCCTTTGGTTGTAGCATTTGCTTTGGCAGGTAGAGTAGATATTGATTTTGAAAATGAACCTATTGGAGTTGTAAATGGTTAAAATGTATTTTTAAAAGACATTTGGCCAACAAGAGATGAAATTAAATAATTGGAAGATTAAGTTGTTTAACCATAAATGTTTATTTAAACTTATTAATAAATAAAATAAGGAACTAAAAATTGGAATGAATTATAAGTACCAAAAGATTAACTTTATTAATGGGATGAATTATCTACTTATATTCATCATCCTCCATACTTTTAAGGATTAAATTTAGAATTACCAGTTATTAATCCAGTGACAAATGCTTATTGTTTAGCAGTTTTTGGAGATTCCATTACTACAGATCATATTAGTCCAGCTGGTAATATTTCAGCAAATAGTCCTGCTGGTAGATATCTTAAAGAAAGAGGAGTTGCTTAAAAAGACTTTAATACATATGGTGCAAGAAGAGGAAATGATGAAATTATGGTTAGAGGAACATTTGCAAATGTTAGAATCAAGAACAAAATGTTATAAGGAAAAGAATGTCCTAATACAATATATGTACCTACAAATGAAGTTATGGCTATATATGATGCAGCTGAAAAGTATTTACAATCAAATCAATAAACTATTGTAATTGGAGGTGCTGAATATGGATCTGGTTCATCTAGAGATTGGGCAGCTAAAGGACCTTATCTTTAAGGAGTCAAGGCTGTCATTGCAATATCATATGAAAGAATTCATAGAAGTAATCTTGCTGGAATGGGAGTTCTACCTCTTGAATTCACAAATGGATAAACTGCTGAATCTTTGGGATTGACAGGACATGAACTATTCACTTTAAATGTCAATAAAGATAACATTAAAGTATTTTATTAATTTTAATTTAGGTTAATCAAATTGTTGAAGTTGTTGTAAAGAGATCAGATGATACCACTTTCAATTTTAACACACTCTTGAGATTGGATACAGATGTAGAAATAGAATATTATAAGCATGGAGGAATTTTATAATATGTTTTAAGAAAAATATTGAAATGAGTTTATGGTATCAAATAAAAATTTATATATGTTTATTTTATTTTATTTAACTATTGCTGTTGCCAAGTTCACCAGAGTCACTTTTCCTGTGAATGACATAAGAGATAACATTTATTTCCTATAAAAATATGGGGTTGATCTAGGAAAAGGCACATTCTCTTTTAGAGCTAGACTAACTAAACCATTTGATGAATAGACAGATGATTTTGTCTATTTCAGATTCCACATATTTACTGATGATTATTGGCCTATGTAAAAAAGGGAATCTAAATGTACCAATAAAAGATCATTGGGCACTTATTAAGAAAGAGAAAAATTGCCATTAAATGGTAATTGGAGTAACCTTAAAGAAAAGAAAATAAATTTGTATTATAGAGATAAAATATACATTGTTGCTACCTCAGATTGTGATGGAGAATTAGCAAAAGTAGAAGGATACTAAATTGAAATTGAAATTACTTCATTAAATAATGGATCTCATTTTTCATGTGAAGATAATGGAATTTAAAAACTATATGGAATACAAATTATTTGCAGTATCCTTATTGGAGCCTATTGTATAATAAAGGGAAAGGATGATTTGTTTATTAAGTATGTTATGAGAGTACTTTTAATTGATATCGTTGCTGAAGTACTATTTCTACTGCATTATACAGTCTATTCCTATAATGGAGTAGGAATCTATTTCTTCGATTTATTAGGCAGTATTTGTAATAATGCTTCCCAATTATTATTTGCATTCCTATTTGTGGCATTATCATAAGGATGGACTATTACAAAGTAAGAACTCAATACAGTTTAATTCTTTCCATTCATTTCAATGATAGTGATATATTAATCTATTATTATGATTATTATAAAGTACTTTGATGGAAGTGAAGATAAATATCATAATTTTTATGGAATTGGTGGATGGTTATTAATGTTGTCAAAAATTGGATTGACATTTTTATATGCTATTGGAATTTATAATTTATCTAAGTAAGTTAAATAAAAACAATTTATATTTTTAATTGCTATAGTTGGAATCTTATATCAGATTCACTATCCGGTTGTAGTATTTATTTCAGAAGTATTTGTGGTTCCTTATTGGAAAAATAGAGTTATTACAATGACCACAATTCTTGTTTCACATTTATGCATGGTTTTTTGTGCATTTATTTGCACTACAAAATCCACTGCCTATTTTTAATTGAAAAATTAGAGTTAGACTATAATCTGAATTATATATATAAAAAGAAAAAATTATAATATATAAAATATTTATGTATTATTTATTTATATTATTGTTAATTTATTACTCTATTTAATTTAAACAAATAATATACTTATATCCTATATATATAAAATTAGAAGATATAGGCATTTTAGAGATGATTACTTTAAATATTGTAAATAATTATTATTTAAAAATATTCAATTTAACGATCACTATTAAAATAATATGAATGTTTAATTAATTTTAAATTAAATATTCAAATATTTTCAAACTTTCTTTATTTTTATATTGACTTTTAAGAAATTTTAAAAAATTAAGTTTAAATTCAAATCAAAGTCCTTAATATTAGAGCAATTATAATAATCTTATAAATCTTCTTTAAATATAATTACATTTAATAATGATATTTAATAAGATGTATTATATTTTTTGAATAGTGCAATTTTCACATATATATATATGTATATATATCATTAATCAATTATCTTCAGCATTCTCTAATATACAAGTATAACCAGGTTTATATCTAGCATTTTTCATATAAAACAAAGAGATATTTTATTAATTTTGAGGTCCAAATCGTTAATCTTATTATTAATCATCCTATTAAAAATTAGTATAATCTTAATCCTATTATTGTTCAATGTTATCTAAAGAGGGAAGAATTGGAAGAGCAACAATAAAATAACGATGAGCCAAAGCCTAACTTGCATTAGGTCTTTTCAAAGGATTATAACGAAGCATTTGAGATATTAAATCAAGAGCATCATCACTAGCTTATGTAATAACTTATGACAAAGGCTTTGGTTAAATGTTCTTTGGAAAACGATGTTATATTTTAGCAGCTAATTTATACCCTAATTTTTAGATTATAAATATATATACCATCTGGCCAATCTTATTCTGAAGGTGTACCCATGATTTCACAAATCTTTTACAATTAATCTGTATCACAAGTACCTGGGAATAGAGGCCATAATCTATATAACTCAGCCATTATACAACCTATTGCAAAAATGTCAATAGGAGAGTTGTATTCATTAGATCTCAAAATTACTTCTGGAGCTCTATACCATCTTGTAGAAACGTAATCTGTAAATGGAGGAGAAGATCTAATGTCTCTTGCTAATCCGAAATCTGCTATTTTTATTGTGCCATTTGATTCTAACAAATTTTCTGGTTTTAAATCTCTATGGAAGTAACCTATTTTATGCCTATTATTTTAATAGAGATATACATGTATGCCAATCCTTATAAAGTCTAATATATAATATTCCTAATATGAATCTCATTAAATGGCTTTTATCTATCTTTCATTAGATGATAAACATTGCGTTCCATAAATTCAAATACAAAATGCAATTCATCGTTTTGTTTAATAATTTCATACAATTTCACAATGTTTGGATGATGTAATTTCAAAAGTGATTTGATTTCAGGAAGATTAATGCATTCATCCCATTTGTTATATTTATGTTTCATTTTCTTGATAGCAACAATTTAACCAGTTGTTTCATCTACTGCTTTATAGACTGACCCAAAGGTTCCATCACCTAATACCTTACCAATTTTATATTTATCCATTTCTTTTTGATAAATAATATATTAACGTAATAATTATTGAAAAAAATTCAATTTCCATTAAATGAAAAGTCTCCTAATTTAAACATGTTTTATAATATATATAATAATTCATAAATTAATCTACTTTTAATGATATATATAACAAAATAATTAAAACTAATGGTTATAAATCTTAATATAAAATAAAATCATCCAGAATCAAAAATATATTATAACCAATAAGGAAAATACAATTAAAATAAAATATAATATAATTAAGAAGAAAATTACAAACAAAAAAATTCTATTAAACAATAAGAATGAATTTAAATAATCAAATAATAATGTATAAATAAATAGTATTGATATTCTTTTAACAATCATGATTGAATAATAATAAATATACACATAAGAAACCTATGTTCATTTTAGTATAATTGAAAGGTATTAATAAAATATGTATATTTTAAATACATCTAAGTTAGAATAAAATGAACATTCTTTATTAGATAAATAAACATTGGCATGTAACATTCATAAATATTATCATTTTTAAACAACTAAATGTGATAGATTATTAGAAAAAAGAGTTTAAATGGATTTAAGAAAAAATAATGTTTTTTTTTTATTGAAAGTTTTTCTAATCAGAATCAATTACCTTGTGAATTTAAATATTGAGTATAAAATGAATTATTCAATTTGTTTGATTGAATAATAATCTATTTTCTGCAATAAAAATAAAATCACAAAATTGTAAAGTTCATTGAGTAGTCCTAGTAACAAGTAGAGTATATCCTTATTTTGTAGATAAATATTTGGTTGTAGTATCAGTTCCTTTTTTATTGAAAGTTAGAAAAGGAGTTTTTCTTAAAGGTTTAACAAGAATTGATTATGCAACATGATCATTAATTTTAGTCCCTCGACTATTCGATCTGCTACTCCTATTTATAAAACTTCATAATACCTTATAGTTTATAAATCTTGAGTAACCTTATAGGTTTGAATGGTATTAATATGTTAGATTTACATAGTAGTATGAAATGTGAATGCTTCATCATTTATATTAAGAGTTTGTTCCTTAAATATATTAAAATTTATTACTAGAGAATGTTGATGATTATTCAAATTATTTTGTGTTGGTTATGCTTATTTCTTTTTTACATTTGAGCAACAAAACATTATTAATAAAAATATTAATTCAATATTAATAAAAGAATTGATTATCATTATCATAATCTATCTAATTACGATTAAATTGAAGTTTATAATTAAAATTTACTTGACTTTTATTCTATCTCTTTAAATTTTTAATACTGGTTAATTTATTATAATTATAATATCATTTTTTATCTTTAATTTTTAATTAGATCTACAATCAATTAATCCATGATTTCTCAGATTGAAATCATGATCTATTTATTCAAATTTTAAACTTTTTATGTATATAAATATAATTTATATAATGTAATAATTTACAATTTGAAGTATATAATTTACAAATAAAATTAATTCATTTTTTCAGACTTCAATAATATTTTGAATGTATATAAGTATAAACTCATCATAAAACCTTCTTTTTTAATTCAATTCTATTTTTTAATAATTGTATTAAATATTTACATATCTAAAATAAATTTATTATATATATTTATTGTTAAAGAAACTTAATGTTATTAGAAATAATTATTTTTGATTTTATCTATATTTTTTTAAACAAATTAAAGTATATAATAAAATTTATATAAAAGTCTAAAAAATGATGTAATTAAAAATAAGCGAAAGAATATGAATTAATTATTTAATTATTTATTGAATATTATAAAATGAATCTATTCAACTTTTGCATAATTGTTTTCCAACAAATGCCTTATCAATATGACCCCATAGATTCTCATTATAAAAACAATAGACAACTCCACCTCTAAACCATTAAGATTCTTATCTATTTAAATCACTGACACAAACATATTTATCTTTATTTTTTTTTTCTGTTGGCATTCTTTTTGGAGGAGGCTCTAATTCTTCAGAATCGTCTCTTTTCCTTTTTCTACCAAGAAGTTTCTCTTCTGATTTTGGATGATCAACATCCATGGAATCATCAGGTTTTGGAGAAGCATCTTCCATTTTTTCATCTTCTTCTTCATCTTCATCTTCTTTTATTACTGTATCTTCATCTACATTTAATATTTTGCTTCTTTAAAGATTCTTAACACTTGTGAATATTTAACCTTTTAAAGATGGATGTGAATAATCTGTTGTGATAAATGATTCACCTTTTGAAGTAGATGCAGGATCTCTTGGAAGGGTTATACCATATTTTGAATGATCTTTAGTGTACAAATATGTAAATGTAACTTCTTTATGTTTATTTTTTCCATGAAATGACACTTAATGATTAGATGAAGTTTTATATTTTTTACATACTGGGTCATCTAATCCTTTCCCTTTTTATCTTACCCAGGTTTCCATAATCAAATCTTATTAAAGTTCTTCAGCTACAAATTTTGCATAAAAATCTTATTCAAAATCTTCATTTTTTGAAAATATCTTAAATTTCTAATTTTCTCTTGTAGTGAATCTTACATGACTATAAAGAGTCTTTATAAATATAAATAAGTATTAATACAGTTTTGGAATAACGATGATGTGATTCACCCTTTCCAGGTTTTTTAGTTGACCATAACTTGTATATATTTGGATAATATCCTCTACCAAAAATCTTAGTAGGAGTTTAGCTGACTTTATAAATTTAAATTTCTGCCTCATAATAACTCTCTGCTAAAATCTCATCTATTTTATCTGTTGTTGTAGATAAACATAAAAAATGTTATCCGTTTCTAGCAAAATTATCTTCTACTTTGTCATCTATTCTAAAAATATTATATTAAAGTAATACTATCCATATTCATTCAATTTTGGGAATCTTGGTGTTGAATGAGATATTATAAAAGCATTTTTTTTATCTTCTAATCCTGCTCTCATTATACCTTTAGAATGAGCATGATTTGAATAAGTTATTTCACTATTAGGTTAATCACTCCATAAAATACTAATAAATTTATCATCTGTAAAATCAATTGTTTTGATTGTCTACATTAATGGAGATGTAGCAGAATCCAAATCATCATCTTATAAATTGAATTCTTTGCAATCATTTTCTTTATCACAATAAAAATATTCCAATCCTAAATTCAATATTGAATAGTTTACCTGTCCATTTTTGTTTGCTATTCTTTGGCATTTTTAAGATAAACCACCAATCTACTTCTTATCCTTTTGAATTTAAACAACTTTAAGAAAGTGTAATAAGAATCAATTATGCAAGTACAAGGCACTACAATATGATATGCATTTAGATATATTTTAATTGATTAATATATGATCACATTCATAAATATATGATATTACATTTTATACAAATTAATCACTGTCAATTGTATGACAATATACTCAATGGTATATTCCATTAGTTAGATATTGAAATTAATCATAAAGTTTAGTACGAGAGTCTTCTATGCTCATTTAAATTAATTTATCAATCTCTTGTCTACACTAATTTATATTATTAAATTACAATTTACTTATATTTCAGTTTTATTCAACAAAAATCTTTATTTAAATTCAGAAAATTCAAAAAATTTAAAACAATTAAAATTGCTCTTTTCCATCATTATTTCAATAATTTAAAAGATTGAAGCACAATATTTTCTTATTTCCATAAATCCACTAAACATTAATCTTCTAAAATATTCAAACATACTAGAATTTTTATTATCCATAATTTCTAAATAATCTTTTGTCATCTTAAATGGAGCTGTCTCAAATCCAGCATTACCTGGTGAAATTGAAAGTGCAAATCCAAAATCTATATGAATCAAATGTCCTTAATTATTAACCAAAATATTTCCATTATGTCTATCCTTAATTTTCAAAAAATAACAAAGTAAAGAATATCCTGCTAAACTTTCAACAAAATTCTTTTGAGCTTAATGATAATCAGAATCAAAATATTATTTATAAAATTAGACCAAACTTAATTTTTGTTTAGCTAAATATTTCTTCAATCCATCCATTGAAACCGTATTTTATACAAATTCTATCAAATAACTAAATATACTTTACCTAATATACCAGAATTCTCAGATACAACTATTATTTCATAAGGCTTTAAAAATAAATTCAATTAAGCTGATCTAAATATTTCCTACATTTTTTATATCACCTACATAATTAATAATTCTTGTCTTAAATCATCACCTCCTTTAACCATTATTACTCTAATCTTTAATGATTCAAAATCTTTAAATTTTGATTCTTATTTTATTCTTTCAATCTTATCTTACCAATCTTCACCCCAAGGATTTAAATTACTATTTGATTTAATTTGGATGTAATTTATTGATTATCTCTATTTTATAGGAGATTATATAAATCCTTAGATTTGTTAATTTTATTCTACTACACCTATATTTAAAGAAGATATCTTTTGTTCAGAACCTTATGATGATAAACCATCTTCTAAATCTTTACTTTTTTAAGGACTATGTATTTCTTAACGTTCTTCAGATAATTATGAATTTTCAGTATCTGACCAAGAATTACTTCTCTTTTTAATTAATTCTAGATTTTTGTTTAATTCTATATTTTAATTTAAATCATCAAAATCCTTAAAACTAGAACTCTAACTGTCATATTTTATTAATTAATTGTAAATCATATCTTACTATTTCTCATTTGTTAATTGTTTCATTTATTCTTCTAAATTATTAGGAACATCCATCTATATAAAATCTTCAGAATCATTCAAAACATCACTTTCATTCTCATCTACTTTTGTTGAATCAATTTTTGCTTGCTACTCTATGATACTGATAGTTTCAATTACTATTCTATATGGGACTCTAGTTTTAGTGTTAAAACAAGCTGCTCCCTCTTCACATATATTTACCATCTTTTATTTTTTAAATGAAAAAATACTAAATTAGATGCTTCTGAATATTCATTCTCCCTCTCAAATGGTATTATTATTCCTCTAAAATAAGCTAAACTTCTATTCATATTAGTCATTCTCTTTATAGCATTATTTCCCTTTTAAATTTATGAATATAGATATTTCTTTCTATTTTCATTTTCAATTGATTTTAATGTCAAGGATAATTAAATCATTTAAATAATGAATCGATCTTAAGCAATCATGTAATGAGATCTAAATTCCTTCTCCATACATTATTTCATCAATTCTAAAAATGTTCAACAAACAAATTACATTCCTAAAATTATGGATTATCTTTATTTTATTCAATTTGATCATTGTTCATAGTTAGAGCACCATTAATCATTGCTTTTTCTAATCGCTTAAATAATTAAATACAAATTTACTCTTTAAAATGATTCCAATTTAGAATATGTTTTACTATTCTTTTTTTCATCTTATGAATAGGCAATCAAACACCAAAGTATTTTAAAATAATTTGCAATACATTAAGAACTTAATGATTCTAAGAATGTTTCCATACTTTAAGACCCATTTTTTACAACCATATATCTAGATATATTATACAAATTTTACACAAATTATGGTATATAATATTCGATGAATTTTTTAGGCATATGATACAATCTATTAGTTAAATATTAATGAGGTCCAGCTTCATTGAAAGTGGCCATAAAATAATGTATCAATATCTCTGGAGTAAACTTATCTGACTGAAAAATAGAAAGGACAGCCTTTGAATTTTATAAGGTTTTTATTCTTTTACTCAATTCTTTAGTGTCAATATCTAATTCTTAAAGAGTTCTTGGTAATTATTGATTATTCATAAATTCCTTAAATTAATTAAATTAAGGAACTTAATTGTTATTAAAATTATCATGCGGAATGATTGTATATAATATTACAAAAGAATTAATTTCATTGATCATTATTCAAAATCATCATCAGCATTTGGATCAATTATTCGAGCATTTTCATTATTTACTATATGACTAATTAATGATTAACCAGATTAAAGCTTTTAGAAGTATTAATTTCTAAATTCTGAAAAATGATAAAGTAAGATCTCTTCATAAAGCATATCTAACAATATATATCTTAAATTAATATACCTTTCAATTGTTCTTTAGTCAATTCATATTTTTCAAACTCAAATTCCAAAGGATTTACAGGTAATGATATTGGCTAAAATTAAATAAGAAAAATGCATTTACTTCATCTTCTTCACTATGTAAAATTTATAAAAATGAATGTTTTAATGCTTATGCAGCAGTTAAACGATCTCTATGATCAAATTTCAATAGTCCTTTCAATAAATCCAGAACTATTAATTATTATTTTATATATATACGATCTTAATTAATATGTCCAAATATCTAATTTAATCCAATACCATTTTAATGACCATACTCTTGAATTATTTTTCTTAGATTTTATTGTACTTTTAAATCTGGAAATGATTAAATATATTATTCATTTGGAGTTCCTAATAATTCAAAAATCACTTTGATTTAATGTTTAGTAGAATCTCCTCTTAAAAAAGGTCTTCTAAGAATCATTTCAGCTAAAATACATCCAACTGACCAAATATCAACTTAAAATTATATACTTTAATAATTACCAGCTGAATTATAATTCTGATATCCAATTAGTAATTCAGGAGCTCTATACCATCTAGTTTCAACATAATAAGTCATCATAATATTATTTTAAATATTTTCTGCTATTGCTCTACCTAAACCGAAATCACATATCTTCACATCACAACTTCTATTTAATAATAAATTTCTTGGTTTCTAAATTTAATATGATTATTACTAAATCTCTATGCAATATGCCAGCTGAATGTAAGTACTTTAGACCTCTTAATACTTAATAAATAAACAGTCGCATATGATCATCATTTAAGATTGAATCACTTTTTATAACTTAAGATAAATCTGCTTCCAATAAATCCATCACCATATAAACATCTTCAAATTCTTCTCTACTAGGAGGCAATAAAACTTATTTTAAATCTACTACCTAAAGTTTCTATAAGAATATCTATCATACATTATCATGTCTTATTAATCTTAGTATTTTCAATTCCCTTAAGGTTCTTTTTGCAAATAGTCGATGATTGAATGTTCTTTCTATTTTTTTTATAGCAACAGGCTTATTTGTTAATTTGTCAATTGCTTGTATTACACAACCATATGCCCCTTGACCAACTAATTTTATAAAATATTTTTTTACTTATATCAATCGGCATATATCTTTAATCTAAATAAAATGTATGCCCTTATAGAACATGTTTAGCACTTTCGAACTATTTTTTGTAAGGTTTATATAAATCTATGATCTTTTAGGGTACATTTGATTCTATAATCATATTAATAATCTAATTATTTATATTTTGTCTAATTGATTGCTTTATATTAAAGTTATAAATCAAAAAGCTAAATAAACAAATAATTATCATTTTTATTTTCAAAATTTTGCATTAAAGGTCTCAAAATGTTTATTCTGAAATTAAACCACAAATTATTTTAGAATTAATAATATGTAGCTATATTACAAAAAACATTAACTTTAAAGAATGTATTAAAATTAAATTAGCTAAACATGCATTTTAACATTTATTATGATAAGTTTATAATTAGTTTTCATGATGTTGTGAACTATTTAACTAAATAAATTGGATTATTTTTAGAATTCCTTGTGTATATATTAAATATCGGATTGATGGATCTAATTTTCACATAATATTTGTAAGACTCACTTATAAAGAATTAGAATTATATTAATTTAATTTATTGAGAAGTATCATAAAATTAGATTTTCATATAATAATCTTTAGAATCACTACTAATTAATTATTACAAAAAATTTCACAATTTCAATTCACAATTTATTCTAAATTTCTTATTAAAAATTCACATATCAAATGAATAATATTTTAGCAATCTTAAGAATTACTTTAATATTTAATATGATAATTATATGAGATTTAATTCAACAATAGATAACAAAAAAGTTTCATATATTATTTAATAATCATATATTCTTTTTCTATATTTTAATAATTCCAATATCCTTATAGATTTAAGAAATCATTAATATTGACTAATGCATACAATCTTAAATAATTTATTATTGTATATAGTCATCATTTAATTAACTAAAATAATGAATTTTAAATTAATTTTGAATAATTGTGATTATTAAATATAAAGCTTGTCTTGAACATAATTTTATTGAATATGAGAACGTAGTGTTTATTTTGTAAACAATATCAAACAATTATGTTTGAAATTATAAAATTATGAATGAATGATCTTAAAAAGATTGTTTATAATTTTGTCCATCTACACTGTTTAATTGATTTGACCTATCATTCTAGAAAATGGAATGAAATAGAAAATACCAAGAGAACTTAGATGTAATGTATATTTTATCAAAATCTCAAGTCTGAGAAAGAATTAATTGTATGAGCAATTCTTTAAATACAGTAATTTACATGCATTATTTTATTCAGTTTTTCGATAATGATTTAAAAAAGTCTGAACCAAATATGATAATTATAAAAATATGAGTCCGAAGTTTCATTATGCTAATAAATGTCAATTTCATAAGATTTTTATATATGAGATGTAATTAATACACTTCAACTCTTATTCGATTTTGCATAAAAATCATACTCATTCACAAGTTTGCCATTAATAAGAATTCTCATAGTTAGGTTTTGCTATGTTGAATTCGAAATTGGCTTGACTATAGCTTACTTAGGTGGTCTATGCCTCAAAGTATAAAGTATTGTTTTGGCTGTGGAATAATTTAAACTACAAATAGCAGCAGCCTATTGTAAATTATATACAAATATAAGTACATCTTTGATCCTAAGCTTTTTATCGAGCACAAGAGAAATTAACTAATTCTTTCTATCAGGAGATATATGACAGTATTTTCTTTTGGATTTTTGAATAGAAGGCTGGATGCCTTTTTATTACTAACGAGTTTTGACTCTGTAAGTATGGAGTGAAGATAGAGAAGCATCATCGAAATTCATCACAATTCTTGAAATTAGAAGTGTTAAAAAAAGATTTTTTAAATAATTTTCCAAAAGAATAAATTAAGTTATCAACTCAGATACGGGAAATCAAGACATGAGTAATGAAATAAATAATATTTCGTATTTTCAAGTTTATAAAAAACTTATATTTAAAAAAATAATAGTCTTGCAGACATAAAAAAAACTGAATCAATTAAATGAAATTGATAATTATTACTATAAATTAAATCACAATTTTGGGTGTTGACTCTTCAACATCTCCACAACCTCAACAACTTCTTTACAAATATTCTATATTGATTTCAAATCTGCATTCTAATGTATTGGTAAATATAGAATCTAATGTAAATCTATTGAATAAAATTACATTTTTAAAATATGCTAAAGTACTGTTCGGATATTAGTAAGAACTTCCAATAGGACTTTCAACAATATCCAATTATGTCACTCCCATATAGGCATCAATTCCCCTTGAATTTAAAACCTTATATGTCGTTTCAGGATCTTCAACAACTACTGGGTAAAGCCTGAGATGAAAATAACTTTAAATTTCTATTTTACCAAAATTTTCTCTCTTCAACAGCATGTCCTGGTACAAGCAAACCACCTTTCTTCAAAATACTCTGACCAACTAATTATCTAGATATAGACATATTAAATTAATCAATATCAAAAGTTTTCTTTCGCAAAACCAACATAATCAACATAGGATCAGGAACTCTAAACCTATAAGTTTATAGAATATCAGCTGGGTTTTTTTGGAATCCTCGAATACTATTGACTACAAATTCTTTGTAATCCCAATTAGGAAAGAAATTGCTAAAAATCCATCTTGAACTTCTATTTATTGTTCTGCTATTTAACAAAATCATTGGGATTAAATTTTTTAAAGTTCTCTTGAAATAGCTAAAAGTTTTAATTAATATCTTACTTTCTTTATGACCATTTTGGATAAAGTTTCTTGAATTGCTTTCATTTTCCTATAAAGTGCTTCATTATTCCTAATAACACTAATAGATCCTCAAAAAGCAGAACAAGTTTTAATAGAACCAAAACTAAAAGTAGAAAAGACTACATTTGGATTTACTATGAAATATAGTTTAATTTTACATTTAGCATTAGGTGCATTAAAGCTTTCAGCTTCATCTTCCATTATAAATAAATCTTTAGATGTTGCCCAATCAATTATATCAGATGCATCAAATTTAGCCCCAAATACATAAGAAATCATTATTCCTTTAGTCTAATTATACAAACATGAGATACTCTTTATGAATAAAATTTTTAAAATTGATCAAGTGTACATCCTAAAGTGTGAGAATCCACTTCAATAGGTACAGGTATTAGTCCATTTAATCTTAATACTTAAACCATGTCTGGTATGTTTATTCCTGTAATTATGACTTCAGAACGTGGTGGCCAATTTAAAGCCTTTTATAATGAAAAATAGTTATACTTGTAATATTAAATCTGTTGAAGCTCTTACACATAGAGTCACAAGTATTTTTTAATTTTTTAATCTTCCAAATCATATTTCTTCTATCTAAGATATTTCAATTAATCTTTACTTATTGAATATACTTATCTTAATCAATTGGTTTTATGTATGACCATAATGTATTGAAGAGATGTCTATATTACATATCAATATAGAGAGCAGAATAAGGTATTATCTAATCAGTCCTAAGCATATAATGTAATTAAATAATATATTGCAATCAATTTGCTATTTAATCATTTTATGTGATGATTTGATATCAATTGATTCTTTCAATTAGTTATTGTTGAAATAATTATAGACTATGAAAATAAACCAAAGAAAGGTATTCTAAAATCATAATGAAATCTCAAAATTATCAAAAGATGTATAAAAACATCTATTGAGTATTTCAAATATTTGCATTTATATATATTTAAATTAAGAATAGATGATCGATTTAATGTTGTAATTATTATATCAAAAACACTTCAATTGTACTGAAATTAAGTAAATGAATTACCTTGTGAAATCCAATCAATTCATAATTTTCTCTGAAACATCTTCTGCATACATTCATGCCATATTTTCTAATCAAACCTTATCTGGCAGCACATACTCTGCATTCTATGAAATGTCAATTTGAATTACCTCTTGAATCCTTTCCATAAGTTCTTGGGTGAGTTCTGAATAAATGGTTTGGCATGCTTTGTTTTATTTTATTTAAATATTTATTAAAATCATATTAAAAAAAATTACAATATAATAAAAATTATATAATAGAATAGATGATAACTATAAACATAGAGACACCTAATCATTCAAGATATTAAGGGTTGCTTCACAAAATAGATACAACAGACAATACAATTTTATTACATTCTGTAATCAATTATGGAAAAGCCAAAAGACCCATTAAATAAATTATTTCAGATACAGAAAAACATAATTATTTTGTATAATTTCCTTTAGAATTTGTTAAACCAGATACAGTTATTACAACTAATGATGGAAAATCTTATAAAGCAAAATTATCAAAAATAGATCCTTATACTAAATTTCCAATTTTCCAGAATATCTAATTAATATGTAAATAATGTGAAGAAGGTGAAAAAAAATCTTTTGATTTCAAATCACATAGAGTGATATCAATTAATAAAAAATAGTAAATTAAAATGAAATAATCACTTCACTTTCAAAATAAATCTGTAGATCTTAAATCATCATATCCACCTTGTATCACTAATAATTATAGATAAAAGGCAAAATTTAAAGAATTAACAGAATAAATAGGTTATAGACCTAAATTAAAATGTAAAAATTTATGATATGTTTAATTAATCTATATATATATATATATATTAATTCATTTCCATTTTCCAATAACTTCTAAAATTGTTGCTAGAATATCTGCAGAAACTTTTGCAAATCTCTCTGGATTGCTGAGAATATCATTCCTAACTTCAAATAAAGTACCAACTATTGGTTTAGCAAATGTCAAACATGCACTAGAAAATGTTGATTACAACAATCATACCAATCAATAGAAAAATTTAAACCTTTTTTTCCTGTATAAGGTTCATTAATTCTACAATCATATCCTTTATTTTTTAATATTTGTTGATGTGCTTCTCCAAATTCATCAAAAATGCTAGTCAATATACCTATTTCAACATCTCTCTTCTTTCCTTCATATTCAGGTGTAAATGAATGAATTGAGTATATAAAATTAGGTTTTAATTCATGTATAGTTTATCTGACTTAAAAATGATAATTTGAATGGTATTATATTCTTATCCATTGTTCTTCGAGTGATAAATCTGAAAATTTTATATAAGTTTTCTTACTTTAATTTAATTCAATTTATTAGTTATCTCCTGTTTATCTAAACAGTGATTCTGATTAAATTTACCTATTGACATCGCAATAAAGTCGACTAAATATTTTTGGATTTTATACCTATATTTACTATGAACCAGAATAGATTCAGTTTAATTGGCCAAATATTTTGCTAAATTCAATGCTCTATATTCATATAATTTATTTACCCTATATCTACAGCCCAATGAGTATTTGCAAAATTTGTTAGATCATCTTTAGACCATTCAAGACCTTATGGCAATCTAATTTATTTATATGATTATTTACACATTAGTAGCATGATCACAAGTAAATAACAATCTCTTATTGTTCCCATATTTGAAAACATCTGAATTTTCATATTACCTATAATTTTATATTTACATTAAGAAAAATATAATATTTAACTAAATCTATTTGTAATATATTATTGAATTAAGAATAACAAAAACTTTTTGATCAAATTTAATGTCACTAACAAAATTACCCATAAATGACAATGATTATAAATAATCAGGATCTCAATCTATTCAAAATGATGCTACTTTACTTCCAAAGAGAGAATATAAAATGATATCAAAGGAGAAAAAGACTTAGTTGATTAGAACTGTTCTTCTTTAGAAATGCAAAATTAAACGAGTACTCAATATTATTATATTCCCTTTAGATTGCTAAGGATCTTAACATTAATTATGCTACAGCTAAAACCATACTACATAATTACAGAAAAAAAAATATATAATTAGACCAAAGAGAACAACTCTAATAAGCGTCCTATTCAAATACTAAAAAATTCTCAAAATTGAATCTCAAAATAATACTGAATGATAAAATAATAAAAGAACAGGAATACGTAATACCCACATTCTGAAAATAAATATATTCATATATATTATTTATATGAATTTCTACTCTAAATTTTATATTATTCTATATTAAAAGATGCTATAGGACAATAAATATGAAAATTGGATAATTTTATTACATAAACAAGAGAGTTCAGTAAATAGTTAATTAAAAATATATAATTTTATAACTATAATAATATAATTGCATTTATTAAGCATAGTTATATATTATATCGATTTATTAAACATAGTTATACATTATTATTATGCTTAAAAGGCTTTATATTCTTTTTCTTATAAAAAAGAATTCAATTAGATAAAAACATTAATACATTATTGGTTATTATTATAAGATTACATTTTTAGATGATACAAGTACTTAATATATAGGAATGAATAGCTTTGAAAAGTAAGTTTTATACATTAAATGAATAGATGGGACATAAAAATTAAATTAATTATTTTTATATTAGCTAGTGTTTCAAAAATGTATTAATATTAGTTAATAATTTAGTAATATAAATAATATATTATACACAACAATAAATTAAGTGAATGACTATTCAGGATTATGTCATTTCTTTTAGAAAATCAGATTCACAACTATCATGCATATCAGAATCAGATTTTGATATCTCAGTTTATTTTTAAGTTAGAAAATATTTTTAATCAAAACTTACTATCAATGGTGTTTATTATTTCATAGAAAATTCTTGACTGGATCTATTGGAAGTTTAGAATTTTTCACTACTGGTTGAAGCACTTAATTCTGATTATTAAGTTTCAATTTGTTTTTGATAATCTTTAATAGTTATGCATTAATTGAGTAAACTTTTGATTACATCTTAATGATGTGATGTCCACTCTTCAATAATAATTAGTGTAATTTTAGATGACAAAATTTCTTTTTTGTATTTTTAAGTCATCTGAATTTCTTAATCAAATTGAGAGAGAATATTATGAAATGTATCATCATCAACTTCTGATAGAATTTCTTATCTATTACTTAAAATATCATTTTATATATTAAAAGTAACAGATTATATTTGAGTTACTTAATCAAGTAAATTTTTGAATGTTTTATCTAATTCCTATTCATGTGTATTTAATAAAGTCATTAACTCTTTCTTTTTTTATTCTAATAATGTTTAAATGTATTTAAATTGATGTTCAATTCTACATTTCTATTAAGCATAATGTTTTTTTATTGTTTATATTTTTGAATTCAAACTCTTAATACTATTTTGATCTTCTTAAGAGATATCATTGCAAATGTTTAAAAACTCTTCAAGAATTTCATCTTTATTTAAAGAAGAACATAAGCTCTCTTGCACACTCTAATGTATTTACCATTACTTTGACATATTAAAAAAAACAATATTATATATATTAACAGTATATTGTAATACTTTATTGATTGTTAATTTCACTCTCCATCTGAATCAGTTTAATTATTAGAATTATTATTACCTTCTTCTATATCATTATTATCATGATCAAATTGATGTTCAATAACTAAATCATAACTTTGATTATAATAACCTATTATAATAAATAACAATTAAATATACCAGGTATTTTATTATTATTAGATAAAGTGTTAAATGGAGCAAGTCTTTCATTATCTAATTCAATATCCATATTTTATGGAGCCATTTTACTACTAAAAGTTAAATGAATATAATCCCCCATTACTTTACTAATAGTTGCAGTAATCCATTATTTTTAATCACTTTAAATATAATATAAATATTACTAATAGTCTATTTTCTCATCAACCTTAACATTTTTTTCAGTCAAATCATCATCTGTATCAAAATCATCATTTAATTTAAATGGTTCTTTAGCTAAATTGAGATATTATTATTTTTTCCAACTCAATAATTTTGCATATCCTTAAGAACTATTAGGCAAATATATATTATGTAATCTATGTAAACATTTTTATGCAATTTAATTATTGCTTATTAATTTATCATTAGGAGGTGGTTAAGAATTATTCATTTCAAGTATCCATTACCATAATCTTTAATTTTTGACCATCCATTAATGAATTACTTAATTCTTGGAGACCATCTATATATAATTGAGAATATATATATACTCTTAAAATATATTGCTAACAAACATCAGTTTCTAAGAAGTAGTATCCTTATTTTTGCATTATATCCAATAATTTAGTCATTCCTATATTGATCTAAAATTTAATAATATATATATTGTACTCTTGTAATTTAAAGTTAATCTTTCATTTAAAATAATCTTTTTAAAACTACTATATATTTTCTATAATCTTTATATTCTCTATCATTTATTAACTTTATGATAGAATTTATAATAAGATCACTTTATTTTTAATTATCCATTGAAATAACACATAAAATATCCGAAATCATTCTAATGGCTAATTTACAATCACCTTCTTCTAAAAGTTATAATATAAATTGTAAATCGAATTAAAGTAGAATTTACTCCTCTGCAGATAACAATTACTTAAATTCTCCTTTTATTAAATAAGCTATAACTCTCCATAAATATACTCTACTAGTTGAAGGTCCTGAATTTATTGATTCTTCAAATTTCTCTTCCAATAATTCATCATAATAACTTGAAGCAACATCAAAATTTTAATTATTTTATTATCCTAAATAATTATTTGGATCATCATTAATTTTAATTATTCTTACATCATCCATTTTTTTTACAACTTCCCTTTAGGCTATATTAGTATTCACTTTAAGAACATCAATAGCAAGATCCAACAATTTTCCAACTAATCTTTTTGATATTAAATATTAAGCATTAAATTTGTTTAATTTAGCAAATTTATAGAAAATATCATAAAATTCTACTGAATTTTTTAAACTCTTTTTTAATTCAGTAATCATCTATATCCAAACATTTATTAATGAAGCTACTAATGATTTTGGTTTATCATCAACAATTTCAAATAAATTTTAATAACCTTCTTATTATTAAACTGTCTCAATTGCTGTAATTATCATTTAAATTACAAATTTTCTTACCATTTTTTTTGAACAATCAAATTAAAATTCTCTTATATACTATTATTAAGTGAAACATTTTAATAACCATTAAGAAGTATTAGGTGATTTTCTTAATAATTCTTATATATCTAAAATATTATTTGTAATAAATGTTTTTTCATTTTCTCTTACTGCACATGTCAAATAAAAGAAAACTAGTTTTTATATAATTTAATCTTAAACGAATTATTATTATTATTAGAATTTAATCAAATTCTACATAAAAGAAAAATATTCTGGACTAAATATAAATCTTTGAATTTGGAATTTTCTATTTTCATCTTTAATTTCATCTAAAAATTAAACTGTTTTCTAATCTAATTCTATATTTATTTATTATAATTGATCAGCTATGTATATAGGATATATTCTTTCATAAAACAACATATAAGCATTTTTAGATTAATCTTTATTCTTTAACATTTTATCTGCACCACCAAATGCATCATTCTTAAGATCTTTTATATTTGCAGAAGTCACTAAAATGTCATTGAATTCATACCATTTATTTAAATCATCTTTATCTTAAATAATTGAATAATAATGTTTACTATCTGCTGAACCCATATGAATAACAACTCCTGTTAATCTATATTAATAATATTCTTAAGGATTATCTTATCCTTTTGAATTATTTATCCTATTTTCTTATTAACTCAATCCTTATTAAGAATAAGGCATCATATCTAATTCAAATGGAAATTCGATTCTATCATTTATTTTAGCTTTTGCCATCAAATCAAAATCAAAATAAAATCTTTTCAAAACAAGAATGAGATGATCTGGTAATTTCTTAATACACATTCTCTTTAATGCACTAACTTTCTTATTACATTATTCACAATTATATGCATTCTCTCCTTCAAGTAAATCTCCATGTACTAAAGTTTATAGACATTCTCCTAAATTCTTCTTATTTACAACAGGCAGAGATATAGCAAAGAAGGGTTCTTCTCTTTCAGAATTATGAGGACAAGTCTTACAAATAATTTCATTTGACATTACTCCACCAAAGAATCTTTTAACTAAATCTTCATCTGAAGTTGATTTAATATTTAATTCAATTCTATCCATAAGTAAATTAAAAAATTCATCAACATCCATTTATTAAAAGATATTTGTTGGATTTCCATCTAAATCTTTAAAAGCATAACAGAACTTTTTTGGATTATGATATTATTTTTAAGAATATTTTAATGCTAAAAATAAACATTTCAATTAATGCAATAGATTCTCTTCTTAAACACAAGTATTCTTGTCTTCTACCTATAATAATTTTTCTCTAAAAGCAGGCACCATATATAATTATTAAAGTAAAGAATTCATATAAGAAATGCCTGATAAATTATATAAACCTACATATCCAGTTGATGATTTTTCTTTAAATTTACTTTATATATTCCAATCATTTAAATTTTTAGTTCTCCATGTGTTTGTAGAATGTAAATGAGATATATTGTTTAAGAATTTATTCATATTTTATTAATTTTTTAAGAGAGTAAATAAACAATTAAATGCAGCAGTTCTTGATTATTAAGATTTACATTTGCATCTTGTTTCTCCCTCATTTTCTAATAAATAACTTAATATCTACTCAAATAATTAGTTATTATTTGACAAATGAGGAAGCTTATCTATAATAGCATTCAAGAGTTTTAATAAACCAATTAATATTTAATCTTAATCTTTAATTGTAATTTCATTTTTTGGTAATTATTATAGTTTTAATTTGATATAGGACAATAGATCTTCCAAATCAAAATTTTCTATATTTAAATTATTTTCCTATTATAAAAGATTACAACAAAACTCAAAAAAGCGTTTACATTTTTATTTGTTACTTTTAATTACTTTTTTTAGTACATCATCAAATAATATTTTAATTAATAATTTACTTTCTTAAGTATTCTTGAAATTTAATAATTAAATGCTATATTCTTTTTTGAGTTCTTAATTCTCATGTTCTACATAATAATTATAAATTTGTTATTGTAAGTCATGATTTTATCTTATATATGATTTACAACCAAATTTATGTAAATAATTAAAACATCCTCTTAAAAGACGAGTTTCAATTTGATTCATTTCTTTTTATTAAGATGTTTTCTTTTATCCTAATTCCAATTTTTTCTTTGTTTTTATGTAATAACTGAGTTCTTAAATTATTTCTAATATCTTCTATTTAATTTAATCAATTATTTAAGGTTCTTTTATTTTAATATTAGAATGACTTAGTATATCTAAATATGTTAAACAAGATTTAATCTCTAGTGGTCTTTACTAAAATTGCAAATGTTAACCTAAGAATTTTTGAGTTATTAAATTCACTCCATCAGAATTATTAAATTATTCACACCATTATCCATTTTCTTATAATGCTTATATGATTTATAATACATAAAACATTTCAAAGAATTAGTGATCTAAATATTTTTTCCAATCTTTACAATTTTCAACTTACTTTTTTATTTAAATATTAGTAGGCAAACTATTAATCAAATCCCAAACTTAACTCAAGAATTCTGTATTTTCTTATTTATTAAGTAATTTTAATAGAATATCAAAAGTATGTTATTCTTGAGAAAGGTAATTTTTAGGATGACTTTTGTTATTGATTCTCACTTTTACTTAAGCCATATGTTGTATTACTTGGCTAACTTAAGTTTCTACAATATCAACTTATTATTCAATTGGTTTATTATCAACAATAATATCTAATTACTAATATGCTACTTATAAATCTTCAGCTATTTTTTATTTCATTTAATTAATTGTTGTTGTATCTCCTTCTATAAATTCTTTAATTGTAATTTAATTATTTGTATTAATGATTTATACCTAAAATTAAGTATAACTATTAGGTTTAATTGATTTCTTTAATAATGGACCACTTTAAAAGTAATTGAATAAAGATAATAATAGATTAATTGATCTATTAGTTAAATTAGGACATTGTTATGATATTAATTCTAAACACTTATCCATCATTTCCTAATATATTTTATCACATTTAATATCTAGAGTTTAACTTAGTTTTGTATAAAGATTAATTATAAAATTAGCAATTTGATCAAGCAAGCCTAGATCTTTTACTTTAGCAAAAATTTACCAAATAGCATTTTTACCTTCAAAATTATGATTATTTACAATGAAACGGATAGAATTTACAAAATAATTCAACATCTGTCTAGATTAATTGTAGGATTTGAAAAACACTTAAAATAATTTGAAGTCTTCGATTGTGTAACTAAATTATTGATCAAAAACTTTTACTTTTCATAATCATTCCTTTCAGGATTACATAACACTTAAGTAAAAAACTTAGATTCACCCTCGTTATCAAAATATACTTAATTAATTTTACAAGAAGAAATATTTGGTTAATAATCACTGATAAAAATTTTATTTAATTCTTTTTTCTATATTCCACCTTTAGTTTTAGCAGACAAAGCATTCCATAATCTAAAACTTTATTAATAATTAATTTTTAGATCAGTTTATTAAAGTAAATAATTTAACATCTATAATCTAAACAACACATTCTAACTAAATTTCTAAACTCCATAAATAATGATATCTTAAGGTTCCTCATTTTTGAAATATTATCTTATTTTCTCCATATAAACTTCAACATCTTTAACAAAAAGTTCTATAATATTATATTTATCATCTGTAAATTAGATCAATTCCTTTTTACCTTTGTCATCCTTTAATTGTTTATCAAGAAAATAATGAACAAAACTAATAGCCTAATAAACAGATTTGTGATTTCCAATCAATTCAAAACATTTTTCAAAATAATAAGAAATGAATTATTTTGTTTATGGAATTTATGAAATAATTGTACGAGCTGCTTAAAAACATTGCTCTTAGATATTACTATCTACTTATGGGTTTTCCCTATCCTAAAGTAATTCCCATAATTAGTTGAATGTCATAAATCTCTTATCTGTCTTTAATTGTAATTGTTATTCATGAAATTTCTAAGATAAAGCTGCCTTTGTAAATGTTCCGATCATACTCACAATATTTTCATTATACTTTGTATATGGAATTTTCAATATATGATTGTAGAGATTCTCAATACCTTAAAATTAGAGAACTGGTGAGATTGCTTTGAAAAATTCATATAATGCTAATTAGGTTGTTTCATGTTTGTTATAATTATTTAACCATATTTTATCCACATAATCATTCTAAAAAACTTGATTTTTACATAAGAAAATAGCCACATCACTTGATCTTTTTATTAATTCTGGATGTGCTGAATCACCTAAAAGTGTATAATCTAAAATCTTATTCTAAATTAGCAATTAAATAAATTCATCCTTGTTCATAGAGTTTTTCATCATTTCTATTTAACTATTTGTTTCAAATTTGAATTTCTCAGTAAAATCTTTTATCTCACAAAGACCTTTGACTCTTTTCTCAAGGAAATTAGACTTCAAAAATGTCAATGCCAATTATAATTAAATTTCATCAACTAAATTATTTAAATTATCCTATGAATATCCTTTTAAGAAATAATATTGCATTTCTTATACGATTTCTTTAATTTAATGAATATCTGTGTCTTTGATATCTTAAATTGTCAGATTAGCCACTCTTTATTAGAACCATTCCAATGTCTTTTTAGCCATATTACTTTATTCTTACTATGGGAAATATTATGATAAATATTATTATGTTAATACAATTTTTTACATGGCTTTAAGAGGAATATAATTATATTCTCCTCCTTAATATGGTTTTAATAAGTTTTCCCAACTTTAAAGACCTCCAATAGAACGAAAGTATGACATGGTTTTTAAATAAAATTACCATGATTTTTTAATACATTTAATTACATCACTAGCTTCTGGATAAAGTTTCCAATCCTCTATATTAGGATTAAATACAAATCCTTAGTAGACTGGTACCATAAAAGTCTTATCTATCAATTACTATAAATGATCATAATTTAACTATATTGTAATAGAAAAAAAATACATAAAAAAAAGAATTCTATTATTTTAAAAGTCTCTTAATAGATCCAAATAACATACAGAATGCTTCACTAACTTCTTATAAACAACTTGCTATTGATACTCGTTCATCGATAATATAAAGTTCATTATTATTTAAATGTTTCATATACTAATTTCATAGATTGATTTACATCTGCAAAATATTTAGGAAATTAGTCAAAATACCATTTAATGAAGTTATAATAAGTTTTAATGTATTCTAATGCAATAGGTAATTCTTTTGGTTAGATTTCATTTGAAAGAACCATGTCCAAATAAATAAACTATCTAACTCGCACACACTGAATAATTTCAATAGGGGTAAATCCCTGAAAATTAGTTTACATAATTGTTATTAATTCCTTTGTATATTTCTCACAATCTTCTCTTGAATATTTTAAATAATCTCGAGATGTTTTTTATTGTTTCTAGTCATCACCCGTATAATCTTGATTTAAATGATTACTTACTTGCAGTAGATCTTCTTGCAAATTATACTCGATTTTATGATAATTTAATTATCTAGTCAAAGTTTAGACACACAAACATACCTCATTTTCTTTTTTTGATAATCCATCATATGTGACTTCAATTTCCTTATCTGTTTTCTACAAAATGTATGCTAATTTAAATTTTTTGCTTTCTTGATGATAAACATCAACATAATTTCCAACGAATAACTGTTCACTTAATTCAGGTTTCTTTTTAGTTTTCTTGATGTCCATATTTTATTTAAATTAATATTTATGAATACTCAATATGATACCACCATATAATATTAAATACATTAATACTTTTCTCTTACTTTTATTATAAGTCTTATTTCATTATAAAAGTGTACAATATTATTTTCTATAAAAATCATCAAAGTTCTTTCATCTCTATAATCATTATATAATAATATATCTATATCTAATATCCAATTACATTACTTATAACAATAATAAACTGAATCACTAAATTTTATGAATTTACTATGTTATAATATCTAAAAATTTAATAATAATAATAAATTTTAATAATGAATAATGACTTCAGATTCATTCTAAATAAAATCAAAGCAACTTAATAAAATACTTTACGCTAAACTTGTCTAATTTAATTATCCTTCTCTTAAATAGAAGAAATCAATAAAACTATACCAATCTTAAAACAAACTTTAACAATCTATAATAATCATAAAGATTCTTTAATCCTAAATCCTATTATTCTCATTCCCAATTTGATTATTATTCAAAATGAGTATTTGGTCCTTTCAAATTGCACAATTATCAAATTTAAATCAAAATAAGGATAATGCATATAACTCTCAAACGGCATAGGAAACCTATTAATCTTTTTTCTTAATAATGAACATTACAAATAGTGGATTACTAATTTAAAATAATTCTGTAAACTTTCTAATTTTTCTAAGAAATTTATTGTCAAAGAATAAACTGTTGCAGATTATTACTTAATCTAACACAAGAAAACTAATAAATATTATATTGCTAACATGTGTTCAATCTCGAATACACAAATAGAACTCTTAAATAGTGAAATTCAAACTTTAAGAAGTGTCAAACATACCTCTCTACTAGATTTAAAATGGGTTTATTAAGATTGCCGTTTCATATACTTGATTTACGAATATTTTCGATGTGAAAAACTTACAACCTTATTAAAATAAGGATTAATCTTAGATTAAACATAATTAGCATCTGTAAAGAATTGATTTATTTGTAGATCATACTATAAATATTATAGTTAACCAAATTCTTAAATAAATAATAAATTTATCATGGTAACATCACTCTCAACAATATTTTAATTAATGTACAATCCTCTTACTTATCCATATTCCTCATCAATATGAAGCCTCTTAATAAAATTGATTAAGACACTATTAATTAATATAAAAAATCCATTGAAATTAATTATCTAGCTCCTGAAATACTTGAAGGAACCTCAAATCCTTCCATTGAAACCGACTTATATCAGATAGGAATAGTATTATATTTCTTAACATTCTACATTAAATTAGATAAAGATGATGGGAAAAAGGATTCAATTAAAATGGAACTCATTAATTAAATGGAAGAATACTTTATTGAAGCATCCAAAATATAATCTAAGTAAATTAATTTACAATAAGAATATAAAATGGCTTATAGTCCTTCATAATTAGATTTATTGAAGAGGCTTTTAGAGAGAAGAGATTAAAGAGTAAAATTAGAAGAGGCTATGAAACATCATTGGTTTGTTAATATCAAGTAGAAATTTAAACCAAAATAAGAAAGAAGAAAATAGCATTTACCATCTTTAAATACTATTATAGAACTTTGCGAATAGAGTGAACATACTAAATCATTTGTTAATAACTAATTAAGATTTGATGATGAATAAGGTAATATATTATATATATATATACTTAGTACTTGATGAAAATAATTTAATTTAAGAATTTATGTCAGAGTTAGAAAAAAATAATAACTAAAAACCTCCTTCAAGAGAAAATCATGAAAAATTAAAAGATTTCTAAATTTTCAAAACATCATATGAGTAATAGAAAACTAATACTTAAAATCAATTCAAAGTTTCAAAAAGTGTTGTTTGATATTTAAATATTTGTCAATTTTATATAAAGTCAAAACTGCGATGAATAGGATATTGGCTATTCAAATCATGTTAAGGTTGTACTGAAGTCCATTAACTGCCAATTTAATTAAAAACTTAAGGAGAAACAAATGGACATGGTTAATTCCTGATTAAAGTTATAATCATAAATAATACAGTTGATTAGTTTAATTTTCATTTTATTGTGATGAATCATATAGATTTCCATATTATATTTGAGAGTTGTTCAAATTTTAATTAAAATCAATATTTTGAATTTGGCGTTCAGGATTTATGATTTACATATTCTAATAATTCATCATTTCATTTTATTTTAATGATGAATATCTAAGAGCATTAAAACCAAATAGAAAAGTTTCATATTATTAAAGTTACTTCATAAACCCAGGATTGGGATTAATAATTGGTCTTTATTACTAAACATATGAAAATGCTTAATCTAAAGTCATTTTAAATGTTTTCATTAGATATGCTATTATAATTGTAGCAGATCGTGAAATTCCAGCATAACAATGCACTAAAACGTTTGTAAACTATCTATAATAATCGATAAAATCAATGGCTTATTAAAAATATGAGCTTAAATTAACAAAGTCAGCATCATCTACTCTAATAAACTAAATAACTATTAAGAATTTATATTTACCATAAATGAGATGTTTCCATCATAAATATATTCCTATGTACTCATTGTAGTCAAAATAGCTCCAATTTTATAGAAGTTCAATAAGTTTCCGTTTCCAGCACTTTCTATATTCCCTAAATATAATCCTCCTCTTTAATTTTAGCCCTAAACTATACAATCCATCAGATCTAAGTGATTATATGCAATACTTGTTTTGATTAGACTATAGGATTGAAACATTTGCATAAACAGAGAAAAATAATATGATTTTATAAAACATAACTTAAATGCTATAAAGATTAAAATTTAAAATATACTATAAATATTTAAGTATTTTAAATTGTATTCATTATGAAGAGACAGTAGTTATTAAAAAATCAATACAACTCAAATTAAAATGATATATTTAGAATATAATGATAATTGATTTTATTATTCTAAAGAATGAGAGATTTATTAATAATGCATCCAATAATATTTAATTAAATATAAATTAGGAAGGAATTAATTATATTGAGATAATAAGAGATGGAGAAATAAATTTTATTAATATTTAATATTAAATAATTTGAATTAAGGCTAATGAAAGATTTAAGAAATATTTATTAATTAGATTAAAATATCAAGTGAGTATATTAATGTGATTTAAATAGTGTTTTTGAATAAAAAAATAATTTTAAGAATGTTAATATACATATCTTTTGTAATAAACTCTCAAATTAAGAAGAAGTTAAATAAATCTGTAGTTGTCAATATAACATTTAAATTGTATTTATATAAATAATTTTAAGAAACTTGTATTTTAAAAGAAATTAAGACATTTAAAACCTATTTAAGAACTTATTAAATTAATTACAATATTTTATATGCAATCATTAAAGGAAATTTTTTATTATACTAAAAATAAAAGATCTTAATTTAATGCTCTTCTAAATCATTGTAAATTTAAGGTTGCAATGAATAATTTTCCATTTAAAGGGTTTAATCAAATATCCAATTATGAGAAAAGAGTCAGCAAAACAGAAAGATGAATTTAATAGGAAATTTGTAATATAGGTTCTTTAAATTATTATCTATACAAAAAAATTAATATTGAAAGGAAACTCAAACTTTTTGATTAAATAATCAGGTAGAGATGGAATTGGCAAATCATTTCTATTTTTATCCAAATTGAATTTTTAACAAAAATAAAATTTCTTTGCCTTTCTATCTAAAGGAAGTCAAATTAATTAAACTTATGTCATCTTTACAAAACTCTATTTTAATAGAAAAGGCAAATGTGAAGTTACGTTATATGTTTTTATTTATAATTATTGTCATCATCAATCGCAAAGAGCTACGATTACAGGAAGTTTTGGGTCAAATCTCTCTTTCCCTTTCAAATCTTTTAATTCAATCACAAAAACAAATCCAACAGTAGTACCTTAAGCTTTATTGATTAATTCATTTGCAGCTACAGCTGTTCCTCCAGTTGCTAAGCATATAATAAATTATATACCTAATAAATCGTCACAAATTAAAATTTTAGATCCTGGTTCAAAAGCATCTGCTTGAATCTCTATTATATCACTACCATACTCCAATTTGTATTCTAAAGATATCTTCTCTCCTGGTAACTTGTTCTTCTTACGAATTGGAATGAAACCTTTGTTCATTCTTTATGATAATAAAATTCCGAAAAGAAATCCTCTTGATTCTAATCCTGCAATATAATCAAATTCAAAGTTGATTTTTGCTACGAAATAATCGATCACTTTGTTTAAGACCTCTATGTTTTTTAATAAAGGACATATATCTCTAAAATTTATTCCAGGTTTAGGATAATTTGGAATGCTTCTAACTGTTTTATCAACCAATTATGAAATATCTAATTCCATTTTAATAATTTATGAGTAAATTTATTATTAAAAAGAGTTATATAAGCAGATTAACATTAATTATGTAATATATCTGATGAATTCAACAAACTATGAAGAATAATTATAGACCTCAAAGAATTTTCCTTTAAAATTATATCTTTAGTAATATTATTTATTGAATAATAATATATATTAATATTTTATTTATAATTATTAAAATAATACATTTTCATTATATTTCATATCTTTTTAGAATAGATATATATTAAAAAAGTAAAGAATATATATATTTTAATGAATGTAAACTTCTTGCAATAATAAATTCCTAAATAAAAAATCAATTGATTTTGTTGAGTATAGAAACATTTATAATAGATCTTTATATGTAAATTTATAAATCATCAAAAGATAAATAATTTAGGGTTATTATTATATTTAGATGTTGATTAATCATTTAATAAGTTAATATTAAAACAAGAAATAGATAATTCTAAAATTATCATTATAGTCAAACATTGGATCAATATCCTTTGATCAATTAGGAAAAGTTATTAAACTATTGAAAATATAAATCAATATATTAGGTATTAAATATGATTATTTTAAATAGGTCATTTTGAAAATGGTGAATCAATATTTATTTATTCTTAATTTTACAAATGCTTTAATGAAATAAAGAATATTTTCCTATTAATATTTATCATTTAAATTGAATTAATTAAATGGAAAAAGAGAATAGAATTCTCAAAGGGGAATGTTTAAGAATTAGGATTATGTTTATATACTTAATTAGTATAAAAATATTAATCAAGGATTTTTATATTTATTTTAGGGTAAATAATTATTTAAAAATGATTATTGATTTTAAATTTATTTAACCATCAATTAAAATATTAATAAAATCTATATATTATCATTTTATTTCACATCTCTTAATATATTATCTCTTACTTTAATAATCATTAATAATGAACTTAAGACATGATTAATTCAATTATCCATAATAACCCAATTATCCATTCTTTATAGTCTATTTATGTTAATCAATCTCAAGATTAAATGATGTATAACCATCTGTAATAATTGGATTATTAGTATTCTATACTGATGAAACAATTGATTTAACACAACTTAAATTAGAATTAATCTATTCATTAGTTAGACTTATAACAACACTGACACTTTGATTGGAAGTCAACTTTTGATTTATAATTAATTTATAATGGATTTGTTTATTAGATTCTTTGCATTCAATTTCAATCAAATCATTGCAACAATGTTTGAATATATCTTCTTAACTGAGATGTTAAAATGGATTCAAAATACCTATGTTTCCATTAAATAAATTTCTCCAAATCACTTATAGATCTGGATTAGTCAATTAATCGAATGGTAATTTTCTAAGCTTTAAAGCTTAAGCATAATATTCACAATCTTCATTAAGAATTTAATTAAATTATCCATCTATTAAAATTTAAGATTATAATTCTAAACTTATTAAGAAATCCTTCTTTATAATTTAAATGCTTAAATAACAACTATCCTATAAATCATATATTTCATTAATATTATCATTATTGCATCTATATTTACTAACAAATTGACATTATTAAATAGCAGTTCTTTATCTTATTTAAATCAACCTATTCAATTTTATTTCTCTTTAATATAAAGCATTATTGTACCATAAAAATAAATTTAATGATATTTTCTTGATAAGATGAGTCTTATGAGGAATTTTTGGGATTTAAATATACACCTAATTATTTTGATTTTCCATTTAAAAATCACTTAATAAGACATTTATTGAACTAAATCCATCTAAACTGAAATTTTAGATTATTTATTTATATTCATAAATAGGTGGATCTTCAGATTCTATAATTATCTCAAAGGCAAGATTGTAGATAGATTTTTCTGATTTATTCTTTATTATAAATTAGTAGGTAAATAATTCACTAGGATCAAAATATACAGCTTCTACTTCATTAATTAATGTAGAATCTCTATATATTTATGCCTAAACATTTGGTATATCTTCTATAATTTATATATTATGTAGATTGAAAAGTGATTTTTCCTATTATTTAATATCTGATAATAGAAGGACAGAAAAACCAAATTAATTTAATTTATGAATGTATTCGTAATTTAAATATTGAATTTTAATACCACATATTTTAATTGTACCCACAGATTTAGGTTTTATTGTAAAGATGATAGGATGATGTTTAGTATTGGCTAACAAATTTATTCCTTTAGGGTAAGTAACACAATCACTACCCTCTATTTATAACACTAACTTATCTAATTAAAAATCAAAAGAGTATTCATTTGAAATATACAAAACTAATTCAATAATTGAATTGAGAGGATATATCAATTCATTTTTCAAATCTTTATTTGCCCAAGGATTAACTATAAATATATCTTATCCTTATGATTATTCTTTATGTTCTTTATATTAACTTTGAAAATTTATTTCAATTATATTAATCAAAGTAAACTTCTCTTTAAAAGGTAAAATTTCAAATCTTTCTACTTTTGGAATCATTAATAAATGAGTTTATTTCAATTCATGTTTAACAGAGTCTTATTTTAATATTTGTAGCATTGTGTCTAATTGTTATTATGTAAAATCTTATTTGAACATTTGTATTCTTTAAATCTAAGTATTATGTTAGAAATATGGTCTAATAATGTAATAATGAATACATTCCTTAAAAATTATGTTAGATCTCTTATACAAAATTATGTTAAAGAGATGCCCAATATATATTACTTTACTCAGCAGAGAAATAAGAATTAAGACCATATAAAGTACTTGACAATTTAGTAAGTTCTAAAGCCATAGATTTATTGATTAAAGCCAACTAGAAACTTGCTAAACGTATAAAATAAGCTTATTTTCTTTTCATTTGTATTTGACCATATAATTCTGAAATAAACAGATAAAATTTGCATTTTTCAATTGGGGATTCAGGATCAAAGGTTTTAGTGAATAAATCAATAGTCTTATTAAGTCCTAATTTATCATTTGAAGCTTTTCTATAATGCATCAATTTAAAAAAACATTCAATCTCTAAATTGATAAACTTAGTCTTTTTTAGACATGTAAATGATTCTCTAAAATGTTCTTCAATATCTTCAAAAGAAGATTTAGATGCTGCTAAATGTTATTAAATAATTCCACACCATAAATAATCATTGTTTTTATTTAAATTTTCTAAAGCTTACTTATAATAATCTATAGCATCTTAAGGATCATTGATCATGAGTGCAAAATCACCCATAATTTTTATTTGCCTACCTTATTTTCTCTTTTTTAATTTCGATTGATCAGTAATCTTTTCTTCTTTCATATTAAACAACACAAATTAAGATTGATCATTTCTAAATATATTAAATAATTATACTTTAATCTTAAAATTTCTGATGCAAAATATTCAATAATTTAACATAAATATAATTATAATTGATCTTCTAAATAATAAACCATTTTATCATCACTTAAAGGAGGAATGATAATAAATGTTTATTCTTACTCAATATTTTATAATGAATTCACTCCACAATTTAATAACATAAATCTAATTAATTTTTCATCATTAACTTTTTTTTTTTATTTATTAATCTCATTTATAGGTATCAACCCTTCTTATAAATCAATCACATAAAACATCAAAAAAGGTTTCCTAATATAATTATTTCAATATTTACATATAAATCATTAACTCTGGCCAATCAACTTAAAATTCTTAATCTATTACACTTATTGCAACATAATCACTATTCCAATCCTTTTTAGAGAATACTCCCATTGTATTTTTGTACAATTAATTTTGATAAAAATTACTAAAATATATTTTTTAAGGCATTGTTTAAAATATTCTGATCATCCTGTCAAGTTAATCTTGTTTTGTGTCTCCTAATTTTTTACATAGCAACTTGATTGTTTTCATTTCCTCTAAAGTACGTTCAAATACATTCATTTTATATACAATATAAAATTTATTATAATAAGAAAAAGCATAAGAATATTATATTAATCATAAAATTCAAAGTACAAAATATTTAATATAATTTCAATGATTAGGTAATTGTTGTTAAATTAACTTTATTAAATTTTCTTAATGACTCTTATCAATCTTATTCTTCTCTATAAATTAAGAGGCTAATTTTGCAGCTGTATCATTTTAATTTACTATAATCCTCTCTTTTTTATTGTTATCTATAATTACATCTATAAACATTAATGGTTATTTATGACCCAACTCCTATTCATAAATTTATTCTTCTAACTACTATCTCTTTTTAGAATTACATGTTCCTTATTTAATAATTGCTTAACTCAATTATCTTTATACTCTTCCTTTTATCATTCTTTCAATAGCTACATTACTATTTGTTGTTGGTTTCATCTATACAACTACAGGTTTATTTTTTAAAGTGTTGGGTGTAAATTAAGGTATATTAATTTAGGATTGATTTACTTAATCATTTAACTTCTGTTATTTAGATTATAAATATTTTGATTTAACTTGAGCATCATTTATTTATGGATTAAAAGTACATTATTCTTAGTTTATTCTTTCTTATTCTTCAATTAATTTTTATTTCTTTTTATTGTAAATTTAGTCATAATCATTTAAAGTAACATTTTAATGTTAAATTTCTGATGCCACTCTTTTTCTATGTTAAATTGCTAATACTTAAGTTTATTTATTTGTCTTAAAAGATGTGTTTACATCTTAATGTAAATCTCTATTTTTTTTATAAGCCAAATGATTCACATTTAATATATTATATTTTTATAGTAATAGATCTGGATTATAGACTCTTAAGTTTCCATTTATAAATTGTGTTATTCCATTATTAAATTAAATAGGAAAGTTAATTTTGTATTAATTTTCATAATTTGGAATTTATTCGATTTCATTATGATAACCTTACACACATAATAAGAAACACAATAAATTTCTAGATAATATCATATCAAAATCTGGAGGACATTACAAATGTTGAAATATTTGAAATTATAATTGATTATTTTCTAATGGAACAAATCCTAAATTATCCAAAATCTAACATAATTCATTTATTGTAATCAAACATAAATCATTTTCAATTTAAAATTAAAATGTCATTTACTAATTATATTTTAAATCATCCAAAGTTTCACATCTAGCCTAAGTCAATACTTTATAAAATTCCCTAACAAAGTAATGTATAACCAATTTTTCGTTATGACTTCCTCTTAAAGAACCTTAAATATGATTACTATCATTTTATTATTTTAATTTCTTAGGTATACAGGTTTAATTATATAATCTATTCACTATTTCGTTTATTTTAGTTTAATCTATTCTTTCTTAATTTGCTTATTCTAGAACAATAGGATTAGACATCTATAATTGAACACTTTACTTATTTTGACTAAGTCTTTCCCAAAGATTCTCTTTATTTGATTTCTTCTTATTTTTTTATTTTGGTGATTGCTGAGTCTATAGAGTCTAAGTACAATCTTGAATATAAATTTTTTTAGGTGACATATAACGAGGTTGTGACATATCTTAAGATTTCATTTCTACGCTTTTTTAACTTATTCTTGGTTTAAATGAACATTATTGCAATTATTGTTATTCATAACTATTTCTTAATTAATTTCTTCTCTACATTAATTCTTAATATTCTTAATTTAATTTATTATGAAGATTTTGTTTTTGAGTCAAAATTCTTGGATTTAGTAAATGATTTTGATTATATTATTATTATTCGTGCATTAAATTATTTTATTAGCTTAAAGGATAAAATTAATCTTCATTATTATTGTCAGTTAAAAGTATGGACTTCTCGGTTAAGGGTGTGATTGGACTATCACCTTATAATGATTTCATTTATTAACAGAAAAATATTATTAATTAATTATGTTTAATTAAACAACTCAAATATAAATTACATCAATCTATTGATTATTTATTAATGCATTCAATTTTATTCTTTAGTTTTATTGGTTTTTTCTATGGAAATCCTGTAATCTTTATCTTTCTCATTCCAAACTCTTAATAACTTTTTATATAATAGCTTTAAAGATTAATAGACGACAATTAGTAAATATAATGATTTTAATTTATAACGTGCTTATCCTAAAAATCAAATTTAGAATTGAAATTCAACTGATAATGTGACAGTCCCTTAAATAATTAATTTAAATACACAGCATAACAAATAATTCTACATGAGTCATTATTAAATAGTTATATTAAAAATAATCTAGAGTATCTGATAGATTATATGTCAAATATTTTTATTCAAAAATGATTCTTCTATCAATAAGGTAATCAATTATCACAATCTAAAATAATGTTCCTTACTCCCAATATTAGAATTGAAGTCAAAAATATATTTATCAAATTTTCTATAATTGTTTCTCCTTCTCCATATTTTCATCTATTTTTAATTAAACATTTATAGATTGATTAATATATCAATAATAAAACTGAAAAATTTTAAGTATTTTTCCTAATTTTATTTTTTATCAAAGAAATTTTTGATCTTCCCAAATTTATTGAGATTTTCTATGCAATTCAGCTAAAATATAATAAGACTCTTAATTCATTTGGCCATTTTGTTATTTTAGACCCATTATAATAGATCGACTTATAATAATTATATCTAAATTTTCTTTGGTAAAATCGATGTTATTAAAGCACTTAATCCTATATTTCTACAATAATCCAAAGTTCCTGGTTCATTTTTAAATACTTATTTTTCATCCTTAATATATTCCATTAGAATATCAATATCGAATTATTCATTATAATTATAATATTAATTTAATAATGGTAAAACTTTAAAATAAACCAAATAGGAAATCTAAAAAAGCTCTCCAACTCAAAAAACTTTCTGAATAAGTACCTTAATAGAAATATGAAAAATATTAATAAGAAGAACTATTGTTATTTGAAAATGATAATTAAAATGAAAGTGAATAATCTGTCAAATAAGAGTAATAAAATTTCAAAAAAGAAGAAGAAAACAATAGTAATAATCCTTTGAATTAAGAGGAGGATTCTGCATAATGGGTAGATGAATTTGATGAAAAAATATAAGTGGATTTAAGTAAATAGACAAAATTGAGAAAACTTATTAAAAATGGATAAAACCTAGTTTCAGGAAAGGAATACTAAAGAAAATTAAGAGAATTTTATAAAAATTCATAATAAAATAATGAATTCTTAAGTTGGGCATAATCTAAATAGTAAATTAAATAAGAAAAAGACAAATTTGATTAAAATTAATTGAATGCAAATTTAAAAGAATTATTATCATAGAATATATAAAATTAAACAAGCAAAAGCAATTTACTTCCCAATAGAATTATTTAGATTGAATAAGCTGGAATTATTAAAGCAAAAATAAATACTGTTATTTAATCAATTAGTTTTCATAAGAAATTACCAATATTTGCAGAAGGAGGGTTTGATAAATTAGTTAGGATTTATTAATTCAATCCAAACAAATAAATACAAGTAAAATAGTATTTCTAATTTTTTAGCTTATCAAATCAATAGGTCTTGAGAAATTCCCAATATGTAAATTATAATTTATGAATGAAAATAATAATATAATAGTTGCATCTCCATTTAAAACATATCTGATTGAAGTGGATATAAATACATAAAAGTATAAGAGAATACAATCTACTTTATTTGCTAAACATTTTAATTAATCTGGGAAATATAATAGATAAATAGAATTTGCAATTAGTGAAGATGACAAATATATAGCTTTATTTAATGAATCTGGTTATATACATATATTAAGTGGAGATAGTAAAATTTTATTGAATGAATTCAAATAAAATGAAGCATGTAAAGCAGTAACATTTGCTGATGAATTTTTAATATCTGCAGGTCAAGGTGGTAAGATTTATTAATGGTCTTTGTAAAAATAATAAATATATAATGTTTTTCATAATCCAGGAGGATTTGAAGTGAATTGTTTAGATTTTAAATTGGATCTTTTAGCAGTTGGTAGTAGAACTGGTATTGTAAATATATTTAAATTAAACTCTGCTACAAAATAATTCAATAAAGATCCAATTAAAGAAATATAAAATTTAACTACAAGTGTAAATGAAGTTTAATTTAATAAATTTTGTGAAATCTTATGCATAAGTTCTAAATGGAAAGACTCAGCAATAAAATTAGTTCATGTTGATACTTTTACAGTATTTGAAAATTGGCCAACTATGACTACATGTTTGAAAGTATATATTTTTGTATAAAGATTAGAAAATCTCAGCAATAGGAATAAGTAATGATTCCAGATTTTTGGTGATAGGAAATGAAGATGGAGAACTAAGAGCTTTTCGTTTGCTACATTATTGATATTGTTGTATATTAAAAGAATAATTAATTGAATAAATGATATGTTAAATGTTTAATTTAAAAATTAATATGTTTGGTATAATTACATATACTAATCATGCTCTTTGATCTGTTGTTAAGAATTTAGCATACAATAAAGTATCCTTTTAAATATCCATAGTCACCATAGAATATATTATACCAATCAAGACTATAACAAAGAAAACTCCAAACCAAACATAAATTTAATAAGTGGTTGCATCCATGACATATCCAGAAGAGTTAGTTTACTAATAAAATTGTTATGGAATATAATACAGTAACTTAATTTAACATTCTTGTTCTAGTTTCCATTAAAATTCTTTAAACTTTTGCTGATTCCTTAGTTGTTGTAAGTTAAGGATTCTTTTCTTCTTCGACTAAAATGAGACCGAACAATTCTTCATTTTCAAATGTATTTCTAAAGTTTTTAGAAAGCTTAATATTATTTATTATAATACTTTTTTATGGGCAATTCTCATCATATCATAAATCATTTCTATTTCTGTTTCTTTCATGATTTTTTCTAATTTTGAAATAGATTTATTAATAATTGATAACATATTTGGTTAATTGGCTAATTAATTTATAAAATAAGTATACATTTTTTAAAAAGTGTGGATAGTTTATTCATTGCACATATATCTTTTAAGAACCCAATAATTTATTCTTCATTGTCTTAATTAATTTCAATCATTTCATTTGTATTGTATTTATATATTTTGTTCTCTTTTGGTGCATAATCAAATGTTGTTCCAAAGAAATTATCAACACATTTTTCTAAACTTGAATCCACTTTATAAGATTTATCTTTATTTGGTTCATACAAATAAACTTCATTCTATATATTAAATTTATATTTTACATTTTTCCCTAAATAAAGAGTGATTGTCTATTGTAAATAATTGATATCCAAGTTATCCTCATTTTGATAAATTTTGAATCCTAAATTATTTTAGTTGTAAACTTTTGATGCTTTCTAAATCAAAGAATCAGCTAAATTATGGATCAAATAATTACCTTGTTGACCAAAAAGTGATTCCATAAGGGATTTTGGATCTTTGTCTAATACTTTAAAGCTTTAAGAAAATCCTTCAGTTATTCTCTATTATTTTAATTCTTATCCTTAATACAATTTCTCGCTCTCAATTAAAATCATATAGTTCATATCGGTTGGTGATAAGACATTACCTTTACCAAATGTTCTATTTGATGAAGAAATTTATACTTTATCAACTATTCAAATACTTTTTGTTAGTCTACAGGAATGTGTTCGACTAATCCAATATTGTATTTTATCAATTAAGTAATTTGCTTTTGGTTTAGGCCTTCTAAATCATCTACACTATTGCTATTAAATGGGTAAATATAAGCATGTGATGCTAATGCAGACGCAACTATAAAAAAATCTAAATTTTGATACCACAAATGATGAAAAGTAGAGTTTTCATTATTTTATTTAATAAAATTTATGAATGATTACTAATATTATTATTTATAAGCCTTTTTTTGAATTGTTAATTTCTTATATATATATATAAATTTTATCTGTTAACTCCTATGAGTTACGATATATCCCAACAGTTCATCGAATTTCGTAAGCAAATTATGAACAAAACCTTGACTACTCCTGCAACCAACACCAGCAAAATACAAACTATTTCAACACCATCAAAAAAATAAGAATTTTCAGTTGACATCCTTAAATCATCAATCTGCAAAAACGTCAAACGTCTAAAAGTTAAATCTGCTATATCAAGTATGAACATCATTAATTACTTTCAGATATTCCTTTAAGTCCTCATAAACAAAAAGCATAATCTCCAATTAAGAAATAGCCATTCAAAAGTCCTTAAAGATTAAATTAGAATGAACCAATCCGTAGTCCAAATAAATAGCTATATAATAGTACATCCAAAAGCTAATAGTCTTAATTGAATACTTTTTAATTGCCACAAACTTATAGATAATCAGATTATATTGATCAATAAAGCTAAATCAAATTATACTCTTCAAAATATCAAAAAATTATGAATGAAGAATAAGGACTTTATTACAGCCAATTATAAACTAAATTAGATCAACTCTCCTAAATTATTGGCAATCAAGATGATAGACAAAGAAACTTATTTGAAATCGATAATATGATTAATCAATCTAAATAGATCAATGCAAAATCTAGAGTCTAAAAACATCTTGATAGTTTGCAATTTGAAAGTAAAGCTTTGCAAAGCGATTTAAATACTATAAAAACTAAAATATCAAGATTTTCTGATTTTACTGATAATTGATATATAAGTTATATATGAGATCATTGAATTTAAGATAAACACCATTATACTAGTTACATAGTTTCAGACCATCGATCTTCTTGATTTCGACAACCTAATATTACTATTGTAAATGATCTGTTATTTGACTAATAATAACTTGCCAAACAAGGACCTGCTACTGAAGTATTACCAGTTTTTATTCCTCGAAATCCTTAGTAAAGCAATTTATTTGTGTTTTCCCACATAACATCTCTTGTAAATCCTTTAAAATTATTTAATAACTATTTTACCTTCTTCATCCTAAATAGTACAAAAATGAATCTTTGTATTTACAACCTTTTTAAAAAAATCATCTTTTAATAATTAATTGCAAAGTTTTGCTACGTCATAGGCTGAAGATAGATTATTTTTATTATTTAATCCGTGTGGATTTGCATAAGTAGTTTAAGTCATTCTTAATTCTCTTGCTTTGTTATTCATTTCCTGAACAAAATATATGATTGGATTCTTTCCTTTAATTTTATTTTAATACATAGCATAAATTCCAAAATTTTCAGCAAATGTCATTGCTGCATCGTTTCCAGATGGTAACATTAATCCATAAAATAAATCATCAATTGACAATACGTCTCCTTTAAGCAAATTAGCAGTCGTGCCACCTACTAAACTTGCTTATAAACTAACTTCAGCATATGTATTATTAGTTTAAACATTCATAGTCTTGCATATATTCTAAACAACATAGAATGTCATTATTTTTGTGATCGAAGCTATCTCCCTTCTTTAATTTTCATTATATGCATATAAAATATCTCCAGAATTTGAATCTACTACAATCCAGGATTTAGCAGTCAATCTTGGAGCAAGACTTTTTTCATCTGCCCCGATCAAATAGACTGTCTTTATTTATTACAGCCTCTGAGATTATCTTTCCTCCTCTGATTTTGGCTTCCATCTAATATGATTCGAATTCATATAATATAAAATATTTATATACTTCATTAAATTTAAGTTGAATTTTCATATACTATCTATGTTAGATCAAATATAAGAAATAAAAACATAAAGAATTTAATCAATTAGGAATAGAAACTTCTTGTATGGAATTTTCATATTTTCAAAATTGAGATTTATTTATGTTATTCAGAAGATAATTTATTTAAAGAATAAGTTAAATCACATTTTATAATTTGATAGATTATTTTTCACTTTACTTGAAACTTTATGATATTATATTTCAATTATCAATATTGATAAAGATTAGAATGGATTATTTCTTAACTTCAAAAATAATATAAAAAATTAATTTCATTCATTTTAACATCAGAAATTCTCTCTCTCATAATGATTGTTTAAATTTAGTCACTGTATTTGTTAGATAGGAAATTGATAGAAAAAGTATAAGAGTAGTAATGTACAATGATGATTTGGATTCAAAAAAATTATTCTTAGTGGATTGTTATATTCATTATTATTTTTATTTTGATAATTTCAGAAAATTATATTAAATTCAAATCATAATAATATTCCATATCATCATAATCACAGAAGGTCACCCTTACCATATAATCCTTTAAGATTTAATAAATTAGCAAGGGAGGAATACTAGAATAATGTATCAGTTCATTGATAAGGTTTAATAAGTCTAAATTATGGAAGGAAGAAATCAAGATAGATGGAGATTAGATATTTTAGAGAATCTGAATTGAAAAGGTTTAAACAGTTGCAGAGAATCATTATATTATCAATTAGATCATATTGTGCCATATTCAAAAATATTAACAAAAATTGTTCATTATTGTAATCATTTGTCAACATATACAAATCAAATAAAGAAAATATATCAAAGGATGTTTCTCCTTAATTAAATTTCAATTCTGAATAATTTGATACTATAGATTATGCTATATATGGTTGACATTAGAAGGAAGTCTGCTTGTTTGTTTTGCTTTTTTTTTACATTTTTATTTAACTGTTTTGTTTGTAAAAATAATTGTCTATTTCTATAAATGCCTTGTTGTTTTAAAATTACAGTAAAATTTATTCATTTTCTTGCCTTACTACTATTGTTTTCCCATCCCGATTTTCTTTTTGTCTCATATCGATTCTATCGATGTTTTCTATCATGATGTTTTCTGTTATATAATTAATTATATATTTTAACTTAGAACTGTCACTTGAACTATGTCTCCTCTTTCTGGATTGTGATCTTGATCTCCTGCCTTTGTTTCTGCTTCCATTCTCATCTACATTAGTTTTACTATCTCAATACATTTATTATTATAATTATGATAATGGCTATGATAAAAATTTTGATTCCTTTCAATTGATTTTTCTTATCTTTCATGTATTTTGCTACTGTTAATTTCAACAGTATTGATATTATAATCTTGATAATTTTTTTCTTGTATAAATAAAAAGATCGTTTACTTCCACTCTATTATTTATCAGATCTATCTCTTTCTTTTTCTCTATCTAATTTTTCACTTTTTTCTTTTTCAATTTTTTCTTATCTTTCTTTTTCCAATCTTTCTTATTTTTCTTATCTTTCTAATCTCTCTTATTTTTCTTATCTTTCTAATTTTTCTTGAACTTCTTTATCTATTTCTTATTGTAAAATAAGTTTCATTTATTTTTCAATGTCATAATTGCTTGAGAGATGGTTAACAAATTCTGATAAATTTGAGAGTTAAGGAACTTTCTTACCATCCTCATTAACTAATATAATTTCTGGTTATGATAATTTTCTCTCAAAAAAGTATCTAACTATAAAAATTATCATTTTTACTTATTAAAAATTTCAATTAAACCTTAAGATTATTTTAAATCATCACAATAAATTACTCCATATTTACATCCTTCAACTATATTAGATTTATGATTTATACATTCAAATAGCTCTTCTACTCTTAATGATCGAATATCTATTTAATTTTTATCATTTCTTCTTTCATAAATTATACTCTCAATTTTCTCTTTATAAAATTAAATAGGTAAAAATCTAAGAATAATTTTAAATTGAATTTTAATATCTCTTATTTTTCTTAAAATTCCAACCTTTTTAATATAAATATTAATTTATTACTTGAAAATTCTCACCTAGATATTTCTTATATTTTGGTTAATTTTTATTCATATTATAATAAAAAAATTAAGCTGATTTATCTTCATTTATTTTTATAACATATGCTTGTTCTCCTGCCAAATATACTTTTTAAACTTCTTCAAAATTAATAAAATGATAATCTTTGAATCTATAATTAATTTTAATAATATAAATAAATTTTACTTTTCCTTTAAATACTTTTTAATAGAATGCTTATCTTAACATGCTTCAAGTGAAGAATCATAATAAAAGAGAATTATTTCTTTTTAGTTTTGCCACTCCTAAGGGATTCTAAGATTTAATTAAAAATTTAAAACTTTTCATATTTTCCTGTTTTTGTGGGTTCTAAAATTCGAATTTCATAGCAATTAGAATTAAGAACAGAATTACATATATCACGAATTGATAATTTTGTACCTATGAATTCTATTTTAGCTTAATATTGATCATCATCACAAGGACTAGAATCACCAGAAGAAAACTCACACATGGCCTTAGATGGTGATGGTGGCTAACTTGGAGACCAGACTACGCGAAACTCTTTTTCATGTGTATTTAGATGTTTCAAATCGTAGGTTGAGAGTTTTTACCTAAAATAAACATTAGCCTGACGTGTTATAGTATAAAGTATATAATCAATATTTTTCAAAATATCTGTGCAAATTCAAACCTGTTAATTCTTTTCCATTATGTATAATTTAGTCTATTAATTAAATGTTTGCTCAATTCTAAATTCGTTACACCCTTTTCTACAATCTCAATCATTTTATTTATATTTAAATTTAATATATGCTTTTTTAGATATTCAAAATTCTTTCTAATATTTTCCTTTATTAAAATTATTATAAATATATCATTTTATTTAATATCCCTTTCTCCTTTCGCCCTAATTCATTGCCAATTAAGTCTTCAGAGATTCTATTTCTTATGTGTATTAATTAAGTTTATCCTTCAGAGCTTATTATAAACCCCTCATATGATCAATCTCTTCATCCCTCATTTAACAAACAGACTTCCATTTCTCAATCTATAAAATATAATCCTAAATATTTTAATCAAATTTATATTCATTTTCAATCTAATATCTAATTTCATTCTCTATTGATATTCTTAATTCCCTTTCCAATTTCAATTTTAATTCTTATTCAAATTTTAATCTCTATTAATTGAATTATTATTCAATCTATAATCTTATTTAATACTGTTCTTTTTTCAACTATTCTAATTGTTGATCTTTTGTGATAACTTATTTCTTCAATTCAAATATATCATACATCAAAGCATCTACATCAATTACTGGTTTTATTTGTTTCTATAAAATTAAAATTTGTTATTCATATTTAAGACGCAATTCAGTTTCTATCTATAATTTCTATTACTTTTCTATTTAAATTTACTTTTTCAACTCTTCAATTTCAAAAGTAAACTTTTCATTCATCTATCTTAATTCTTACTCTACTCTTATTTTTATATTTTTCTCTGATTGAAATTTCTACTCTATAAACTCTTGTCTCTCAATTTCATATTGCTTCTCTTTTTATACTAATTGTTTCTTAAGTTCAAATATCTCATACATTAATGCATCAACATCAACATTTACTTATTTACTTTATAAAATTTCATATTCCCTTAAAATCTCTTAATATTTGAATTAAAACTCTTATATTTATTATTACTTAGTCTATTAATCCTTTTTGAAAATATCAATCTGTTATATAAGCATTTCTATTTCTCTTTTCATCATTATTTCTTATTATTAAAATGATCCCTATTCCTATTAGAATTAACTAAATTAAATATTTAATTTTTCTATTTAATCCTTATAAGTATTAATGCTTATAATATAACTTTGTAATTGTCCTTTTACTTAATTTTTTTCTTTTTCAGACTCCTCTAATCTAATTCTGAGAATATCATATTCCTATCTATATTTTTCCATTTCATTTTTTTAATTAGAAGCTAATTATAATTAAGATCTTAAGGATATTCGTTCCCTATCTTGTTCCTCTAAATTCATTCTTAATTAAGAATATTCAACTTTTATTCTTTCAAAATCTCCTTTTTAAGTATTTAGTATTTACAATTATTATCTTAAAGTATTTGTTTCTCTTTCCTATTGCTCATACTTTTATTTAAAGATTTCATATTCCCTTCTTATATTTTCAAATTCTAACTTTGTATTATTTAAAATCATAATCTATTATTTTAATCCTTATCTTTCTCTATCAGATTCTTCAAATCTCATAAGAGATTAATTCCTTTCCTATTCTAACATTTATGATTGTTATTTTAACTATTGTAATTATTGTCTAAGTTGATCAATTTCATTTCTTAATTGAGATTTATCCCTATCTTACTCTTTTAGTCTTAATTATAAAGTATCATAATCTTTTTTAATGAGATCATATTAGCTTCTCTATTATTCTAACATTAATATCTATTAACGAGAAGTATCAGCTTCTTTTTCTAATCTAACTATCTTAAATTGATAAGATTGATTATCTTTCTCTAAATCATTTATTTTATATTTGAGTTTATCTAAATCCTACAAATTTTATCTTAATAATTATTTTTCTCTTTCTTATTCTGTACACTTTATTTACCATCTTTCTAATTCTTATTTTACTAAAGAGTTTTCATTTTCATTTTCTTAATAATCTGTTATAGTAGATCTTAAAAAATTGATTTCGTTTTCATAGGTTTTACATTTCAAAATCCAAGTCTACATTTCTGATTTGAGTGCTTCTATTTCAGTATTGAATTAGATTGTTATTTGTTTTTTAGATATAATCAATTAATTATTTACTTCTTCAAATTTATATTTTAATTATTCATAATCTTTTTTAATTTTTTCACTTTCTTGTGTTATAAAATTATATTTGTTTTATAATTCTACATATTGTATTTTATACATATTTGCTTCTTATAATTACTTTTCTAATTAACTTATTTTGAATTAATAATTAGCTTCATCAAATTTAAATCTTAATTATTCATATTCTTTCTTCAATCTATCATATTCTTAAATTAAATGATTATTTTTAGTCTCCAATTCCAAATATTGAGTTTTATATATACTTACTTCTGTTAATTATTTTTCTAACCATTATATCTTTTATTAATTATTATTAGTTTCTTCATATTTGATCCTTAATAACTCATAGTCTTTTCTTAAATTTTCATATTTGCCTTACAATTCTATAAATTATGATTTGTAAATATTTGAATCAGCCAATTATTTTTCTAATTAAATAATTCTATATTCAAAATCCTTTCTTTCCTTTTCCATAATGATTACTAAATCATTTCTTTTATTTTATTAATCAAGTTTAATTTATAATTCTTATATTATTTTATCCTTTTTATTAATTTCAATCTATAAATATTAAATCTAATCCAAAAGTTCTTTAATTTTAGCTTTCAATTAATTACTTTCATTTAAAGCATAATTTTATCTTTCTGATAATGTTTATTATGATTATAAATCATTCTATATTTATTAAACTTTAATTGTTAATTATTTATTTGTATTTTTTAAATTATTGATTTCATCACTTAATTATTAATTTTAATATCTAAGTTTATCTAATTCTTAATTTCCTTATTAATTTTATTTATTTTCTATCATTAATAAAGATGATTTATATTAATCCAAATCTTATTTATTTTTTATATCTTATTATTTGTAATATTCTACTTCCCTTTATAATTATATTAATTCTTAATTCACTTCATCAAAATCCTATAATTACTTCTAAGATGTCTTAAATGTTAATTGCAATGCAGAATAATTCTCATTCATTTAATGTAATTATTATCTCAATCTTTGTGTATCTGCTAATTGATCTTATAGTTCTCTAATCTACTTTTCCAAATTAATAATTTTCTATTTATCATGATCTTAAACCATATTTAATTGATTATTTAATTATTCAATTTAATGTTTCTTTTATTCATATTATTATAATAAATTATTATACTTATTAGTTAATTCATACATTTGTCTCTATAATTAATCTAATTATGATTATAATTCATCAATTCTTCTAATATATTAATCTGTACGATGTTTATCCTTTTCAAATAAGGAAATTTAATTTTGTAATTCTCTACATTTATTTTATAATTAACTATTTCCTTATTCTAATTCAATTAAATATTATTGATTTCTATTTACTTCTTCTTCTAATTATTATCTTTTCCTTTATATTTATTATTCATTCTAACCAAATTATTGTTTAAGTAATTAAATCTCTTGTAATAATGCATCTTTTTCGTTCTACCATTTTTATTATTCTCTTAATAATTAATCTTTTATTTATATGTTTATTGTATTTCTCTAATCTGAAACTATTCTATCACGTTCTTAATTCATATCTTCCAATTGTTTTTGATATTATCTTTATAATTATTATAACTGTTGTTATAATTATGTATTCTATTCTTTCAATAATATATTCTCAGTATTATTCCCTTAATTTGCTTTATTAATCTATAGTATATAACTTTCCTCTTTTTATATCAAATCTCGAATCTACATCTCCATTTATCTCATTCTAGTTAGATATTATTAGTTTTCTTATTGATAATGATATGATTCATCTTAAATGTATTTTTATTTTTCATTAAGTGATCGCAATCTATGAACCTCTTATTATAGATTTCTCAAATCATTATTAAGTCCATCAATTGTATATTTCATTCTCTAATTATCTTATAATAAATTCTGTTCTTATGACAATCCTCTTTATTTAATATCATTGAATCCTTATAACAACTATTCATTATCTCTTTTTGCTTTATCTAAATCAAGGTTCAAACGATCAATTACTTATTTCTATCTCTAGATTTCCTCTTCATATTCTTTAACTGATTAATTCATTTAATCCAGAGCCTTTTTCATTTGCTAATTATCCTTGAATATTTGTTGAAATTCAGGCACTTTAAAATTGATTGATTACTACAATACCTTTTTAATTCAAATAATGAAGTTAACTCTATAATTATAAGATCTCTTATTTTAAAGCCTCATTTTCTCTATCTACCTAATAACAATCATGAGATGATTGTTATGGATTGTCTTTTTTTGCCTTACAATATGAACAAGGACATGCAAATTAGCTTGATTATCATTATTAAAATACTGCTGCATTAAGATATCCTTATAATTATACAAATAAATTATATTTATTAAGAATCGAATTAAAATTGAGTTAAAGGATATTCAACTCAAATAATGAATAAAATATCCAATTTTCGACCATACAAATACACAAAAGAAGAACTCAATATTAGTAAGAAAATAAAAATAGAGGATCAATTAATTACTTTACCATTAACAGTGTTTTAATAATTGGTTGAGAAAGCAAAAGAAGAAAATCAAAAAAAAGAAGATACAAAAAATCTCTTAAGAAATTTTGGAAATGCTCTTAATAGATTCATATTACATAATGAGTAAGCATTACATATAATAATATAATACATTCCTGAAAATAATGTCACTCATTTTAAAAAATGGGTTACAAATTAAAAATTAGAGAATTTTGAACAATTTAAAAGAATCTGGACTGTTGATGGAGATATTTATAAAAAAATATTTTCAGAATTATCATTTGAGTTTTATTCAAAACATGCATATTCTTATGTAATGCATTCATAAATGAGATCAGAATCAACAAAACTTACTCATCTAAAATACATTACTCGTTTTTTAGAAGGTATAGTGTGTCCAGAAAGCTTTTATTATTTTAAAAAATGAAATCATTAATATAAATATTTTGTTATTGCCATTTTATTTATTTTTCATTTCAATAACAACTAATTCATTATTAAATAATTATTAAAATATAAAGAAATATTGATTATTTTTATATTGATTGATTTTTAGATGAAAATAAAACTAAATTCTAATGTTTTCATTTTGGTAATAAATGATTTTCAATGATACCTTTCTCTATACCTCTCATAATTTTATTCATATAATTAATTTAGAGTCTTTTTATTTCAGTTACTCCAGAAGAATATTGTAAAGCTTCACATGGTAATGAATACTAAACACTTCCAATACCTTATGTATTCTATACATTATTTTAAATATTTCGACATTAATTTAAAATCTGTAAAAGTTATATATTGCTTTTAATTTCCCTTAATTCTTATAATAATATTTATTTTTTCAATTTTTAAGTTTAATTATCAGTTAAAGATACTTTAGTAGTATCATCTAATTTGATTGCCTATTTGCATTTAGGACAAAATTGATTTGAATTACCTGAAATCCATGTTTTTAAACAACTTTTATGATAAATATGTCCACATGATAATTATTTACCATTTTCTAATTCATTAAGACAAATTAAACATGTTGAATCATGAGATTCTATTTTTTCTACATCTTAAATCTTTTCTATCATTCTAACTAGTTTAACCTAATTATAAAATGCTTTTAATTTTTTAAGCATAGCAAATGCATTTTCAAAAGTATCAACAAATAAAATCAATAAAAATCCTTATGTATTCAAAACATATTAAAATAACATAATTTAAACCCATAATTTCAAAATTGTTGATAATACTTCTAATCCAGAAAATATAATTTGTTTAGAATCAAATTATGAAAGAGTTTAAATTTCAAATAAATTGATTACATATTTTATAAATGGTAAAGCAATTCTAATTGGCAAAAGCATAAATTCAAAACCAAATAACATATTTTAAAATTTCTCTTCTGTTCCATAAAAAAAATAGAGACTTATCTAACTAAAATATTTTTAATTTATTACTTTTATATCAATATAAAATAGTACAATAAATGTTACTAATAATTTTATATTGTCACTAAATTTTATTTAAGATTCTGCAATCAAAAACCCAGCTCTCTTTATAGATATCCAATGAATTATTGATAATGCTATTAACCAAAGCATTAAAACTAGAATATTTATTTTATTTTTTTACATATGAATTACCAATCTAATGATTAATAAAAAAAGAATAATAAATAAGCTACTTCTAATATTTTCCTCTTTGTTTTATCTATAACAGCCTATTATATATTATATATAAACTAATACAATTTTTTCTATTTCCTTTAATTCTCCAAACATTATTTTTAAAAATATCATTATCAATGTGGAAACAATCATAATAGCAAAATTTACTAATATTGTTCTATTTATTTTATTTGTGCTCAAATATAACACTGATGGATAAACTTGTTTATGAACATTAAAAGAGTTGTAAATTGCTCCTAAGGTAATGGCTATGCTGAAAAAACAATAAAACTTTAACATTATTAATATTATATATATATAACACATCATTCAATTTTAATATTAAGCATAGAATATTCTAATGTTTCTTTCAAAATTATCATCCAATAATAATGTTGAAGATGGTAATAATAACATATACCTTTTCACCAAATTATATTCCTCTGTATAATATTTATGTAGTATAAAATACTAAAGGAAAAATAGGAAGAATTGAAAAATCAACAGAAAAATACTTAAACCAATAATTTAATCCATATGTGAATTAGTAGCTTAAAGTAGAGCCTCCTTTAGAGAAGATACTAATTCAATCATACCTTTAACCATAATGTACATACCTTCAGCTTCATATTTAAAATATTGTACAATTGAAGTAAAGTTATTCAAATCAAATGTTACTTTATATTGATTTGCTGCATACATCAATGCTTAACTCAGACCCATATCTAAAGCTCCATCAAAAGATCTAGAACAATAGAAAGCATAATCATTATATTGATCACCAGTAAAAAATTTACACACTGGACTCTTTACAAGCAAATTTAATTTATCAATGAAACTTTAGGTTGTTAAATACTCTTCCTAATTAAATTTTTGTACATGTTCATCAAATTATTTTAAATTATCAATACCATTAAATAATCTAGTTATCATTCTTGGTTTATCATTAACATCTAAATTATATAATGACCACCAATATAAGAATTGTCTTTATGAAAACATGCCTGGTAATTAAAAACAAAGATCTCCTGTAAATTTATAAAAATCTGCTGTATTTACATACTTTGATAAATAACTATTAGTTTATAATTAAATTAATAATGCAGGTATAAAGAATACTGAAAATACAAATGATATTCCAACAAGTCCATAAATTGTTGAAAGTTTATCATAATTTTAATAATTCTTTTTCTTTTTTAAATCATGTATTATTTTAGATTCTTTTTTGTATTTTTCAGCCATCATAAATTTCTCCTTTTGTTCTAAATCAAACTGATATTTGAATATAACATCTGAATTTTTGGTCAAAATATTAATTAATATTTTATACCTTTCCATATCTCTATTTAACCAAATTTCATCAGTAAATTTAAATAGATTTAAAAAACTTTCATAAATTGATAGATATTATTTATAATAATAATATGTAGCTATCATAAATAATGCATCCAATACTAAAAATGGAATCCATATAGATTACCAATTATCTTAAACAATTTATTTTCGTTCTTTAGTATAATCTAAAATATCATTAGTCATATTATCAAATTTATCATGTAAATCTAAATAATTAAAATATGGATATGTAGAAAATGGTTAATTTGTTAAAGATGTCTTTTTTAAATATGCAATTTTAAATTGATATTAATATTACAATAAAACATTTAATGTTTCTCTGAATGAAAGTGTCTTTACTTCCATTGAAGTTGAATTTTCTTTCATAAATTAAACATCAAAATCTTAATCAGTAAAGAAATCTAATATTTATGGATTAGAAAATTATTCTAAAAAATTACTCTTCATATCATCATATCCTTCTCCTAAATGATTTGATAACCAAGCAGATAATACAGTATTTTCAGCTGCAGTCATTCTAGATGGAACTTATACTTAATAGTAAACAGTGGAAAATCTTAAAGCTAAAAATATATCAAAAGGAGTCATAAAACTATAACTAAACAAAAGCATATCAACTTCTTAAATGAATCTATTAAAATCAGTATTCAAATTCTATAAAATAATTATACTATAAGTTGCAATTAAAATCAATTAAATAAAGAATAAAATATGACATAATTTATAGGAGATAGGTTTATATGTGTTATCAATTATTCCATTTATTAATTCATACTTTTTATAGAATAAAGATTTCTTTAAACCTATTAAAGAAGATACTTAAGAAGCAGCATCATCAACTTATTAATTAGGTTAATTTTTTTAATCAATTTCTAATTATAATTACATTTTAATATTCTCTCTCATCTCTTTATCAATTTTATTTAAATCTACATCATATAATTGATTTACATCCTTCATCTAATTTTAAAACCCTTCACTTATTTTACTATTAGATTAATCTAATTCCTGAATTTCTTAATTAAAGAACTTTTATTATCCAAAAGATTTGCTTGTATCAATCAGTTTACGAATACTTTAATTTGGAGTAATATCTACAGCATTACTGTTATTATCTATATTTTTATGATTATCAAATGATTATTCATTGAATGTTTAATTTAATTTAATTATATTTTCAGCAAATGATTATTTATTAATTACTAAATGTTAAGCAAACTCTACATGTATTTAATGATTTTAAAATGAAATATTTTAAAAGTCCTATTAAATTTCAGATAATGATTATTAAAAAATATTTAAGGATTATGGTTTATTAATTTCTGCTTCTGGTTAAGATACTTCTAAATCACTTACTTCAATTTCATTTGTATTATCTAAATCATTTAATTATGTTGTCATTCCTTTTCCATCAGAATTAGACAAATGAGTTAATGTTTAATTCTATCTTAAATCCTCTATTTCAATAATATGATAATAATATCCATACAATTCTCTACTTGAAATAATTATAGTTCCTCTATATACTGTTTAATTCTCAAGATGTTTCCAAATATCATGAAAAGATAAAATTGTACGAGATTCTTATCCAATCAATAATTTTTTATTCAATAATTTAATTTGCACATTATAAAATTTATTGTCTTTAGAAGATATTTTTAATTCATGAAAATCAGGTATTATAGAATTGATATTTACTTAATATATAGTATTAATTAATTTTGAATTTTCTTTGATTTCTGAAGCTTTCCAGCCTGATCTTTCTAATAGATTTGCAGTTATACCTCCACATACACCATTTACATCAACTAAAATGAAACTATTACCAAGAGAAACTTCTTCAAAAAATGCTGCAAATGATAAATGTTCTGTTTAATTTAATACAATATCAATAATTAAATTGAAAGGTTTTAAAAATCCATTTTATAATTCAAGAAAACTAATATCAATATTTCTAAAGTATTTACATTTTCCATCATTCATAAATCTTTATACTAACATATAATGTTCATTTCTTATTGCAAAAGGTAATAATAAATCAATATTCTTATTTTATTTTATAAATTCATCATAAGTTTATGATAAAAATTAATGAGTATTATTACTAAATTATGATATCATTAATGTTTATAAATTATCTGATAAATATAATATCATATGAACTACATTTTTACCAAATAAATTAATTTTTAAATTCTTTTTCATATTAATTAATTTATCATCAGCAATTGTACTAAAATTTGATAATTTAAATGCTGATAAATAATTATTAAGGATTTCTGATTAAAAGAAACAATTAATAGATTAAATCTTTTGACTTGGGAATTGTGAATATTAAAATAAAAGTTCTTTCTCTAATTAATAAAATAAATCTGATATTATTTTTGCAGTATCAAATAATTATTAAGATCGTAATCCCTTTTTATTAAGTATCATATTATAAAATTAGAATTTTTATTATAAACATTTTAAGATCTTATGTTTAACAATCTAATTTTATTATTCACTTTATAAATACAATTCTATTGCTTCAGCTATTTCTTCTTATTATTTTGTTTATTGTTTTAAGAAATTATTCTATAATTCTAATCTTATATCTTTACTAATAATTTTCAATTTTATTTAAGAAAGTAAATCTAAAATATTGTTTCTAACATTTAATTTTATTTTTTATTATTTTTCAATAGATTTAGCATTTATCTCTTACAATTTAGCTTGATTAGCTTTATTTTAAGATTCAGAAGATTAAGATGGAATACTCTATTAATGACTTTAAGATAATGAATTTACATCACTATGACTCAAAAATCCCCTATTTTAATGTACAGATAATGATAATAAACGATTACATTCTTAAAAAGCTAAAGTAGTGAATCCAAAATGATTTAATGCACTTATATAAAATACACAAGTATTATTAGATGATAAATCTCTCTTTTAATTCAATTCTTTATTCCAATGTTTAATCTTTTATATTATAAATTTCTTCTATAACTTTTAAGATAAAAATAGAACATTCTTTGGATTATCAGTATAATCCCCTGTAAAATTACAATGACAATTGTAATCATTACATTTTTGTCTATGTTAATATAATAATATAGCTTATGAAACTTAATCTATTCTTTCCAAATTTCTTGATTTATTATTTATTTAATATGATATATAATGTATTATTTTTTAAACATTCTTTTCTATCCTTATACTTTGATATAAATCCATTATTACTCTAGAACGATAAGTGCAACTAACAGATATACCTAATGGAATTAAAATTAATCCTAATTGCCAATGATAAAATAGAGATGCAGTTATTATTGATATTAAACTTATATGAATTATCAAAATAATCTATGTAAAACCTTCAATTATGATAGATTTATCTATTATTACATTAGAAATATAAGTTAAACTTATTAATAATGTTAAAATTCCTTATATTATTTACGCTTTCTAAAAATCAGTTAAGATTCCAAAAAGTATTAATTATATCAGAATAAATAATTCTCTAAAAAAATCAAATTTTGTAAAGTATAACCTTTCATATCCTTTAATTGTTAAATCTAAACAAGTATTACTTACATAGAGTTTAATCATTTGATTAAGTAGGGTAATTATAACAGTAATTATACTTAAAATTGAGATATCAATATTTATGATTCCTTCAGAAACTCCAAATGATGTAAATGATAAGACTTAAGCTGGAATATAAAGGTAAATTATAAATATTTGAGAATATATTGATTTAAAATTTATTACCATATTTTAAAAAGACCCAGAAATTATAATTTAACTGCTTTGATTGTCATTGTATTTCCTATTGATTATTTAATAAATAACTTATCCCTATAAAACTAAAATATCGAAAAATAACCAACAAATTAATGGTAGTAAAAACAATTATTTATTTTCTATACCAATCATCTAATTATCAATCCAAATTAAATCTGGTCTTATTAGGTATATTAATATAAATTAATTATATATCTTAAAGGAGGCATTATAACAGGGATATATGTAAAAAAATGCACTCTGCAATTATCCTAAAATAAAAAAAGCATATTTAAGTGTCTAATACATAATATACTACTTTTAATGTATAACTATTAATAATCTTAGGTTTGTTTGTATGTATTTTCTCAAGAAGTTTTATTCTTTTTATTTTTTCATTATTCTCTAAATAATAAATTTGAATTTTAATAATTTCGAGTGAGATTATTTATTAATAGCATATTAATAATTCAATTCAAAATTAAGTTACGATCTCATTTAGAATAATTTTATATTTTATTCAAAAAAGAAATAGTTTTATTAATATAACCATTTTTATTCTAGGGATTGAAATTATAAATATATGAAGTGGTTTTATAAAAATCCTTGGACTTCACTATTTAAATGAAAGTTCTTAATTTTTATTTTTAAACCTTTCTTTTTAATTAATTTTCATTTTTTCAACAATAATTAAATATTTTTATTAAATTATGAATTATGAGGATTAGAATAATTATAATAAAGAAATAATGAAGAGAATAGTCCCCTTTTTTATTTGATAATTTAAAAATTAGATTAAAGATGTATTTTTTTATCAAATATATTTAATTTAGAGAAACACTAGAAATAAAATGATATTTTATTTGATATTTATATAAAAATACACAGAAATAAAAATTATTAATAATTTTAAGCAAAAAACATGTCAGAAAATATCTAGAATAGAGTTTCATCAATTTTCGAAAAGCTTAATAACATTTCAACAAGTGTTCAGGATGAGTAATTAGTTTTTTTATATTTCATAGAAAAAATAATCGATTCCATTCTATCAGTCAATTAATCATGGCATTTGAAGCTCAATTATAACATTAATCTGACTAAAAAGAAGAGAAATTTGCTTATATTGCCTAGAAAGTTAGATAATTAACAGAATTTTTAGAATAAGAACAAGAAGAGTAATGATTATTTATTAATTATTTTAGTCGTGAAAGATAAGAAAGTGAAACCTTTAAATTGATAACAGATCTTGAAAGACATGCTAGAAGATTGATTGAATAGAATTCTAAAGACAGAGTTGAACAAGAAAAAAAGATAGTTTATACTATAGGATAATAAATAGAAAGCTTATAATAAGAAGTTGTAAAAGAAGGATTAGTATATTATATTATTAATATTTTAGGCTTAATCTACATCTCATGAATATATTGATTCTTATTTGAATGAAGATTTACCAAAAATAGCTGATGAATTATAAAATGAGATAACAGAAAGAAAAGACGTTGAAGAAAAAATATATCACTAATTTGTAGAATAATTAAATGATTTAAGAGAATTATTTGAAAGGTATAAATTATAATTAATCAATTTAGAGAAAAGAAAGAAAGAGAAGCTAAAGAAGAAGAAATTGTGGAAAGTTTGAGAGAAATCTCTGGAAGAATTTAAGAGTAACTCAAAAAAACTAGAACTGAAAGAGAGAAAACTGAAGAAACCTTAGTCTAATTAGTAGAAAAAGTCATTGAAAAGCTCAAGAGAGAAATGTTAGAAATGAACTTATGATATTGTCATCAAATATTATTTTATAATTTATTTTTTTGATTATCCATCTCTAATAAATACTTATTTTAAGATTTGAAATTACTGATTTAACAAAATATTAGATTACATTCTTGGTTTTTGATACAAAAATACATAAACACATATCCAATTTATGAATTTATTTAACATTTTTTTTGCAATCATATATATTCAATAAATTATTATAGATATAACTGTATATTATAGTAAAATTATTCAATAACATAATGGATTAATATTTATATTATTTACTAAAAGAAACCACTCTAGATTTTGAATTTTCAGATGAATATCTTAAATATATTATTTAATTTTATCTTAAATATTTTATAATAAATATATTTATCAATACTTTACTTGATTAATCTTCTTTTTCTTTATAGAAATTTATGAATTTCAAATTTTGCTTTATGTTACACCAATTATAGTTTAATATCAAAAATAACAATGTTTTATTAATTTTAACTCATTCACAACTTGATCTTTAATTTTTACCATTGTTTCAATTATTATTGCAAGTTTTATTGTCAATCTTTTGAAAATTAATTAAATTTCGATCTTTTATTATTATATAAATACTCGATATACTTTTGATACATCCTAGATAGTGATAATTTATTGTATATTTTAGAAAAATAATTTTAATTTTAATAATATTTTAATATTTAAATAAATCATTACTCTAGTCTTTTTTGTAATTGTTACTAATATATTACAATCTTGATATAAAGTCTATTATTGATTATATCAGAAGTTCTTCTTGAATATCTTCATTAATTTAAAAAATAATGAAATTAGTTAAATGAATTCATTATAAATCCTATATAAGTCGATTGAATATAGAGTTAGTAGATTTTTTGAATAGAATTCATATATACTTTAAATATTAACGACTAAGTGAATTATAAATATATTATTAAATATTTGCTTGCAAATGATAAAGTCAGTTATTTCTAATAAGGAGAACTAATTTCATCGTATACACTAATAAAGAGCTACAAGAAAAATTGTAAAGAATTGAAATTATTACAGATAAACAAAATTGGGAAATCAACACTTAATCAATCGCCCATTAGAAAACGAGTTGAAAATATAGCTTAATAAAATTTAGAAGCACTAAGTTCCTATCAAACATTATTTGATAATTAATAAAGAATTGATTTATGTAAGAATTTTAATTATCAAAGTGAAGCAACATCATAGTAAAATAAATTTTAATGAATAAGAGATAGTAGGTTGGGATGATGAAAATTAAACTTTTGAGAAACCATAGAAATTAACAACAGATTAGAGTGTTTAGACAAGTATTAGTTAAGAGAAAACAAGAAAATCATATTCATAATAAACTTAGAGAATTAAGACAATACCAAGAATGATAGAAGTAAGATAAAAAACTTCAAAAACTCCACTCAGAACTACTAAAATAACAAGTCCTATTATTGAATATCCAACAATGCAAAAATTTAAATTGTTTTTTGATAAGAATATTTATAAATAAGGGATTCCTTAATTAATTATATGTGATAGATCTATGAATGCTATTGATGGATTGAATTGTATTAGTTTCAATAATTTTACATCAAAGTAAATGAATCATAGAAGAAATCAAAGTTTGTGTGTTGGAAATAAAATCAATAGAGTAGAAATTATTAAAGATATTACTCATAATCAATGAAATTGAAATGTGATTTATAGATACTTATACAATTAATATTTTATATTTTGCATTTTTTTTAACTTATTAACAAGATGTTTATCTTGCAAATGTTATTAATTAATTATTATAATTATTAAATTTTGATGTCGTAAACAATTAGAAATTCAGATGAATGCTAACTTACTTTTGAACTTGTTGAAAATGTATACTAAATTTTAAATTAAGATAATTAACTATTATTAAAAAATCAATCCTTAAGATGACAAGAAAGAAATCAATAGCCAATTTTATAAAGTTGAAGAAGCCACTGTTTGTTTCAAAATAATTTGTCATTATATGGATTAATTGTCTATTGAACATGAAGAATTATTAAATTAATATTAAAATTTAGAATAACAATTAATTTAAAAAGAAGCTGAAACAAGAAGACATATTTAAATTGAATAATAATTAAAACTGTATGCTGAAAGTTTATTAGAGAATACTGAAGAATTTTAAAAATAGATAGATACTTTAAATTCTTAAATTATAGTACATATATTAAATATAAGTCTATTTCTAAAGAAAATATTAGTTTAAAATAATAAATAAGAGCAAATAAAAATGAGAGAGTATTAACAGATACTAGTTAAGAGAGACTTATTACTTTAATTTCTTAATAGAAATCATTAATTAATGAGATTCCATTTAAAAATTCTAAAAAAAGATCTTTAGAATCATAAAAGTAATTATTTATTATTAATCTTATAGATTTAGAATTTCATAAACTCAAAATAATGATAGAATGTAAATGATTTGTAATATCTATTAAAAAAAACCATCTCTACAAATTAAATAAAGATCAAACACTATACATGTAACTGATTTTCCAAACAAATTTTTAAAATTATAGAAATAAAGAACTAACAATTGATTATATAAATATGTATCTTGTAATTTATGGAGATTTAAAAATTTAGAATTAAAATTTAATTTTAAGCTAATAACACATATGAAATCAATTAATGTGTTTTTTAGATATTTAGTTTAATAATATAATCAAATCCATTTAAGCCTTTTCCCATTAGACCATTCTCCTTTCCTTGTTTATCCACTCGAACTAGTATATTGTCCTATTCCATGCATTTTACCATTTTACCACTAACCTGAATAGCATCGAGAATCAGCTAAATATTAATAAACATATTAAGATACGCCATGTAATAGTTCCGAATCCATGTTTTTTATCATCCAAATATGATCCTTCATATCGAGTTCCATCTTACCAAATCATTATACCTTATCCATTCATTTTACTTGATTCCCATAAACCAATATATTATTTAGTATTAGGCCAAGTGTATTTACTGTAAATAATACATTAATATATATACCCCTTGCCTGAAAAATAGTTATTTTTAAATTGACCTTCATATTATGAACCATCTGGAAATGTAAATATTCCTTCTCCGAATTTTTTACCATTCTAAAATTATCCTTTGAAGTTTGAAGAATCTTTAAAATACTCCTCCCCATATCCATTCTATTTATCCTTTATCCAATTTCCTTTATACTTGGTTCCATCGAAATGATAGTACTCCCCATATCCATGAACTAAAATTTGAGAAATTTATTACGTTAATCATCTAACCATTCACCCTCATAATAATCTCCATCTGGATACAACATTCTACCTTTACCATTAGATTTTCCTTTAACGAAATAGCCTTCATATAATGCTCCATTCTTCATAATCTATGCACCTAAATTTATTAGCTATTGCTACCTTTTCCTTCTTTTAAGCCTTCAATCCAAGTACCTTGATATAAGGATCCATTTTTGAGCTCATAAACTCCATAAAAATACCCTTCTCTTTCTTCTAGTTCTAAAGGTGGTAATTGGTTCTATAATTCCTATAATGTTTAAGCTAAACATTTTTTACTCTAACTTTTTCAGAAATTGTTTCAAATAATTTAGTTGTTTCCCAAGCTTCTGTCTTATTAGGTCTATGGAATTCTAGCTCTTCAGAATCTTCCATTTATTTAGTTTTAGCTTGAGAAAATGCTTTATCCACCTCCAAAGGATGGGTCGCCTAATTTCCATTAATCTATTCTTCTGTAATCATCATTGGTTTCTGAAACAAATTTATAGGAGGAACCTCACTAATAACAGGAATTTATTCTTGACATGAACATTACCCCATTTATGATTAAATAATTTCTCAAATTACGGAACGATTCAATTAATAATAATCAACAAACTATTATAATTTACTTTTTCTTTATAAATATTTTATATTATTTTAATGTCTTTAGCCAAATTCTTATAATACATCCAAATAAGCTTTTTGAATGAATTTTGGAATAGTCTGAGACCAGAATCATAAGTAAACCTTCCCCTTATATTGTCTTAGTTATTTTATGATAGAGGAAATGAAATTTTCATCTTCAGAGAATTAAATCAAATATTTATTATTTCCAAAAATCAACTTCAAACAGTTAATCGAATAAAGATCCCATATATTGGAATGATCTACAGTATGAATGCCTAATAAGATTTATCATATGTTGCATATTAAACATCTGAAAATTAATTGGTAATTTGTTCTCAAGAATTGCTTAGTCCTTGTTTTCAACAAAAGCAAATAGGCAATTCTTTTACACAGTTCAAACAGAAAAGAATTCATAAATCATATAATTTGAATGGGCCAAAGGTTGTTTGGGAATGTATGACATATTAGTGGTAGAAAATCATGGAATACATTTACTTAAAATAGATGATTAAGTAAAAAAAGTCAAGTTTTTTTAACAAAAAATTAGTTGGTGTTGGTATGAACCAAAAAATGAAGTATTGGCAACTTGTAGTACACATCATAATGGATTAATATCTACTTATTTTTTTAAGGAAAAGAGAAAGGATTTCAAATTTAAAGGATAGGATTTTTATCTAGAAGATTTTGAACCAAAAGAAGGAACATCAACATTTGCTTCATTATTCAAATCAAAAAAATCAGATATATAATAATTTGTAGCTCCTACAGATAAGAAAAATAAAGATTTATGTTAAGATGATTAATAATGTGAGTCAATTTATAGAGTTTATTTAATTTACATATATGGAAAATCCCTCTTAGCTTATTCTAATTCATTTACTGGTAAATTGATATTCTATTAAATACAATATGAGAAAATTACTAAAAAAAAATATCTACTTGAATTTCCTTCTGATATTGCAGTAATTAATTTTTATTAGATCTTAGATTAATCTTTCGGTTATTGATAATCTTATAGTCTTATCTACCTTTAATGAAAAAGTTTCAATTGTATTTGATGTATAAAATAAAAAAAAGCCTGAATAACCACTTGAGTCACCCTAATGTATTTTATAATAATAAGAAATAATATATAACAAAATAGAAAAGAAGTAGGGAATATAATAATATTAAGTCATTAAAGAGAGTTAAACAATAGATTCAGCTAAGAAAAATTCGAATAAAAATTTAGATGATATTCAAAATAATGATTAAGTATAAGAATAATAATAAATATCTATGGTTAAAGAGAAATAATAAGAAATTGATGAAAAATGTGATATAATGAAAGAAGAAGTAGATATATCTTAATAAAAATAAAATTTAGATGAATCTGATAAATAAGATAAATAAAAATATATTCAGAATTAAAATATTTAATAAAATGAAGAAATTCAATAGTTTAGTAATTCTTATTTTGTTTATGATGTTTAAACTTTATTTGAAGAAATTAAATAGAATGATGAATATTTTCTTAAATTCGTAGCAAAATTGAAATTGTAACATCTTTAAAAAAATGATGTTTAAGTTTAGGATGAATAAAGCAGAATTTGTAAAATTTATTATTAATTTTTAGATGAATAAAGTTGTAATTATTAGGGAGATGATTTAATAATTAATTATAAAGAAAAATAAATTTATTAATTTACTTTGAATTTAAAACATTTACCTAAAATTTTTGAAGATGAATGTGATGCATTTTGTGTATTATTAAGAAGAAATAATTGTAAAAATGCTCTTTTTTAATTCTTAATTTAATTGGCATTAAATAATAAATCAATTTAGATATTTTCATAAATATTCAAACATATTTTAGAAATATTTTTAAGATCCTTATAAGAAAAAGTAGGTAATACTTAAGTAGAAAAACTATTAAATGAATATACAGTTTTATATCCATAAGATTTACGATAAAATTTTTTTTTATGTTTATCTGAAGATGAAAATATGAAGAAATAATTTTTAATTGAAATTCTTATTGAATTTATTAGATAATTTTAAGAGAAATTAAAAGATTATAAGATTGCAATTCATGAAGTACAAAATCTGTTAGTGAAATTATTAATTAAAACAAATAGATATACTCAATTACATTTTTTAATTTAATATTAAGTTCTAACTGATAATGCAGATTTTGCAAAATTATTGATTGATATTAGTAACAAAGAATCTCTTGAATAAAGAAATCTATAACCTTATTAGCCAGCTTTCTAATTGGGAATAGATATGTTCTTTAGATTATAAAAGTATGAAGAACTATTAGATTATTTATTAAAATTTGGAAAAGTATATGCATAAAGTTATTTAAGTTTCACGATGCAGTCTTTTTGCTTAAAAAGATACCAAATATAAGAATGAAATTGCAACCAATTTAATAAGGCATTAGAATTGCTGATTGTTAAAAAGAAGATTTGTTAGTTTTCTTAGAAGATGCATATAGAAAATAAAAAACTTATTTTAGTGTTGCAGAAGTGAAAACTTTATGATAAATTAAAATGTTAAATTTATAAATATAGATATTTTGTATTCAAAGTAATTGCAATCTATAAATCAATTCTTTCAATTAAATCTCTAGAGTCTCACTAAAAATTAATGCTTCAAAAGGTATCAAATGCACAATACCTTTTAAGGATTTAAATAGCCATACTAAATATGATCTATAAAAACCATAAAGGAAAACTAAAATCATAAATATATAACAAAAATAACATATAGATAAGATCTATAATAATAATTTAAATATTATACTTTTATGATTGTATTTGTAAAATCAGCTTAAGAGTCTGCACTTTAACTAAATTATTTTGAAAGTGTAAAGAATACTCTTGTAACTATTTAAGATCCTTCTTATTCATAATAATTGATTTCTACACGTTTAGTAAAATTATTAATAGTTTATTATGTTTTGAAAGAATTTGATATATAATTTAATGTCGAAATCATACCTTATCTTAAGGTTCCATCAAATGCTAAATAACAATATCTAGATGTTAGATTCTAAAATCTCTATAAATTTTAATTATAAAATTACTTCATCAATAAATTAACATAGATTTTCTTTGCTTATGGCATAAAACAATGAAATAAATTAATCATCTACTAAAAATTAATCAAATTATATCATATCTGATAATTCTATATAATTTTAAATAGATTATTATGCTTAATCAATAAGTGAATAAAGTTAAATTTTATCTTAATTGGTCAAAAATGTAAAATTATTCCATCTAAAAAATATTTCCCTATATAAATATAAGCTACCTGTTCTTAATTTAAAATCTTGTATTTATTCAAAAAATTATAATGTATCATTGTACTTACTTAAGTAAAGATGAGAAGAGATAAAAGTTAGAATAAAAAAGAAAGTAATAACAATAAACATAAATACTAAAATTAAATAGTTTAGTAATTTTTAATTGTTCAAAGATCCTATATGTAATTTAAGATATCTTTACCCTTAATATTTAAGAGGTTTTGATAAATAAGTAAATGATCTATCAATAGGATCATATTATTGTAGACAATGTCTATCCAATTTATATTGATTCTTGTAATTTGTGAATTTATCAATTTCAGATTCTATCATTTCATAACTCATAGTATTTAATAATAAAAATAACATATCAATTTGAATGAAATAATATATTTAATAACATTAAATTATTATGTAGAGTAGTAGTATAATAAGAAATCCAATTATTGATATAATTTACCATTTAGTATAAATCTAATTTTTATTCTCTATAGAATAATTAGATAAAGTAGTTGTAATATTTTGACATTATTAATGTAAATGAAAATAATTAGCAAACAAAGAAATTTAATATGGTTTACCAGTAGTACTTTCTCTATAATAAAATGTCATCATTTGAGAATATTAATATTATAATATTACAAATAAGGTATCTCTAAGGGATAGATTTATAGGGTAAATTTATGTCTCATTATCCTACATAAAATACATAGTAAAATTTTAACCATTAAGGAAATCTTATAAATATTCATTATTTAATTATTCATAAAAGTTATCCTTTAATTCTTAAAATCCAAGATCAATAGATTAATAATAAGGATCAATTAATTCTTGTAATCTATCTTTTGGTATGAAACCATCTCTTTACATTTATTAATATTAAGTAATGGTTACTCTCATTGAAAAAAATAAATCATGAGGAGCCATTATAGCAGCATGAAATGTTAACATTTCCAATAAAAATTTAACATTAGTAATATCAGATCTCATAGATATATGGAATAGTAAAATAAACAATACAAATATTGAATGCCATAAAACAACAAGAAAAAAGAACTTTTATAAATATCTTGGAGATTGTACTGCCAAAATTGATTAAATTAATTAATACTTTTTATTTACTGAAGCATTTTCTAAATATGCTTCACTATAAATTGTTGTTTTTTTAATCTTTTTTCTACGTACTTTTTCTTCATCAACTTTATTAGAAATAGCAAATACTTATTCTTATTATTCATATGTATTATTATCAGCAAAAAATAATTACTAAGTATTGTTTACTAAAGAATTTTATTATTTAAATGATTAAATTGTCATCAAATTTTTATTTATACTAAATTTTCTATTGTTTTAATCAGCAGTCTAAACTTATTTTATGGCTATTGATTATGGAATATGTTAATCACAAAAATTGATAGCATTTATTTTTTAAATTCCTGCTTTATCAGTTTGATCAACTAAATATTTATTTTCATCACAAAATTTAGGTTGAGATAAAGGAATTCTAGCAAATGAATGATTAACTTATTATTATTCAGCTATTTTAACTACATTTATAACAAAATATTCATAATTTGCAATTTTATTTTTTGTTATAAGCAAATCACATTCTGTATGAACATAATTAAGCATAAGTTAAGCATCTCCAGATAAAAAGGATCTCTAAGTTTATATATTGTATTATGGTTTTGGTAAAATAAGGATACTTTAATTAAGTTTTGAATATTTTATTTTATTTTATCTAATAAATCTAACAAAATTTGGATATATTCTAGTTATTTATAAATTTTCATATTTTTCTTATTAACACAAAGTCTCTATATCACTTTCAAACCAACCTATTAATGTTAATAAATTTTATGTAAATGTACATGCTAAACTAATCCCATCTACTATAATATAAACCTAATCTTAGGAAGCTTCTTATAAAAATGTAGCAAATGTAATATTTTAATTAACAAATTTGTTTGTTATAATAAAACACATATTTATTGGAGTCAAGAGTTAATTCTTATTTTTTATATAATTGATATCAAACATCTAATAATATTTAGCTTCACCTGTTTCAAAAAACCTTTTAACTAAATTACAATGATGTTATACTAAGTATTTAGGCAATAAATCATTAAATTAATGTTCTTCTGCATGTTAAATCCCTCCACCAAAAGAATGAAAAAATTTATTAGAGAATTATTAAATTTTCAAAGTCTCCATATCATCCTTAACTTCCAAAATTAAATAATGAACATTTGAAGAATTTATATTAAAATTTTTAATCTACTAAAATTATAATTTTTATGCTTCAAAAAAGTCAGAATTTCTAAAAAAATGTATAGCTTTTTTGTAATCACACAATACTTCACCATAAAAGAAACACACAATTCTATGTAATTTAAAACTTGGTTTATGTTTATATGCTAATGCTATCTTTTTTTGTAAATCACATAAATTATAACACAATTTATATACTTTATTATGTAAAACACTAATTTATTCATTAATCATAGTTGTTTTTACAATCATTTAATAGAATTATAATTTTTATTCAATTAAATCAAAAATTAATCTTTCTTTTTAAGTAAGCATTATATCAAGTTCAATATTCTATTCTATATAATCTGATATAAATGATTTTTAAGCTGCATGAAAAGAAGTACCTAATGATGCATTTATTTTACTCTTAGCTTAATTAAAAATAAATGTTAATTTTACAATATCTAAATAACTGAATTTTAAATTGTATACTGATAGCATTTATAATAAAGTATTATTTTATTCAAAACACTCTTATAAAATTGTTTAATTCATAGTTGATAGATCATAATTCTACATTTATGTTAATTAATCTCTAGAAAATGATAATGAATTTAATTTGTTATTATCATTATTTTTACAATTATAATTTAAATAACAAAGTAGTTTAACAGATCTCATAATTAATCCAAAATCATAAAGCATAAATGCATATTATAATAATACTTAATTTTCAAATTCTTATTTTGAATTTATTTAAAATAACTATGTAAATTATTTCATTTTTTTCATTATGAATTCTTTATAAATTTAAAGTGTAATTCCACATGTTTAAGTTGTATACATTATATATTAATGACCACAGTAGAAACATTTGATATCGTTGCAATTTTTTCTATGTTCTGATGCAATTAAAGATTTTATGATTATCTCTGATTATTTGGAAATCAAATCATTATTCATCAATTTTATTAAGGAATACTTTATTTGCCAAATTGAACTAAATTCTTACTTAAACAGCAATTTCAATTATAAACTATTAAAATATTAATTATAATTATTTATAATATAAAATGTTAACATACCAAGAATTAAAAGTGGTAATAAAATTTAATTAAGTATGTTCTATTAGAAAATTAATGTATGTATATGAAAGGCAATATTTATTGAAATTGCCATCAAGGTTGGTTATTATTAAAAAGTTAAATTAAGAGTAAAATATTTAAATTAATCATAAATTAATACAATCTATGTTAATATTACTAACAGTATTTATATATATAATATGTATTCTAAATTAACCAATATTACTTAAAAGATTTATAATATAATTAACACTTGATAAATAACACGTGTTTTTGTAAGTCTTGTTCTTTCTATATCTTTTACTTAATGTGTAATAGATTAATCAAAATAGCATAAAGTAAATAATGATTCAAGCAATAAAATAAATATAGTTATAAAATTGATTATGATGTGAATTATCATTATTTTTTCTTATTCAAATAATTGTATTTATTTTCTTAAACTTGTCATACAGAGAAGACTAAGTAACATAAATAAATATGTGCTTATCAATTTTTAATATAATGTATAAATGAGACTCACAAACTTTAACAACAAATTCTTCTGAATTAATTTAATAAACCTATCCTAAGTTTGTTATTTTTAATAATGGTAAAATAGAAGAACCCAAAAAACCTTATGTAACATAAACATTATTAAAGGTATTAGATGCATATTAGTGCTTAGAATAAGTATTAATAAAATACTTAGAAATAATGATATCAGGCCTAAAAATAAGAATAAAAAACTGATAAATCCAATTTTATTTGAGATTTTTGAAATTCTCTGATTCTAATGTTATAAGTAATGGATAAAGAGTAATAATAAATTGTAAAACCATAGATATATTCTTGGAAATTGATAAATTAGTTCTCAGGATGAATGTAATTGTAATATAGTGTGTTAAAAGGATGTGCTTTTCTTTTGACATATAATCTAAATTAATGATCTTTAAATAATTACTCTTATTTATTAATTAAAATAAATAAATCTCATTCTTGAAAGTTGAACAATTAGTTTATATTAAATAAATTTAGTCATATACAAATTAAATAAATATTGAAGTCTCATCTTTAAAAACTTATTTTTAAATCATTCTAAATGAAATTGTATAAATTAACAAGTATTAATTTAAAACAAATTTTTTAGATTTTGTGAATAATATTATCAATAATATTATACTAATACGAAATAAATACAATAATATAAATTATATAACTATTATTATTCAATAAAAATGAGGATATTTTTTATTTATAGGTTAAAATATTTTTGACATTTTCTAAAATTTTCTATTTTATTTGTTTATTGTTATTAAACTGAAGTTATTTAGATTTAAAGATAAATGTATTATAATGGATGTTTTAAATATAGAAATTTCGACTAAAATTAATACTATTCGTTAAGTTTATTTGAAAGTGATATGATATTTCTATTTTTTTTGTTTAATTAATATGAATTATATAACAAATTAGTTAAATTTACAATAGAAAGCTGTATGATAATACAATGAAAAAATATTTAATAATAACTTAACAATTAAAGGTTTCATTCATCATTAGCGTATGAAGTTTTTAATAGATCTTTAAATTCTCCAAATTCAATTTATCCTGAATTGTCCTTATCTACATCTCTAATAAGACTTTCTATATCAATTGTTAATTCGAATTCAGATTTAATAATTTATACTAGTTTATCTGTACTTATCTATTGATTAATCAAAAATTGATACTGATCCTGTTTTATCTGGGTTTCCTCCCATTGCAACAAAGGCATCAATTGTGTCTTAGTCATCATCTAAAATAAATAAGTTAATAATACATACCATCTTAGTTAGAATACTTAAATTTCCAATACACACCTAAGAAATCACTAAATCTTATAAGTCCTGTATTTGTTTCCTCCACTTCACTTATAATTTTATAGAGTTCATTTTCTGATGGTTTGAAACCGATTTTTTCTAAAGCAATTTTTAAATCCTGACCTCTAATAGCTCCAACACCATCCTAAATGAAATATTAAATATACTTCATCCATTTCAGCAAATGCCCTTTAACACATATCAATGTCTTCCTCAGTTAAATTCATATATAAATTTTTTGTTAATTAATAAATTAAATTTGTTTATATGGTTTTTTTATGATGATCATAAACAAATTAAATAAAAAAATGAATAGATATATAAACAATGTAAATTATATTTAAAAAGTTATTATAATTAATTTTCATTCCATCTCATTAATAATATTTAAAATTTAATATATTGTTTATATAAATATATATAAATAAATTACTAGACTATCTAATAAATTATTTGATGGCTAATTTTAATAAGAAATATTTGAATTTAAAAGAATAGAAAAATATAAGTATTATATTTTTAGAATGAATTCTACTTTTGAAAATATTATATATTATATAATAGGATTAGAATTATAGCAATATAATTAAATATAATATTCAACATCAAGGTACGTCATTTTCATCATCTTATAAATAATTAGTCTTTAATAATTCTTTAAACTCACCAAATTCAATTACTCCTGATCCATCTGTATCTACTTCTTTGATTAATCCTTCAATATCAATCGTTAATTCGAATTCATTCTTAATAATCCTTATTAACTTTTCAGCATCTACATTTCCAGTAGTATCTTCATTTCCACCCATTGCTACAAATGCATCAATCATATCTTAATCATCATCTTATAAACCAGCATATTTAAGTTTGGCAAATAAAGTCAAAAATTCTTTAAATTTGATGCGACCTCTATTTCCATCATCAATTTCACTAATTAATTTATGAACCTTGTGTGGTTTCTACTTTAAACCTACCATTTCTAAAGCAAGTTCCAAATCATCAGCCATTATTTCACCTTCTCCTCTCTAAATTAGATAATAGATTATTTAAATTTACATCATCCAAATCATTGAAAGCTCGCTAACATTGTTCAATATCTTCTTCTTACAAATTCATGATATTTATGTATTATTTAATATTAATAATTATTTTAGATTTTAATATCAATTTATATATTAAAAAAAATGGTGTAAACTATGATAATCTTATATTTACAGATTTTAGATAATTATAGATAATTATATTTTTATTTATTATGATAAGAAAATAATTTAACCCAAATAGTTGTAATTAAGGTGGCAAATAATAAATTGATACTTTATAAGAAAAGCATATACTTGCACTAATTAATAGTAGACCTTAAGTTGTAATTAAACCACCCCATCCTCATGTTGATTCAAATAAACCATTCTCCATCAGTTTTTATTTTAATCATTATCTACCTTAGAAGATAAACAAGATTTTACAGAAATCAATGAAACCTATCGTCGTGTCTAATCCTTAAAATCAGGTTATTCTGATACTAAAATGCCAAAGACTTTCAATATGAAAGAGTAATTAAAGAAGAAAAATAAAGTATCATAATTTATACAAGAATAAGTATAAGAATTTATTAACTAAAGAATCATTTAAATAACATCAAAGCACTAGAAAATAATATTCAAGAAATATCTACAAGAACTCAAAAAAATATTTAAAGAATTAAATCTAATTCAAAAATGCACAGCATAGCCTCATCTATTAAAGACAATTCAAGAATAAGTAAAAGAGAATGGGAAGAGAAGTCCTCTCATCCTTTGGAATATGAATGGAAGTATATTTTCTATTTAAGTTATTTTGAGCGAAAAAAAGACCTGATTCAGTTTTTAGTAAATCAAAATTAAGTAAAGGGGACACACTTTTATCTAATGCTTTTTCTTTTGATCAAAGTTCATATAAAATATAAACTTAATCAAAAAGAAATTAATAGGATGGTCCTTTTGATCATGCTGATATTCATATAAATGAAGAAATACAAGATGAAGATTTTTTTATTTATACTGATACATAAAAAATCCCTAATGAAAATATTATCTAATCTCCTCATTGTGCTATAGTAGACAAAAAAACTAAATCTACAACAAATGTAATAATTCCATTAGTGAGACCAAATGAAAAGATGAATGATGTTAAACGCAAAATTTATTAAACTTTGATGGAATATAAAGTATGTTTTGATATTATTTCTATTATTCTATTAGTTATTTTAAAGAGATTAAGTATATTAAATAGGATTGGCATATATTAATAAAAATTAATGGCTTGATGAAAATGAAATTCTATAAGAGTGTAATAGAATATCAAAATAATTGTATGGAGTTGAATGAATTCAAATCATTGACATTATTAATTTTCATAAATTTTATTCCTACCTCACTAATAGTTAAATTATATACACATTAAATTAATTTATTATGTTTTTATATAAGAACTCAACTTTTTATATGTATTTTTGAATCTATTTCTATTATATTAAGATAAGAATCTTTTATTATGTTTGCAAAATTATTTAACATTTTATATTAATAAAAATTATAAAGTAAATCTTTAATTAATGGACATCGATCGTCATATTGCATCATTACTTTCAGGAGGATGTCTTCCAGAAAGAGATTTAAAGTTAATTTGTGAAAGAGCAAAGGAAATCTTCTTAGAAGAATCAAATGTTTAACCAGTGAAGGCACCTGTAAATGTTTGTGGTGATATTCATGGTATGCTACTATTGCTTATCCTTTAGGTCAATTTTATGATTTATAAGCATTAATTAAAGAAGGAGGAGATATTCCAGAACATAATTATATTTTTATTGGTGATTTTGTTGATAGAGGGTATAATAGTGTAGAAACTATGGAATATTTACTTTGTTTAAAAGGTATGAATTTAAATTAATGATTATTAGTTAAATATCCAGGAAATATAGTTCTATTAAGAGGAAATCATGAATCTAGACAATGCACTTAAGTTTATGGATTTTATGAAGAGTTATTAAGAAAATATGGAAATAGCAGTCCTTGGAGATTGTTTATGGAAGTTTTTGATTGCTTACCATTAGCTGCTTTAATTGAAGGATAGATACTTTGTGTACATGGTGGATTGTCTCCAGATATGAGAACAATAGATTAAATTAGAACTATAGATAGAAAGGTAATAGAAATTAAAAAACAATTTAGATTGAAATTCCTCATGAAGGTCCATTTTGTGATTTAATGTGGTCAGATCCTGAAGAAGTAGAATATTGGGCTGTTAATTCAAGAGGTGCAGGATATTTATTTGGTGCAAAAGTAACAAAGGAATTTTGTAGACTTAATGATTTGAGTTTAATATGTAGAGCACATTAATTAGTTATGGAAGGATATAAATACTGGTTCCCTGTATAAATTATCATATATATTTTTAGGATCAAAATTTAGTCACTGTATGGTCTGCTCCTAATTATTGTTATAGATGTGGAAATATAGCATCAATTTTATGTTTAGATGAATAATTGTAATCAACATGGAAGACATTTAAAGAAGTGCCAGAGAGTGCTAAAAGTATTAATCCAAAGAATGTTCTTCCATATTTCTTATGAAGTATTTTTTTAAATATTGATACATTTTTTATTGATAAATCTATCTTTAATAAATTGATCAAATTTATATATTTGAAGATCAAATAATTTATTTAAGTAATGAGAAAAATGAAGTATTTCAAAATAAATATTATAAATCTATGGTATATAAATATTATGGTAATTGAGTTTTTAGTGAAAATATCAATAGAAATAATAATTCATTAATAAATAATTTATGTTGATTTTCTTATTGTTTTAGATTACTTACCAACAATGTTTAGTAAATTCTGAAGCTTAGACTAACTTTTTTAAATTGTCAAATGAAACGATAAGATTAAATATGTTTGATTATTTTTATGGATATAATTTGGAGTTTTCTACAGATAAAGATTATGAATTATAAAATGTGTTAAACTAATTAGATATTTTAGAATTAGAAGGAATAGTTATAGATAGTTCTTTATTAATTAGTTAATATACAAAAGAATGGATGAATAAGATTGTTACTTTAAATGAAATTAATGAAGCGTATATAGTTTATATTATAGGCATTGAAAATAATTAACTATTGATTCAAAATACATTATATATTCCACAATAATAAATCTAAGTAAATTGCAATGAAATTACATTTCTAGACAATGAATAGATTTTAGTAAATTGTAATAATAATATTGCTGGACAATCCAATTATTTTTTTTATGTCTCCTAAATTTAGGATTAATTTTCATGGTAAATATTACAATATACTCCATCAACTCTTTAATATCAAGTCTCAATTATTGATTTATAGGTAGCATTAGACTAGGATAAGAATATTTTAGTAATATTAGGTAGATACAATTAATAATATTTTTATGGAGTGATTGAAATCTATTCTTATTAATAATTAAAAAATCAGTAGACATTGAATCCAATATAAATATTTAATCAATATTAATATAGACAATATAAGATTAGCAATTACTAAAGTATAACAGAATATAAATATATTTAGTTTATTTAATGAATGTAACAAATGTTATTAATGTTTATACTTTAAATAACTTCAGTTAAATTGAATAATATAATATTAGTTAATTTATTTATTCAAACTATTAATTATTAGCATTTGATGTTGACCTTAATGGAGAGAACTTACTTGTATATACAACATTGAATGGTTAGAATTTATTTGAAGTAACTACAACTGATCTAATTAAAGAATACATAGTAAGAATAGATTTCCAATAGACAGATATTCCATAATTATTTAGTAATAATGAATTAATTACATTATATATTGCTGATTAATACTACATATACGATAGAATTCAGCCCAATATTATCATCAATACTTAAACTTAAAATGTAATAGGTTTAAATCAATTGCCATATAATATATTAACATACATAACAAATAGTCTTTATTATTACTAAATACTGTAACCTCAATTATTTATTAATTCAACATCTAATTCTATTATTGAATTATAAGCAATTTCGAATGAGTAGAATATTTAAATTAATTGTTCTGTTACTTTAAATGTAACTATTCATGGATTAGTTCCAGTTTTGTATTAATATGAGAAGGAATTACCTTCATAGATAATAGTTAAAACAGATAAAACATATCTTAATGCATTAAATTATGTTAGTGGATCCTTAATTATGATTTCAGCCTAATCATCAAAAAATTCAATTATAATTTAGGACCCTTCACTATAAGTTTAATTATCTAAGAAGATTTGGGATCAAATAAATGGAGTATTTTCATTTTATTCTTCAGATTTTCAATCATATGCTATGTTTATACTTTAATATTAATATGCAAAGGATATAATTAAATACAGTCAAATTTCACTTAGATTATGTGATATAAATCTATTTGATTATATTTAAATAGATTAAATGGAATGTCGAGATTATTAATAAATATTCTAAATAAATGCACCAATAAATAAATTATAATTTACAGATTTGACAAATCCAGATGAAGTCTATTTTGTAGCAGATATTGCTTTTAGTGCAGTAGTTATTTATAAGTTGGATTAATTTAATGTATTTACATAAATTCAAGCTAAATTTATATGTGAACCACTTCCAATAGATGAATAAGATTATTTTCATTCTATTACAGATTTTTATGTTATAGGAAATTATCTATATTTTATATTATCCAGAATTCAACAAATTTGGATTTATGATATTTAAACTTGTAAACTTATATACAAACTTACAAATTCCTTTTTTGATACTCCTTTTTTTCCTGCATCTTTAGCTGGCTAAACAATTGTTGATGAAAATAATAAGTTGAGATAAATTATATTTATAAACTCATTATCATATGTATATGTGTTGGAAATATTTAATAAGATTCCAATATATCAAAACATTATTAAAATGGATAATTATACTAATATTAAAACTCTTTCTGTTATCAAAGATTCTATAATCCTTGTAGTTTAAGAGAGATTTGGATCAACTTCAATATATCAATATTTTTATTCAATTGATTAACCAACAAATGAAATTAAATTTATTAAAAAATTACCTTAATATGGTGTAAGTATTAATAATAAATTTATTGTTGCATCAGATGATTCCTTATTTTACATTTTAATGAATAATAATTTTTACTATGTTTACAATCCTACATTATCTTCTTAAGATTCTTTAATTCAATAATTAGATTATATAGGTGATTACATTTCAGCTACCCACATTCCAAATATCCTAAAATAGAGTAATATAATCATAGCCAGTCATACAAATCTTGTAATCTATTCTGTAACAAATCCTACTTATATAATGATTGAACAAAATACTAATTTTAACACTATGTAAAAGGAATCAATTAATTATACTGTTTCAGTTTAATCATAAATAAGCAATAATTAACTTAATATTAAAGGTTCTTTTATAGCTTATGATACATTATTTGTTGGCTTTTTCAATTCATCTTATGTTTTTTAAAATAATTAAATAGATCAAATTACTATTTTGAATAATCCATAATTCACAATCAATTTGAATCTAGTAGGATCAATTACAAATAATGTTATTTCATATTATGCATCTACACCTATTTTTGATGGTTATCCACAAATTATTTGTTTATTAAGACAACCATTCTCTATTAAAAAAATAATTCAACCAACTCCAGTAGATATAACTTAATTCACTTTTTCAACATAATCACCTTTAATTTATGCATAAAATATTGGAGCATTGTATGAAGTAATTGAATAAGAATTTGTTGAATTGATCAATTATAACAATTAATTTACTCATTGTTGGGCACTTGTCTATTATAGTTAATTATAATAAGTAATTTCCCTTTGTTCACAGTATTATGTATATACATTTACTATTTATAATCAAACTTAATAAACACATTAATAATTTTAAGCATTTAATAAATTCTATTTCCCACTTAAAATGGAATATTATTCTAATTTAGTTAGTACTTTAGCAATACAATAAGGTGATAGAAGTTATTCTATTTTAATAGGAAATCTCTCAAATTCTACCTACTTTTAAAACATAAAACTATAATGCTAAATATCAAGTGCTGATTAGATAACATCTTAAGATATTGGAGATTTCACAGTCGTCTAAATTAATGGTATGTTCTTATTTATATATGTTTGTCCATAAATATAATAAATATAATATGCTACAATTTCATCTACAGGAAATACTGTACTTAATCAATCTATAATGCATATCTAAACTGAATTACCAAAAAAGGCCACTCTATAAGAGATCAAATTAATTTAATTAGAAAGTCAATAATTAATCTTTCTGATAACTACAAAAGAATTTTATAGCATTATATTAGAAGCTGATTACTCTTATTATAATGGTTACATTTTATTAACTAACGTTACATCAAATAAATAAATTGCACCAATGTAATAATCATACTAAGTAAAAAATACTTATTATGTCAATAACTTCTTATTTACAACTTATCATGATACTATTATTGACACTTACTTTTTAGCTCTATATGATCTAAGTAATCCTAATTTAAATATCTATTATTCTATTGATACTTTAAGATTCAAGTCTCCAATAATATATACAGTATAAAGTACTTATAATACTGTTTTTGTAATGGATAGCTTTCCAGTTCTGTATTCTTATAATTATTCAAATTAAGTTGGATTAAATATAGAAAATATTACATAAACTTCATATCCTATATATTTATATATTAATATTGATTAGAAATATGGTCCTACCCAAATTTTATAATTGTAATTTTAATACCCTCCAATTGGCTAAACTGAAAATTGGGTTAAATATACATGTATCGGAGTTGGATCTCTATATGTGATTACTTTAATCATCATTATTGCCGTTGTTGGCCATTAAAAGAAAAAGTAACCTTCAGAAGATATGCAAGCATTAGAGTTGAATTTAAGATGAGAAATATATTTACAATAAAATATTATTTAAACTTATAAGCTCTGTTTTCATAGTTTTTCTGGATTTATTCCTAATGCTTTACAAGCCTTTTAGTAAGCCAACTCAGCAATCTCAATTTTTCTATTAGTGTTTCTTATTTTGTATACTAATTCTTCCTCTTTTCTCTTTTACAATACATAAGTCATAGCCTTTTTTCATATCAATTAAATGATACTTTTGGTATATCTTCATTTGTTGCATTATTAACTTGCTCCAATTAAATTGCAAATTTTTTCTTCTTTTCTGTCAAAGATGCAATTTATCTTTTAACCTTTTTAATTTATTCTTAAGTTTTTGCTATCTTTTTGTTTTTATCATCAATTTCTTATATCAATTTATTGCATTAATCTATTTCATTTTATAATTGATTTCTTTCTTCAATTAAAATAGAAGATATCTTTCCTGTTGCTATCTTTAAACCTAATAATTTTTTATTCTTTTCATCTATTTATTTAACATATTTCTTATTTTCTATTTATAATTAATGAAAATCTATAAATTTTAAATCATCTCCCATCTCCTCTTTCTTTTAAATCTAATTACTTGTTTTTGTAATTTATTATTCAATATTAGCTTTCTTTTATTTATATTTCTCTATTTATGCATCCTTAAATTTACTCAATATTATTAATTACCTTTTAAGCTAATTTTTCCTTAAAATATTTTTCTATTCTTTCTGCTTCAATCTTCCCAGTTCTTGTATTCTCTCCAGCAAATAAAATTTCTCTCTGAAAATCAAAAGCATCTTTTCTAATCTCTGTAATTGCCTTATCAGTTTCCTCTAAAATTGCCTATTTACATTATTTTTTCTCTTACTCTCAAAGTTTCTAATATTTAATCTGATCTTATTCTTCCTTCCTCAATATTCTTTTTCAAAGTATCACTCTCAAATTAAGCAATCTCATACTTTTCTTCATTAGTCAATTACATAGTCTTTATATTAATACTAAATTCTACCTTTTTATCAATAGGCTTATCCTTTTTCTTTGTTTTTTGTTTCTTATCTTCTGCTTCCTCTTCTCGTTATAAATCTTTAGAATTTCTCATTATATATGATTCAAATAACAAATTCTCTCTTCTTATTTACTCCATATCCTTATAAAGACCTTCCAATTTTTATGATAATTCTTCAATCAAAATAAGTTCTTTTTCTTCCTCTGTTATCCCTTATTATTATTCTTATATCATTTTAATTAATATTATAATATTACAAATTAACGATGAAGAAGAATGCTCCAAATATATCAAAAGTAGCATCAGATTTGATTCTGGCATATCAATAGTTAACGAGACAACAAAAAGAAATTGTCATTTCCCCAAGATATGAAAAAACTGCCTTATATTTTCCACAATCACGTACTCATATAATTATGTACATTATGCAGCTATTGAAGAGAAAATTGATGAAGAAAATTAAATTGATAGTCCAATAAAAACTATAACTGAAGAAGAAGAAGATTATTTATAGGAGATTTCTGAACTTAGAAAAATAGTAGATTAAAGTATAAAATATAATTATAAGCAGTGAGAATGAAATACATGAACATACCCTAAAAATATTTGCAATAGCCATTGTAAACCAATAATTAAAATACAATACAATCTACTCAAAATAACAAAACTAAAAAATAGGTGGTGATAACATAATACTAATCGGATTTTTTAAGACAATAATATGGAAAAATTAAATGACTGTTTATAGATTCCTTTTTGTTTTTTTATTACGCAATCAAATAAAATTCTTAAAATATTGTTAATTAAATTTAATATATCTAAAAATTATTATTAAATCATCATTATTGTTTGTTCCACTTTAGACTGGAAAAAATAACTAAAGAAATCTTCTTTTTAAAATAAAATTCATCTTCTCTTTCATTAATAAGTAAAATTAATATTAATTTTTAGTAATTAATTTTTTACACCATATATGTTTATGAATAATTATGAATATATTATTAAACTTCTTTTTTTACTCAAATTTGTTATAATTAATTTAAACCTTTAGAATGAAATCTAAGAGCCTATTACAATGACCATATATACTCCTAATTATGAAAAGGATAATATGAATTTTGCAGTTAAATTATTTTATTTATTGTTCAGAATTTAAAAAAATTTAGAGTATAATAAACAATTTTAATCAAAATTTTATATAAAGGGTTTTAGATGTTGTAGATTAAAATTTTTGATTTCAATTTTTATTTATTATTTTAGAAATTTATTTATAAATTTCTATACATTGGGAGAATAATATTTTAGATTTGTATTCTTAAAAATCATTTTATACAAATTGAATAGCTTTTTTATGTATTTGCTTATCATTAATCTTATTTATCCAAGCTATTATTGTGTATGGATTTATTAATGAAGAATAATTTTTATGATTTTAGTTAAAATTAATTAAAAAACTTTGCAATTTAATAATCATATTCATTATAGATATATATTTAATGACTAATTAGATCATAACAACAGTAACTCCTTTGATATCATATCATTAACATATATCACTATCTTTTTGGATTACTATTAGATGTTGAATAATATAAATATTGTAGAATTTGTTGAAAATCAAAGGATTAATGAATTATGTCTGGCTAAAATAGATTTCCTATGTTAATTCTTTAGTATAAGGAGAAGAAAATTTTGGATTTTAGTGTTTTATTAACTACTTATGATTTTTAATAGAAATACAATATTTTTTTTAATTCTATTTATATGAGAATATTTTTTTGGATTTTAGTGTTTTATTAACTAAGAAGGATTTTAACAGAAATATAAATTTTTTTCTAGGTTCATCATGGGAATTTTTTTTTGGATTTTAGTGTTTTATTTACTACCTATGTTAACCTATGTTAATTAATAGAAATTAATTAACTTTTATGAATGGAATATTTTTTTGGATTTTAATTAAATTTTTAATCTAAAATTGTAAATAAAAAAAGGAATAAAATTTATGATTGTTATCTTAATAAAAGTTTTATAATTAGATGTTTATTAAAATTAGCTTATTTATATCACTATTTTTTGTTCATGAAGTTTTTTTAGAAATTGTACAGATATTTATTAAAATAAGAATATAAAATGATTCTTTTTTATTATAATAAATAAACCTCTTAATTAAAAGGATTATGAGTTATAAATATGGATAACTTTGATTATTATATTTAATAATTTATATATAGTTATTCAAATAACCAATTATCAGACTTCTAATAGATATGAACAATAAAACCAAGTATAAATACATTATTTTGTGCTGAATATTTTCATTAAAATATCAAATAATTAATAAATTATATTTGCAATAATGTTTGGAATTACGAATAATGACAAATGATTTATTTATTAAAATTGTTCAAATCCTGTATTTATAAGCAAATAAAAAAATATTCTGAATTGCAATAATAAATTTAACGAATGACTGAAGACACAAACAAGAGTTAAAACAAGAACAATAATCCAACTTTCAATTTCAAGGAAGTAGCAAGCAAAGCTTGGAGATCAGGTTTATCAGGAAGTATGGCAATGGCCATTCAAGTGTGTTCTTTAATGTGGTTAAGAACAACTATGAATTACTAATATCGTTATGGAGGTACAATTGTTGGAACAATAAAACATTTATATGGAGAAGGAGGAATTTTGAGATTTTATAAAGGTAAAGAAATTTATATTAAATTTAGGTTTGGCACCAGCATTATTACAAGGACCATTGTCTAGATTTGGAGATACATTTGCTAACACTCTATTCTTAACATTAATGGATTCTTTTGAATCTACAAGAAAATTGCCAGTGATGATCAGAGCAGCTGGAGGATCAGTTATGGCTGGAGTTTTTCGTATTGCATTAACTCCAGTTGACACTGTGAAAACAATTCTTTAAGTTGAGGGAAAAAATGGTTTAACAATACTGTAATCCAAAATAAAAGTCAAAGGAGTACCTGTTCTTTATCATGGTGCTTTGGCAACAGCATCAGCTACAATCGTAGGACACTATCCATGGTATTATTTTCATTAATTTTAAGGTTTGCTACTTTCAATCTCTTAAATGAAAAACTCCCTGATTATGTGGATAAGAAGAAAAAATTGGCTAGAAGAGCTTTTATAGGTTTTTGTAGTTCAGTGATATCTGATACAATCTCAAATTCTCTTAGAGTTATAAAAACAACAAAGCAAACAAGTCAAAATCCAATAACATATTAAGAAGCAGTCAACTTAGTCTTAGAAAAAGATGGTGTAAAGGGATTGTTTGGAAGAGGTTTGAAAACAAGAATTCTTACAAATGGTTTACAAGGATTACTTTTCAGCATACTTTGGAAAGGATTTGAAGATTTTCTTAATAAAAGATCATCATAATAGTGATTAGATATGTTATAATATATATATTAATTTTTATTTAATTGTAAAAATTCTAAGATAATAGTGTAAAAGATGAATAATTATATTTTGTTATTTGAAATCACTTTATATATTGGAAATGATTCAAAGAATTGTAAGTAATTAAAATATTACTATAAATTATAAAAGATTATAAGTAATATATTACATCATTAAGGTTGCAATAAAAATTTGATTTCAAAACTGGGAAATTCGAATACTGTGTATCCTTTGATTACTTATTCAATTGTAATTTTAGGATCAATAAACAATGTTTATTTTTGATGACTGTTTACTTAATTTAATCTTTTCTTTTAATTTTTAAACTTATATTCATCTTGTTCTGTAAAATCAAGAACTTCATACGATTACCAACATAATTATATCTTACCTTCTTCAAAAAAAGATTTTAATGAATCTTTTGAAGTATTTATTTTGTATTAATCTAATAATTTAGAATCAAATAAATCTTGCTCTAGTATAGCATCCTGAAGTATTGTCTTCTATGATATGGGTTTTGTAACATAACTAACATTTAGATATTATAGTTCTAAACACCAATGAATTTATTTATCCTTTATAGAGTAAAATGATAAATTTTGTCTATGTTTTTTCATTATTTTTGGTGCTAAAATAACATCCACATTCATCTTTCTTGCATAATGTTTTAATAATTTATATCTCATAGCATCTGGCAAAGCTGTGATTCCAACTAATTTTTTTTATATTATCTCTGTAGTTTTCATCACTTCATTAACATAATTATAATCTCTTTAAACTAAAAGTTCTGTAATTTTATTAGGTTATTTAGTTGGATCTCTAATACCATTGCAATTATAAATTTATTTATGTTTTTTGCAACAATCTAAGGAACAAGTCTTAGTTTCACATTAAGGACATTTATATTTATCAGGTTTCCCACACATCTTACATAGTTCTGAAATCTCTCCATCTTCTATCATTAATTAAAATAAATTATTAATTAAGTAATAATAAATCAAAAAAGATTGAGCTTTCAATAAGTCTCTTATCTATTAAATTTATTCCTTTTTAGTTCCCTTTTAAGCTAAATCAATTCTATTTTTTCTTGTTATTATAATAATTTATTGCCCTTGTGCCAATTAGGTCCTTTTTTATGTATTAAAATTCCCCTTAGATGTATTTCTTTTCCTGATAATACTTTTTGTAATTATTTTTATGCATTTCGTTTATTGAATAGTTTTCTCTTGTAGGCTCTTCCTTAGAGCTTTTTATGTTTACATATCTAAACTATATTACACCTTTTAGTGAATTATCTAGTTCTTCCAGCTCTAACCAACCAAGCTGGTCCCATTTTACCCATTTTCTTATAAATTTAATAATAAATTCTTTAATAAAGAGTCTACAATTTAATAATGAATTAATGAGTGTTTCTGTCAGATATTTATAAGTAAATATAAAAATAGTACAAATATTTTTTTTATTTTTAAATCATTCTTAATTCAATAGATTTTTATAAAAACAATATTTAAATATAATAATTGATCACTTACTTGATTCTTTTTCTTAATTCAATTTATCAAAATTGTTGTAATAATTATTTAAAATTTGTTCTGATATTTTAATTATATTATTAGAGTATATAAAATGAAATATATATATAAATATACTTAAATTATGTGGATATATTTATTTCTTTTATCTATTGTATTTTATGGATGTCTTAAAAGTAATTAAATTAATCTATATTTTATTATTATATGTTCAATGATTATGATGATTAATTGTAATAAAATATTGATTAATTTCATTACCTATTAGTAGATACAGATTGTAAAGAGAGTGAAAAACAATAATATTTAAATTAGTGCAAATAATAAGCAGAAAAAATAAAAAAACTAATTTAGTAAAGAATAAAGTTAGGAAATGAAAATTAGACAATGAGATACATGAAATAATTTTCTCAATTAAATAAGAAACTATAAGAAATGGAATATAATTATTAAGATGAAAATATTAGTTTAATAGTAGACAATAATCAAGATCGTCAATTAGAAGTTCAATTATTTGAAGAAAATGTGAATAATAGAAAATAGCGCCTATAAAGTATCCATAAAAATATGAGTAAAGTTAAAAGCATTTATGATAAAATATCTTAATTAGCCTATTAATAAGTTGATTCAATATTTTAAGTTGAATAAGATTTTACATATGCTGAAGAGAAAACATAAAAAGCATCTCAAGAGTTAACAAGAACTTAACAATCTCAAAAATCAAATGTTGGTTACAGATTAGTGATAATCTGTATCTTAGTTTTTATAGTTATAATTTTATTCATAAAATGAAGATATATACATATATTTGTAATTATAACAGTAAATAATAATTTAATATAAATATTCAAAATTGAAAATAATGAATGAAGAGAGAATGTAATTTGTTGAGTGGAAGAATGAAAAAGCTATGTTATTACAAAAAATACAAATTTAGGAAATGTATATATAGGAATCAAAAGAAAGAGAAGAAAACCTTAAAAAAATGAATGAAATCTTTATTAATACATTAAATTAACCATAAAATGAGAATATAGTTTAAAAATTCTAAAAATCATTTGAATAGAATGAAATTGAAAAACAATAATAAATAATAAATACTTTGTAAATTGAGAATAGACTATTAGAAAATAAATTATAAGAAAAAGAAATTTAAATAAAAGCAATAATCAAAAATAATGAAAAAGAAGTTGAGAAATTATAAAATAAAATAATTGAATTAGAATATATAGTAAATAACAAGGAAAATTACAATTCTCAAAATGAATTTTAATTAAATTCATAATATGAAGATGATAGAATATATATGAATCGAAAAAGAAATTAAAGTCCATCTCATCCTACAACAAGAATAAGAACAACATAATAATTATAATAATTAGCAAATAATAAATTTGAAGAATCACTTATAACTAAAGATTCTACAGAAATTAGTGGTTTTTTGAATAGGATAAATCCTAATTTAGAAAAATAAATAAAGGAAATATAAAATAAATTATATAATACAAAAAAAAAATTAACTACAACTACAGAATAAGAAAGTTCATTCATTCGATAATCAATATAAAAAATAAAACATGTAATTATTATATATAAACTATATTTTAGAGATCTCGTAATCACTCTATTTCTGTTAATGAAACTGGATTTTGTGATTAAAAATCAAATTGGGATGATTAAGTTGAATACAAGACAAATTAGACAAATCAAACTAATCAATCATTGATGTACAATGGTTTTAGATTTTCTTGATTAATTAATTATTATCATAATAAAATCAATTCATTATTCAAAAAATTCGTTGTTTGTATTGTTACTAATCTATTCAGCATTTTATTCATTTGAAATTAGTTTGTTTTTATTGTCTTCTTATTAACTCTTTTTAATTTCTTAATATCCCTATATTATTTAAACATAACTATACCCTTTAACAGTTTCACAAGATTTCATTATCTAATTGCAATAAAGAGTAGGAATAGTACTTATCATTTAAGGAAATCTCTCTTCAGTTGATATTTGAGTTAATTCTGTTCTAGTTGTTTAATGTTTATTGATTTTTGGAAGATGATCTTCTTCATTATCTAAGTCTAAAAAGTGTTTAAGGAACTTTTCAGTTTATAAAGCATTCTTCTTATCAACTTTATTGAATTCATAACCATATCCAAGTAAATCAAAATTTCTATTTACTGCATCTTATAATTCATTTTATCTTGCTTTCATAGCTTATTCTCTAATTATCAATCTATTACTCTATTTTGCTCCAAATCTTAAAGTTATTAATAAAATTTAATACTTAGGGTTATCAGACACTTTTTTGATAATTAAGAACTTCTCTAATTACTTTATTTTTTAATCGTATTTCATAAATTTATTATGCTCTAGACAGAAACAAAATCATCACTATATGCTTCAAAATTAATCTAATAAACAAACTATTCTGCCTTATCATCTTTGCCAAAAACTTATATCAGATAAGTTTAAGCTGAAGGTATTCTATATTTACAATGTATTAGGTGAAATATTCATGGCAGCTCCTTAAAAATGTGCAAATATTTGGAAGGAGTTTAGAAGGAATGACTTCACATAAGTTTAAATACCTTATAAAACAGCTCTTTAAGTTTTTGATGCTTGTAAAGATGATATCTATTCTATGCTAAAAATTAATAGTGGAAAAGATTTTTTTGATTTATTTGATTAAGATAATGATGGGTAATACTATAGATAATCATATAGATATTTAAATGAAGATGAATAAATTCTAGTATTTAGTATAATCAAAGAAAAAATGCAATAAGTTGCAAATTTATTATTATAAATCTAATAATATGTCCCTTTCAAATAACTGATGAAATCAATTAGAAATTTAGAAGAAAACATTTGTGAATATTAAGATGTGTTAAGAAAAAAAATATATAAGTCTGAAATTGCTACATATAAAGAAATAGGTTTGGAAAAATTAGATGATTTTTATGAGAAGTATTACAATTAATTTTAAAACTTTGAATAATAAAAATAAATTAGAATGTAATTACAAACAATAAATTTAGATAAACATAAATAATATAATAATAAGAAGAAATGAATTAATTAGAAGAAAAATTATCAAAAAATACAGAATTTCTTAAAGTTAAACCAAAAAGAAAATTAAAAGATTTGCAAACATAAGAAAAATTGGTTTCTTTAGATGAAAGAGTAGAAGAAGCAATGGATTTTAGAAGAGAATTAAAAAATATGGAAAAAAAAGAATAAGAAAGAGTTGCTTCAGAATAAAAAAAACGTATTGAACGCTAAAAAGATGAATTAGAAAGAAAACATTAAAAATAAACAGAATAACTCAAAGCTAAATTAATTGAATAAGAACATAAATTAATTATTTAACTAAAAAAAGAATATAATGTTTTATTGAAACAAATAGGATTACATAATAATGAAATAGAAAGAATATAATCATCTGCTATGTAAAGTGCTATTCGAAAAGGAGAGAAAGAAGGAGAATTAAAAAGAATGAAAGAGAGGACAAGAATTTAAAATTTTATTATAGGTGATGCTAAGAGTACTTTAATAAGTCCTAGAACCTAATAATAAAATGCAACAACTTATGAAGACACTTCTAGTTCATCCTATAGATAACCTTTAACATCATCTAAAAGTGAAAGAGCTATGCATGATATTAAAACTCTTATACATAAACAGAATTACACTTAATTTTATATTAAAAAGAAATATGGAGCTGTAATTATAGATACTCTTATATTAAGGATCTCCCTGTTAATTATTAGCCTGAACCTTATAAAGTATAAGGGGATAATCATGAAAGAATTGAAAAAATTTTATCTGTAAAAAAGAAAAATCCTCATGATATTTTACCATCTTTAACTGAATTGTACGACATTGATATGAAATAATAAGTATTTATTATAAAATATACTAGAATTTAGGGTATACATAAAAGTCAGAATAAGAATTAATTTAAGAAAGACTTAAAAAAAAATAGTATATATTAGAAAAATTAGAAGAATCCACTCATTGATTTATTATTATTAATTTCTAAATTTTTCTAGATCTAAATATTTATATTATTTTTTATATTAATAGAAATTTTATTTAATTGAATATTATTATTCAGTTTATAAAATATTTTGTAAAAATAAAAAATAACATAATAATTATTTTAAATCATATTACTTTAAATAATTATAGTTCTACCTCTTTTTTGAATAAAAATTATCAATTAAAACTTCCAATATTCGTTAATTTGAATTTAATAATAATATTGATAAACTTCAATAGTATTAAATTTTTGTTATTACCATAAAAATATGGAGAGATTTTTAGAATTCATACATTTATGCACATAATAATGGAGAATCTTATTTGATTTGAGATGATATATCATAATAAAAATGTAAATAGAAAATGTAAAATTTGTGATTATTAATTATAATTTAAATGAATAGAAGTTAATAATAATATTTGAACAAATAGCAGAATTATATTTAGCTGCATGATTAAAATAGTGATTAATTATAGGAGAACTTAGAAAGACTTAGCAATTTGATGATTAAGAAACCATCTTAAGTTAAAAAAGTGTTTGTATAAATGCATGGATATTTGAGATCACCTTCTGCAAATCTCACTATGCAAACAAGGGATACTCCTGCCTCAAAACTTAAATCAATTGGATAAGTAGATTTCGAAAAGAGCAGTGATAAAATTGCTTAACAATTAAATACAAATTTGAGAAATTCTTCTCTGAATGTTACAAATCATTATTTAGAAAATTCAAATTTAAATTTTAATTAAACTCAAAAACCTAGAAATTATAATAGCTGGATAGGATTAAGTGTGATAGAAAGAAATAAAATATTTATGGAAGAAAAAGAAAAAAAATTGAAAAAATTAAAAGAACAGAAAGAAGAAAATGAAATTAGTTAATGTACTTTTGCTCCTGCCTTTTTTAATCCAATTAGAGTATAAAGAAACAAGTCATGTTAAGTTAACAAATCATATTAAGATATTCATTAATAAAAAAAACTTCATAATTCAAGATTATATTGAAAATATTTTATATTGTTTTTTATTAAATATATATACCATAAAAAAATGTAGAAAAACTCAGCTGCATGTTTTATGCAAAAGCCAGATAAATAGTTCTATTACAATTTATTAAGGTAAGAACAATTGATTCAAGCAAAGCCAGAAATTGATATTGTAAATCAAGCTGTCCAAATGTATAGGTAATATTTATGAAAAATTTATTAGAAAATGTGTTGAGTATTTCGATAGTCTATAAGACCCTATTAAATATTATTTCTTAGAGAAAATTTAAACTGCTTTAAGTGAAACTAAAACCTTGATGTTAATTATGAATACAAAAAATGATGTAGCTGAGTAATCAACAAGAAAACCTCCAAAAATTAGTTTCACAGCTGAAAAAAAACTTACCAATGAGATTGATTAAACTTAAATTAAAAAAGCAAGAGTTTAATAAGTGAATTTAATGATTAAAATTAATAATGAAGCTGAATAATAAAGTTTAGATGTAAATCAAACTATTTAATAAAGGTGTAAAATATGGTGAATAATTATGCTGACGAGAGAGAAAATTTAGAAAAAAAATTAAAGTAAGATTTAGATAGCCAATAAACTAATATTGATGCAAGATTAATGAAACGAAGAATGACGTAGAGAAATATGACTGTAAGCCATTCTATGTAATAATTAACTTGATTATCTCATTTCGAATTAAACATATGTACAAAAATTAATCATTATTGCTGTTATTATTATTATTATTTTCTAGCTTCTCCTTATCTTAATTTCTCCATTTATTTCTCTTTTCTCTTCATCTTTTTTGTCATTACCAATGGTTTTTAAGGCTCATTCTTAACTTCTTCTTTGATAGGACCATGATTAATTTTCTTCAATTTTGCATAAAAGAATCCATCCATATTATGTACATGAGGATATATACGCTCTAAATTTAATATATATTTCTTTACTTGCTAAATTCATAGAAGGATGGAATTTTTTATCATCAAATTTCAACAATCCTGGATTACCAACTTCCAAACCTGTATCAATCAATTTTACATGACGATTATTTAAAGCATATTATAATACAACTTCATTTTCATGTACACTAACTGAACAAGTTGAATAAACTATTATTCCACCTTTTTTACAACAATCAATAGCAGATAATATTAATTCTTTTTATAAATGAGAATGTTTTAAAATATCTCTCATTTACTTTTATGCTTTAATAGATGGATCTTTAGATATTATTCCTAAACCTGTGCAGGGAGCATCTAATAATACTCTATCAAAATTTTTCATAACTTTTGGAAATTTACGACCATCATAATTTGTGACTATACAATTTGTGACTCCCATTCTTTGTAAATTATAAAATAATGCTTTTTCTCTATCTTTGCTTGTATCATTAGCAAAAATAACTCCTGAATTTTTCATTAATTATGCAATATATGTAGTCTTACCTCCTGGAGCAGCTGCCATATCGAGAATACGCTCATTCATTTATGGAGCTAAAGCTAAAACTGGAAGAAATGATGATGCACTTTAAAGCATATAATGACCAGATAAATATTCAGGTGTTGCTCCAATTGGTACTTTAGATTCAAAAATAACAAGACCTACTTTAGTCCAATCTCCAACAGAGTCTAAATTTACACCTCTTTAGACTAAGGTTTAAGCTAATTCCTTTCTTCTTGTTCTTAAAGTGTTAACTCTAATAGTTATTGGTCTAGGAGCATCATTAGCATCTAAAAATGCTACTAATTCAGCTGGTTTGAACATTGATGAAAAGTGTGACATCAAATCTGAATTATATCCATAATATGTGCATAGATGCTTTTTTAATTCATTTAGCAATTCTTCTCTGCTGAATTTACCATATTCTTTTTATTTAAGTATTTCTATAATCTTATTTATTCTATTCATAATAGCATTTAGATCTGTTTCAAATAATTAATCATTTTGCTACTCTTCCTCTTAATAAGATTCTTGATCATTTTATTCATTTTCTTACTCTTCCTCAACTTATTATTATTATATTTTTATTTTTTTTTGTTTTTTTGGTTCTTCCTTTTATTCAACTATTTCTTATTCATCTTGATTTTCTTCTTCATCTTCTTCATCTCCATTTTATTCATCATCTTCTTAATCTTATTCACCATCTTAATCATCATCATTTTCTTGTTCTTCATCAACATTATTCTCATCTTCTTGGTCTTATTATTCTTCAAATTGTTCATCCTCTTATTAACCTGAGTTTTATTCATTTTGTTCATCTTCAATATTAAGTTCTTCATCATCTGATTTAATCTATCTATATGAAAATAAATTTACATCGTTATCATCATCACTTTTTAGTTCTATTACATCTTTTTACATTAGTTATTTAGCATATTTTTGAGCTAATTGTAAAGTTTGTTTAGAAAATTAAGCTTTTTTATTGCTCATCACAAATTAATTATTTATTATTTATAATAATCACTTTTTTTGTTTCTAGTTTCCTAACATTTTAGCAATGAATTCTTCGGTCTCTTTTTTTTCTGAAGTATAATGAATTTTTTAGGCAACTTTAGCATATTCTGTTAATCCAGTAGCACAAATGTCTAATAGTCCATTTAAAAAATGTTTAAACATAGACTTCATTTCTTAATTCTTATCATTAACATAAGTCTAATAATTTTATGATAATGTTGAAGATGCAAAATGTTTATCTCTTTTTGCTTCATCATGAGTCCTTTCAATTTTTTATAATTTTTCATCATTTTTAGATTTTGCTATTGCTCTCTTTTCATTCCACTCATTTTCTAATGTATTTTTTAAAATATATTATTAAAGATTCTATCTAACCTATTTAATTTAATCCAAATGACCATTAAGACTAGGTATTATTCGTTTTTCTAATAATTTCAAGAAACCAAAATCAGATGGATCATCATCCTTTTTTAATTTTTAAATAACATTAAAGAATGCTTTACCAAGTTCCATATATATCTCTTTAAGCTTGAAAATCTTTTCTCTTTCTTTTTACATTTGTTCTAATGTCTTACACAATTCATTGTATACATTATATCTTTTCCTTTCAACATCAATAATAGCAGTAAAATGGCCTTTCAATTCTTTAATTGTTTATTCATCATAATCTAAATTGGCTTTGATAGTATCATGTTAAACTGAATTCATATCAAATAATTATAAATAAATTCAAATAAATGTTAAAAAATACACCCTCAAAAGTAACTCTAAATTATCAAGAGACTTAAGAAGAAACAGATCCTGAAGGATATACTCTTATTTATGAATAAGAAATAGTATGTTAGATCGTAGTAGATGATGGAGAATAATAACAAACACAAGAAACTCTGAATGTTAGAGTATTGATATTAGGAAGTGAACAAACACTTGAGAAAATGAAAATTGAATTAAGTTGCGAAAATGATCTATTCTTTCATTTTATTCACGAGTAGAGTTAATGAATAATAATTAGAGTAAATGAAGAAACATTTCAACAGATTAAAGAAGGTTAACAATTAACAGCCTAATTTATTGATTATCCTGCTATCTGTGTAAAGTGTCTCGACAAAGCTCACAAAGACCCTAATAAGTACAGCGCTGTTTTAAGAATTACTTAAGAAGGGGATGCAGTTATTGAAATTATACAACACACCGAATACAAAAATGTCGAATTGATCCAATTCTAATTTGTCTCTTTGCCTGAAGAATCTATTCGCATGGCCATCACCAAAAAATATTAAAAAGTCAAATAAAAGCTTTAATAGATGGAAAACAAATTAAAGGATGTATAGATTTTATTTTGAATATCATTTAGATTAATGATGTTGTTAAAGTCAAAAATCCTTAACTGTTATTACAAATGCAAAGAATGAACAGATGATATAAAATAAATAAAAACTATTCATTCGATATAATTTATAATAGTTTATATAAGAATGGCTGATGAACCAGATGATTTTAAGCCAGCTCTCAAAACAATTTCAGCATCCATAAATACAACTATGGCTATTTCTGAAGATGGTGATCTATATGTTTGGGGTAAAACCTTTTTGAAGAATAAGAACATAAAGCATTTACCAACAAAACTTGGATTACCTAATTAATATTTATTTTATAGAGTTGTACATATCTCATAAGGTTTAAATCATGGAGCTGCCATTTTATAATCATGTTTAGATAAAGAATGTGAAGGTGTTATCACCAACTAGAAAGGTCAAGTGCAAACTATATTGGGAATGGTTGCAGATCAAGCAAAAAAGTTAAAGGAAAATTCAGAATAATAATAATAAAGTGAATATTTTTTATAACAATGGGATTAACCCTTTAAGGAGTTTTTTAAATCAAAAAACAATAAAACTATTTTATCTTTATAAGAATTTAGATAATTTTATAGATAAGATAAACATTTAAAGAACATCAGCTATTAAAATATATCAGAAGTTAAAACTATATTAGGAACTGGAGATGAAGCAAATAAAGATGAACCAAATGCATTTGAAAAATTTTTCATGATGGAAAAATCAAAAGATGGAAAAACCGAAATCAATATTTGTTATTATTATCAAATGTTAACATAAGAAAGTAGACCTGAATATATATCTATTGTATGGGGAAATCCAGCTAACGGTAGATTAGGTGCTCCAAAATCAAAATTTCCAAATGAAACTGATAAATAAACAATTTTCAACAATAACAATCCTTCCTAAATGGATTTCACAAGTCGATAAATGTAATAACCTTCTAGAACATAATAAGTTTAAAATTCTTAATATAATTAAACTCAAGCAGAACCAAATAATTCAGATTTTATTTAACCTATTGCATTAAAGTAGGAATTTGTAAAAATAGTTTGTGGACATCATCATACAATGGCACTCACTGAAGAAGGAGCTGTATTTATTTGGGGTATGGGAAGTTAAGGATGTTTAGGAAATGGTAGAGTAGATGATCTAGAGACACCAACCTAAATTGATATCTCAGGATTATATTTTAATGAAATAGCTGCTGGAGCATATCATTCTCTGGCTCTTGCAAAAAATAATCAGGTCTATGGATGGGGTGTAAATAATCGAGGTTAATTAGGGATTGGGAATAAAGAAAATTAACTATTACCTAAACAATTAACTTTTTTTGATAGAAAGAAAGTACAATGTTAATATCTTTATTGCGGAGACTAACACTCTGCTTGTATAACAACTAATAAAGAGTTATATACTTGGGGAAATGGAGACTATTATAGACTAGGTCATGGAATGCTATTGGATGAAATGGAACCAAAAAAAATTGAAATACTCTAAGATGTTTACGTTTTAGATGTTGCATTGGGTACGATACATTCCTTATGTATAACAAATGAAGGATTTGTTTATGCTTGGGGAAGCAGCAAGGATTCTGTATTAGGAATGCCAACTTAATAGTATAAAGATTAAACACTTCCTTAAAGAGTGGGATTAATGAGTTAAAGTTTTAGAGACGCTTCATTTTATTAGGTAGCTGCAGGAACTAGCCACTCTTTGGCTTTATCAGAAAATGGCCATCTTTATGTATGGGGTTCAAATAAAAATAGTTTGTTGGGTGTTAGATTGTAGGGATAGGAACATACATGTATTCCTTAAAAAGTTGAATAATCAGAAGATCTTGAAAAATCTTGTATTGAAAAAGCGTTATTTTTTAATTTAAAAAAAGAAGAGCAACAAATGATGAAAGATGAAAAATTGGTCACCTTTGAATAAACTACTTTGATGAAAAATATTTTATAACCTTTATAAGGATAGAGTCATGAATGCAAGTATAAGTATGCAACTTTAGGATCTAAAAATACTTACTTTATTGATAATACAGGCCATTTATATGCCTGCGGTTCTAATCAAAAAGGAATGCTATGTAAAAATCCACATAAAAAATAAAAATTCAAATAATTTATACCTTAAAAGGATCCTCCAGATATTTTATATGAACAATCATTTACACCAATTGAAATCGTTTATTTTAGAAACACAATAATCAGATATATTAGCTGTTAATACAATCATTGTATTGCTGTGACTGCTAAAGGCAATGCTTATTGTTGGGGTTCAAATTAATATAATTAATTGGGTTTAGGGTTTCAAAGTGATCATGTTTTCACTCCTATACTTTTAGAAGGAGCTATCGAATAAAAGGTTATAATAATGGCTATTACAGGAGAGAAGTTTTCAGCTCTACTTACTGATTAAGGAGAAGTGTGGAGTTTTGGAACTTCAGAATTTGGTGTACTTGGACATGAACTCAAAAATTTTTATGTTATAATGGAACCAAGAATGATTAATGATATTCCATCCATGATTAATTTAGCTTGCAGTAATTAAACAATGTTTGCAATAGATTAAAAATAATAATTATGGGCTTGGGGAAATAATTAATTTGGATAGTTAGGAATTTCATTATAAAGAGATGAAGAAGAGATTAATTTATAAACAAATAAATAAGTGAGTAGCGAATTTTTAGAGTGGAAAGCTCAGTTAAAATCCTTAAAAAATCCTGAAAGATATATTGTATATTAACCAGATAAACCAAGCACAAGATCTATAACAGGAGAAGCCTTTGTTGATTAGGTGTCTTGTGGATTGTATCACACATGTATAATAACCACAAATTAAGAATTACTAACTTGTGGTTTAGCTAAATATTCAGGTCATCAAAGCTAAGAACCAGAAGATCCTGAACAATAGTAAGCACAATAAGCTTAATTCATTGATGCTTTTTCCTCAACTCTTGAACATTCAAGTAAAAAGTTTAAATTGGTTGCTTGTCACGAATATCACACTGTAGCAGTTACAGTTTCAAATGATTTGGTATTTTTAGGTCCAGAGGGTAAAGAAAGAGGACTTCATGAAAAATTTGCCAATTTATTTAGGGATGGAAAGCAAATGCCTGAAGAATTGCAAAATATTAAATTTGTAGCATGTGGTCCTAACCACGCTTTAATCTTAAATGATTAAGGATAAACTTATACATGGGGTGCAACGATGGGTGGTAGATTAGGATTACATATAAATGAAATAGGATTATTGGATGGATAGGAGAAATTAACTATTCCTTACCCTACTAAGATAGAATGTGAAGTTTGCAAAGATAATAAATTATAAGCAAAAAATAATAAGGATAAAGATAAAAGTTCTGCACCAAAAAAGAAAGAAAAGAAGAAAAATAAAAGTTCAAAAGCAAAGAAAAAAGCCCCTGGAGGCGATTAATAATTAGATGTTTCTATAGAAGATGAAGAAATTTTAGATGAGGAAAGTTTTCACTCAGAAGAAGGACCAGGAGTAAGAGTTCAAGATCCGCTGTAAAAAGGACTTAGTAAATAGTCATAAGAATGTGAATAAGAAAACTTATATTTGTAAGATGCTGAAATAGAGAAAAAAGTGTAATTCATCTTTAAAGATTCTGCAATTCAAGCTTATGAATTGTAAAAAATGTATACTGAAATAGTATCAAAACTGAGTTGGAGTATCGATTATAGAGCTAGACAATTAGCTGCAAAAAATTAAAGTAGATAAATTACAAATTTAAAGTTTTCAGTTCCATAATTTATTGTAAAGAATATTTAATTGTACGAATGTATATTTTCTTGTATGTATCATCATCCTTGTTATATGATTAAATTGATTCAAGCAAATTAATTAAATAAGTTTTAATTATTGAAATTCATTAAAGTGATTTTTAAAAATGATTTAATGGAAGCTTAGAATTAAAGTATCATTTTAACTCTAGCTATAAAATCTTTCGAAATTGAGTTCAACAATGCAACCAATTAATTAGATTACATATCAGAGCTGAAATTGTTTAAAAGTTCGTCTGTTTTTTTATAAATCTACTATATGTTCATATAAAAAGATGAAGATGCTTTTAAATATTTTGATGAGGTTGCAAATCTTTTAATCAAGGGATTCGCCTTTTCTAAAATATTAGAAGAGATTCATAATTTTGAAAAAAGACCTGAAGAAGCAGAGAGTGATGATCATAAACTAAAAAATTTCTTTAATTTTCACTAAGAAAATGCTAATAGCAAAGAAATATAAGCTAAATATGATGTTTTAACAGAATTAATAATATTTTACATAAAATCAATTGTAGATAGAAAGGAGAAATGTAGAATTAAAGGTGATGAAATGATATCATCTCATATAAAATATTTGCATAATTAAATAGTTCAAATAATGAAAAAGAAAATACTTAAAGACGAATTAGTTAGAATCACAGAGGTTGTTGAAGAAGAATCAAAGGTTTAATAGAAGTTATAAAAATTTTAAGTCAAATTAGATGAAAAGATTGGGTCATTTCTATTACACCTTTATTATGGGTCAATCACTGAATTTATTCTAAAATTTTAGGATCAAATTTAAAGTATGCCAGAAGAAATTCGACCTTTTTTACTTAATGATTAAAACCTTAGATAAATTGCTTAAACAATTGATAGATTCTTTTAAAAGGATGTTATGTTACCTAATAAATATAATTAAAATTTAAATAAGATAATATCAAGTAGGATTCTTCCAAAAATAAATTTACTTGGTATTTAAGATGTAGCATAAGATTTACAAGGATTTGTTTAATTTAGTGTTGAAAATTTAAATATGATTGAGTTAATTCAAGAATGCTTTGAAATTAAAGATAGATATATGTAAGTTGAAATCTAAGATATTCTATTCTTATAACATTTTTATTGTTCATAAATTTTAAATAATGGACTGTAAGCAGTATCAAAGTTTTTTGCAAGAGGAATGAAAGATCCAATTTATATAATCTTTAGGCATTTAGAATTTAGAGAAATATAAGTAAACATGTTTAGTACTGAAATATTAAAGAGAAAAATAAACTTAAAATTAATGCCTACCCCTATCATGTAATTGATTCGAAAATCTAATGAAATAGGATTATATAAATGCGAAGATTGTTCAATTTTATTAACAACAGAGTATATCACAGCAGAAAAGCTTAAATCGCTCCAAAATTTATTTGCTAATGGTTGGAGTTGCGCAGCTGGTCATCATAATAATATAACTGTATTGGATTGTGAATCTCCAGGATGTAGTAATTTTATAACAGACTAAGCATTAAAAACAATGAGAGTGCTTAGATTTTATTATAGAGAAAAAGATGATAATATAGATATGCTTGTTGAAATTTTAAGTAGCATACCAACCATTCCAAAGGGGATAAATATGTATAACTTTTTAAAAGATTTATAAAAAACAAACTGGGTGAAAAGAAATTCAAGATTAACAACCAAAATTGAGCAATTTTTATCGAAAATTTTCCCAAGTGAATTAACAGATCCATTTATAAGATCAGAAACAGAAGATGCCGAATTAGCTTTATAATAAGTGACCGAGGAATAAAAAGAAGCATGGGCAGTATTAGCAGCATAAAAAAAAATGTAAAGAGAGGAAGCTTTACATAAGTAATATAAGATAGTTTATGAGAAAGCAATAATTTAAATGAATGAAAGATCCTAACACAGAGCATTGTAAATTACATATAATGATCTAATTCGACAATTAGAATTAACAAGAAGTGAAATGAAATCAGATTTGCATAAAGAAATCAAAATGATTAAATAATACTAAGATTTTATTCAACAAAACATTAGAGTTTATGGTGAAGGAGAAGTTTAATAGCCAGAAAGGGCCAAAGGGTAAGCTTATGGATTTTATACATCAGCAAACATGTTTTAAGCCAAAGCTTTGGTCAAATTAACATTTTAAAATCGACAAATTCCAAAGATTTTGAAAAATATCAAATTCTATTTTTTTGGATAATCTGATGGTGGTTGGGACATCTAATTAGTGTATTTATAAGATTCATTATTGAATCTTTTAGTGACTTGCATAGAAGCTATATATCCAATAGAATTATCATTATATAAGATCAGCATACCTATTGATTAATATCTAGAACTAAGAAGAATGGCTAAATATCGAACTTAAATTACTTTCAAATCCAAAAATATCGAAATTACTTTTAATATAGTTTAATTAATTAGTATATTTAACTAGCTAGAAGCTAGATTAATCAAATGAATAATAAATATGAATAATTAATCATCATATCATTAATTTTTTGTTATATTTCTTTTTTAATCTTTACAGAGCTTTCTAATCTTCAAATTTATTATTTGTTAACACTAATTAAAACCCTTCAATAGTTTGGTTCAAAAATTTTTCAATTTAAACAAAAGAATTCTCATCAATTTAATTCAATGATAAATTTAACAATTACAACTTCTAATTTCTCATAATATACCAATTATTATCAAACTGTTAGATTGTTTCTAATACTGGAACTACTTCTTCAGTACCTTTCTTCTTTACTTTTTTATTCCTTTCTATTATTTAATCCCTTTCTTTTTCTTTTATTCGATAATCATCATATTCATCTTAACTCATTAAAAATTTACCAACATTTTGCATGATTTCAGATAATTAATCTAATGAGTTTATCTAATTTTTTGCTAATCCTAGCTATTCTAAAAATGTATTTTCCTTAAGAGCTGTTCCTATTAAATTAAATGCTTCTTTTGATAATTAATTATCATATAAATCTAATACTTTTAAATTTCTCATATTTTAGCATAGAATTTCAATAAAAGGTAACTCTATATAAAGAGAATTAAAATACTTATTTAGCATGATCTCAAATATAATTATTCTAATAAATGATTTGATTAAAAGAGTTATGGTTAAATTTATTACCAATCAATGTACAATTTTTTTATTTTACATTCAGCATTACTTATGAGTTAAGAAATAATTTAATATTCAGCTTAACCTAAATCATTATTGCAAAATTTTAGAGTTTGAACTCCACTCTGATATGAACAAAATTCAAGTAATTTTAATGTTATTATATCAACTTTCACCTATATTAATCTGATTATATACAGAATTAAAAAAAACAACCTAAGAAGTTTGATCATTTTCATATTCCTCTGGATTTTTGAACTTTTTGTTTTCATCGAAATCATTTATGTCCAAACTTTGAATAACTTTTACAAATGTTGGATGGAGAGTGATTCCGATGGATTAACACAATATCTGCATATTATCTTAAATATTGTTTTTCATCATTTATAATAATTCTGGTTTGAAGTATGTCAAAAATTATGACACTTAATCCAAATTATCTTGCTAATAGGTTTGATACTAATAGAAAGGAAAGGTGGTTTATGAAAAGATTGGTTCAAGGGGCCTTCTTTCTTCTTTTTTTGGTGGCATAAATTAATAAATAAAATATATTATGATTCAAATGGGTGTCTTCTATTAATGCACCAATTTAACAACTGGATTAATGTAGTACAATTAGAATCTCAAAGAAATAAATTCTTAAATGCAAAGTGAAACCAAAGGGTTATAAGAAAGTGTTGCTACACTTCACTAAGCATTTGAGGAAACTGTGTTCAAAATTAATTAAATATAGAATTAAGTATTTGAATTAGAGCAGCAACTCTATTCTTAAAGATCCAAAACATTGATTGAATAAAAGAAAGGGCAAGTAGCTAGTTATGTTTCAGAAAGAGAGAAGACATTGAATGATTTGAGGAATTCATTATAATAGCTCATATGAAAATAAATATTAATAGTTTTCAGATAAATATTTTATAGTTAGTAATTGCTACTTAGATATTACAATTTTCTTTTTTGAAGTGATAATTTTGGCATTTTTACTTAAAAAAAAAAAAGGTGGAGATCTAGTTTCTATTTTATGAATAATATTTTTCCAACTATAAGCCTAAGAGATCACAAATTCAAACTAAAATGTAAATATGAATAGTAATTTAAGAATTAGGAATTTTTATTTCTTACTCATAAAATAATATTGAAAGAATATAATACTTTTAATTTATGATAGATAAACATCAAATAACGAAATATGACAATTCAATGTTTTAAGATTCTTTTTGTTGGTCGAATAAATGTCTGTGCATTAAAAGAAACAATAAACAATGATTCAAATTGAAATTTTCTGGTCTGATTGAGTAAGAAAGTATCACTTTTATCTTTACAGTAAACTGAATTCAAACATAAAAAAATAAGGATTCTGTATAAAAAAAAATTAGAACATACTTTTTTCATTATGAATTTAAGAAACTTAAAGTAATTGAAATTACAATAATAAAAAGAAAATGAGCATTTGCTCAGATCATGCAACCTATGTTTATATTTGTAAAGAAGACCATAATGTAGTAGGAAGCTTTGCCTTTAATGTTTATATTGCTAAAGAAGATATTTAAAAACTTTTAGAAGAGTTATAAAATAATCAAGATGAATTAAAAGTGGGGAGTTAGTATTAGAGAAATATAAAATAAATAGAAATCTTGTTTACAATGATATTAACATTATTCATTGAATAAAGTTGGATCTTCTGAAATTTAACAGTTGATCAAACTTTAAAACAATTTTAAAAGAGAATTAATAAAACATAAAGCTTATAGAAAGATAGTATCCACAATAAGTAGCTTCGCATAATGATTAAGATTAAATAGTGCTTTAAACAATTGGAAAAATCAAAACTAATCAGTTTTTGAGAAGGCAAAATAAATATAACAGAGTTTAAAGAAGATGAATGTAAGATGTTTTAGCAGAAAATATAAAAAGAAATTAATTAGATTAAGTAAACATAAAATTGAAAAAGGGAAGTAATGTTCATCACAATAAATAACTTATAGCAAGAAATTCATAAAGAAATAAAGGAGATTAGGTAGATATCAGATTGATAAGTTCATAATATTGAAAAGGGCAATAATTCATTAAAAATCTTTCGCATTAAAATTATAAAAGACTTAATAAAAAAAAAAATCTAATTCAAATTAATTAAAAATAACAATTCCATGAAAATCTTTTGAATTATTTTTCGCATCAGCTTCATAATGTTCATTTAAGTAACTTTTTCAATATTAATCATTTGAGTATATAAAAATCTGATAATCCTCGTTATTTTAATCTATAATGAAATCATAATTATTTTCAAAATGCAATTCTAATAAGAGATCAAAGAAAGTAAGTGATTCACAATTATGCAATACAATAAAAAGAGTTATTTTTAGAAAATCTCAGAAAAAAGAGATGAAAAATTAGCTAGAAATTAAATGATTGAAATGGAATTAAATAAAAGGTTTTATAAAATGTACTACTATACTTCTTGTAATTTAAAAAAAAAACAGAAAAATAATCCAACAAAATTTAAAGTATGATAGAAATTAAAAAACAAATAATTTTATTTTAAGAAATTTGACTGTTAAGTGTTAATAGTGCTAGTGAGAAAATTGTCTCATAATATCCTATAATTTTAAACAATAATATTTAAATACTTAAAAGATAAGAAAAAAATTAAATCAATATATAAAATATTTATTTAACATTTTAAGGATGATATATGGTTAGGTAACTTATAATCGCTCCACCAGAGGAATTTGTTAACATTTAATCTTCTACTCTTATCCTGAGGACTCATTTTTGCTCAATCAGAGCCTATAAGTTAATCGGTATATCAGAATGGATCATGTCTTTTTGAAAAAGAAATAATTCTTTCTGTTCTGATTTTACACTTTTAAATTCAAAGGTGACCTGCAGTCTAATCTGAATCGGAAGTTAAAATTTGGCACTTATTGGGCCTTATCCGACAAATCTATTGATAATCAGAATCGCTTCTTTTTAAGCAGCAGAGGTCAATCCTTATAAACCTTTCATTAGGACCTTTTTAAGAAAAGCCCTATCTTGCCAATTGAAAGCCACCTTTCTTCAACCTCTACTTTGTACTAAAAACAAAGTTAATTTAATAATAATAGAATAGGAAATGATTGTAATCTTATTTATTAATTTTTCTTAATCCAAAGCTTAATTAAATTATTGAACTATTTGGTTCTGTTGTAAATTTGTGAAAAAGTTAAAAAATCTTATTTGTACATCTGTAAGTTAGTAGTGGAGCGCCGTCCTGATTTTTTAATTGCTTTAATTGAAAATTTCTTTTAACTTTTTGGTGTTAATTAGTCAGCAATACAGAAATAACTTTTCATGAATTCTTTCAGATTTCGACAATCTTATTATTGTAACAATTTTAAATTTTTAATTATTAAACAAAAATTGAAGTGGCTATCAAACTATATCTTCAATTAAACTGACCCATTTTTAATTAACAACTTAGCAATATTTATTAGAGAAAGATATAAAAAATTAAAATCTTTTAATTTATATGATTTTATTTTTTCTCTGCATAATAATTACTATTATTTAAAGAGGTTATTTCTTAATCTTTTTAATTTTGTTTAACAGTTTTTGATATAAACGCTTTAGAATGTTTAAGATTACCTTGCTTAATTAACTAGTCTATTATAAAAGGAAATTAAATAAAATATTATCATAGAGATGTAAAGTTTTTAGTTTTATTTATTAACATGAATTTATTGTAATTATAACAAAGCATTAGAGTTAATAATAGTATTGCTTTATTAATTGAAATTTTTTGAATCATTTGAAGGGGATTTATTATATACCATTCTTTATTATTTATTATGTGAAATATTCATAAAATGAATTTTACATTTATAAATATGGATATGAATAATAAAAAATTCATTTGGTTTGGTTCTTCAGAAATATGGGTAATTTCTTAACCTTTTAATTGAACTGTATATTTTACATGTTGCTGTATAGATATTAATTAATTTCATTAAAATCATCTTGAAGGTAAAAGAGATTATACATCATCTCATTGATTAATAATGTTTATCATGTTAAGATATTGATAAGTATTTTTGAAAGTTGCTTTTTGGATGTATGTAAGAATTTACATAGAGCTTAAGTTAATCAGTATTTAAGATTATTTGATAATTGTTAGGAAAGATATAATTATTATCTCCTTTAATCTTAATCCTTTCACAAATATCATATTGATGATGATTAATCTATTTTTAAGTCTTTTTAACAACTAATACTTTTAGTATAAATTGAAAAATAATAATATCAAGTTATGAAAATATTACCAAGAATAGAGTAGAGTAATTTTTAAAATCATTTACTCTCCTATTTTATATATTTAATCATTCACTCTCCTATTTTATATGTTCTTCACTCTCTTCCAACTTAAACAACTACTCCTATAGCTCCTTTATCTATTCCTTCTCTTATTAAACAGGGGGCTATTATTAAACAACTTCATTCTTAAATCTACAATCATATTCAATATTCTACAACACTACATCCCCTTTTTAACAATCTAGCTTATCATTTTAATCATCTTTATCCACTTAATTATCTTCCTCATGTTTAAATTTCTCCATCTAGGCAAACTCTTCATCTAACTATTTCATCACCTCGGCATAATATTTCTCCTCCTCGGCATTCCTTTTCTCCCATTCTCTATTCTTATATTCCTTATCAAACTCCCTAGTTCCCATCGGATTCGTATAAATGTACTCTCCATCTNTAATTACTATTATTTAAAGAGGTTATTTCTTAATCTTTTTAATTTTGTTTAACAGTTTTTGATATAAACGCTTTAGAATGTTTAAGATTACCTTGCTTAATTAACTAGTCTATTATAAAAGGAAATTAAATAAAATATTATCATAGAGATGTAAAGTTTTTAGTTTTATTTATTAACATGAATTTATTGTAATTATAACAAAGCATTAGAGTTAATAATAGTATTGCTTTATTAATTGAAATTTTTTGAATCATTTGAAGGGGATTTATTATATACCATTCTTTATTATTTATTATGTGAAATATTCATAAAATGAATTTTACATTTATAAATATGGATATGAATAATAAAAAATTCATTTGGTTTGGTTCTTCAGAAATATGGGTAATTTCTTAACCTTTTAATTGAACTGTATATTTTACATGTTGCTGTATAGATATTAATTAATTTCATTAAAATCATCTTGAAGGTAAAAGAGATTATACATCATCTCATTGATTAATAATGTTTATCATGTTAAGATATTGATAAGTATTTTTGAAAGTTGCTTTTTGGATGTATGTAAGAATTTACATAGAGCTTAAGTTAATCAGTATTTAAGATTATTTGATAATTGTTAGGAAAGATATAATTATTATCTCCTTTAATCTTAATCCTTTCACAAATATCATATTGATGATGATTAATCTATTTTTAAGTCTTTTTAACAACTAATACTTTTAGTATAAATTGAAAAATAATAATATCAAGTTATGAAAATATTACCAAGAATAGAGTAGAGTAATTTTTAAAATCATTTACTCTCCTATTTTATATATTTAATCATTCACTCTCCTATTTTATATGTTCTTCACTCTCTTCCAACTTAAACAACTACTCCTATAGCTCCTTTATCTATTCCTTCTCTTATTAAACAGGGGGCTATTATTAAACAACTTCATTCTTAAATCTACAATCATATTCAATATTCTACAACACTACATCCCCTTTTTAACAATCTAGCTTATCATTTTAATCATCTTTATCCACTTAATTATCTTCCTCATGTTTAAATTTCTCCATCTAGGCAAACTCTTCATCTAACTATTTCATCACCTCGGCATAATATTTCTCCTCCTCGGCATTCCTTTTCTCCCATTCTCTATTCTTATATTCCTTATCAAACTCCCTAGTTCCCATCGGATTCGTATAAATGTACTCTCCATCTTTTACCACTACTAATTTTCTACCATCAATCTCTATAATAACAAAGTCCATGAATTTAATATTTATATTTATATATTTTATCAATAAGTTTTTATATCACATTTTTCGTACTATCAATCGGTAACTAATCAGAAATGAGGATTCAAGTTTCATAATTTTTTGGTATTCCCTAGATAGGTTTCCATAATCGTTTGCAATATAATNGATTACCTTGCTTAATTAACTAGTCTATTATAAAAGGAAATTAAATAAAATATTATCATAGAGATGTAAAGTTTTTAGTTTTATTTATTAACATGAATTTATTGTAATTATAACAAAGCATTAGAGTTAATAATAGTATTGCTTTATTAATTGAAATTTTTTGAATCATTTGAAGGGGATTTATTATATACCATTCTTTATTATTTATTATGTGAAATATTCATAAAATGAATTTTACATTTATAAATATGGATATGAATAATAAAAAATTCATTTGGTTTGGTTCTTCAGAAATATGGGTAATTTCTTAACCTTTTAATTGAACTGTATATTTTACATGTTGCTGTATAGATATTAATTAATTTCATTAAAATCATCTTGAAGGTAAAAGAGATTATACATCATCTCATTGATTAATAATGTTTATCATGTTAAGATATTGATAAGTATTTTTGAAAGTTGCTTTTTGGATGTATGTAAGAATTTACATAGAGCTTAAGTTAATCAGTATTTAAGATTATTTGATAATTGTTAGGAAAGATATAATTATTATCTCCTTTAATCTTAATCCTTTCACAAATATCATATTGATGATGATTAATCTATTTTTAAGTCTTTTTAACAACTAATACTTTTAGTATAAATTGAAAAATAATAATATCAAGTTATGAAAATATTACCAAGAATAGAGTAGAGTAATTTTTAAAATCATTTACTCTCCTATTTTATATATTTAATCATTCACTCTCCTATTTTATATGTTCTTCACTCTCTTCCAACTTAAACAACTACTCCTATAGCTCCTTTATCTATTCCTTCTCTTATTAAACAGGGGGCTATTATTAAACAACTTCATTCTTAAATCTACAATCATATTCAATATTCTACAACACTACATCCCCTTTTTAACAATCTAGCTTATCATTTTAATCATCTTTATCCACTTAATTATCTTCCTCATGTTTAAATTTCTCCATCTAGGCAAACTCTTCATCTAACTATTTCATCACCTCGGCATAATATTTCTCCTCCTCGGCATTCCTTTTCTCCCATTCTCTATTCTTATATTCCTTATCAAACTCCCTAGTTCCCATCGGATTCGTATAAATGTACTCTCCATCTTTTACCACTACTAATTTTCTACCATCAATCTCTATAATAACAAAGTCCATGAATTTAATATTTATATTTATATATTTTATCAATAAGTTTTTATATCACATTTTTCGTACTATCAATCGGTAACTAATCAGAAATGAGGATTCAAGTTTCATAATTTTTTGGTATTCCCTAGATAGGTTTCCATAATCGTTTGCAATATAATTCTATGATGATTTTGATTTTCCATGATTAGAATTTGATGTTGATGATTTATTATTGTAATTTGGTGATGATGTTGATTCTTCATTATTAGAATTTGATGATTATGTTGATTATTTATTATTGTAATTTGATGATTTTTCTGTTTCTATCCACAGTTATAATTTGATGATGATGTCTAGTATTGATTATTTTAATTTGATGATTATGTCGATTATCTGTCAGTATTATTGGATGATGATTATCTATTTTATCCCTTCTTAAAATTATTAGTTTATTCATTTTATTTCATCTCTTATTCATCGATATAACTTTTTCTTTATTATTTTACTTTTTTTCTTTGTTTTTACTTTATGCTAGTTTCTATGTTTATTCTTGATTTAATTAAACTATTTTATTTTATTTTTCTAATTTTTTGATCATCTTTTTGGTCTAGATGCTATTGCTTTTAATATTGGTTAGACTTTTTTTATTATCTTTTTATTAGTTATTTTAATCTTTATATTCATTATTATAATCTTACTAATCTTTTTTGTTATTTTCTTGTTTTATTTTTTCACGTTCTTTTTCTTCTCCTTCTCTTTTTATTGCTTAAAATAATCTACTTCTTCCTACATTTTATTGAGTTCATCAGAAATGTCAGCATCAAAGCTACTTTTAAGCAAATCCTAAAGTTGTGTTTTGATATTACATATCGATTATTTTATTTAATAATTGTCTGACTTTATTGTGACTCCTAAATATCGTTTTACTCCAAGGAATTCTAAACCCCATTTTATTACAAATAGTATTTTTAATATCGAATTTACTATACCTTTTGACAAATTCATTATACTTAGAATTGCTTACCAATTCCAATCAACTTTAAGGTAACTATGTTCCTTTTCGTTGTTAGAAAATTTAAAGAAAAAATTAAATTTAAATTAAAGCCTAATATAGGATTAAAACCAAATTCAAAACCGCATTTATTTATTTTTATCAATCCAGTAATATCTAAAAAAAAATCTGTTTCCAAATTTCCTTTAATTTTATACAAAAAGTAATTGATGTTACATTCAAAAGAATATTCTTGAAAATGTAATTTCAAACTTACAGGAAAACCTTACCCCAATTTGTATTTTGACTCTAATTTATATTTTAATCCAAATTTTTCAATATGGAAATCTGCATTACAATCAAAGCTCCCTTTTAATACATACATTTTGTAAGTTAAATTAATTTCCTTTAATAAATACATTAAATTTTTATTTTTCACTAAGCCTTTTCCAATATATGTATTTCCATTGTTGAATAATAGAGAAGTATTTGAAGCAAAATTTTTATCTTCTTCTTTAGTCATTATGAAAACAGGACTATAAATTTTCCAATATTTAAACATTATTTCTCAATCCTTAAATTGAATTTTAAATTTTGAAAAATCAAATGAATCAAATTTTTCCAAAGGTGTTGTACATTTAGTATCCGATAATTTGTACATTAATTTTTGAGGAAGCTAAGGATATCAATATCTATTTGCTGATTGATAAACAATCTTCTTTGTGTTTTTTTCAAATATTTCTACAAAATTTCTTGGAAAAATTTTATTCATATCAAATTTTTATAATGAGTTGTTAAAAGTTTTATTATCATAATTAAAAAGAATCACTTTGACATCATTTTCATATATTTTTCCTGTTAAATTTCCAACAGATTAAATTATCTATTATTTTTTCACTTTTTATTAAAAAACCCTTTAAATTCTATCCCATTTATTGCAAAAGGCTTTTATAACAAAGATTAATCAACCTCCTAATGAATCATTATCAACTTTCATCTGACCTTTATACGTTAGGCTTCCAAAATCTTGGTAAAATTATTTCATCTCTAATATAATATAAAAATCATTGTTATTTTATAACTTAATATTAAATTGACAATTAAAATTAAAATTTTATAGTATAATTCTTGACTTTCTGCAAGAAGAAATTTACTTTCTTCGTTAGAGATTTATAAATATAATTTTTTTTGTATTAGCATTATTCTTTTTATAATAATAAATTTTTATACTTATGACTTATTACATACAGAATTGTTTTATTGTATTCCTTCCTCTCGTAATTTCAGATTAATTTCATTGTTAAGTGATAACAAAGAATTGATTATCTGCTCTCTTAGTTCTTAATCGTTAATGATAGAGTTTTAAAGTTTGAATGAGCTAAACATTGATATTTTTTGCTTAATGATGCAATTCTCAATTCAATATTAGAATTGCTTGATTCATAAATAATATAGAATAACTTATAGTTATATGAATAATATAAATTTGACTTCTATTTTTAACTGATTCATTTTTCTTGTTAATCTTCTCTCTTTCAGCATAATTAATTGTAATTTTCCAGGTTAATATTAAGAGATTGGAATATATCTGAAACAAAATCAGATTTACTCCTGGAAATAAATAAGGTGGTAAAGTTTTTTTTTTTAGAGTTTAAAAGAGTCGATAATTTCTAATAAGTATTAATAATTTTGAATAGTTTATTCTAGTATTTCCTTGAATAGCTTTCTTCTCTTCCTTTAATTTAAGCTGCAAATGGGGTTTTGCTACCCCCTTTACCACAAGAAGTAATAGAGAGGAGTGGATGTAAAGGAGGATTCTGAAGGAGAAGGAGGGGATAAGCATGAGAAATTAAAATTATTCGAAGAATACAAAAATAATGTAAAATTGAATTTCTAAAATTAAAGTATAATATTTTCTAAACAACTTTAAAATTAAATCAAGTTTAAAAAAAAAAAAATTTCTATTAATAAAGAATTAAAAAATATTTATAAACCTTATTGATGAAAGGTGAATAATCGATTAATTTTCAGTTTGTAATCATCAACAAAAAATACACATATATAGTATTGTAGGGGGTTAATCTCATTTTTATAGAATTGAAAAATTTGATTACTAAAAACATTATATATTATGGATATGTGTAATATACTGTTATTCTTGGTAATTTCTTAATGAATATATTTAATTTTGAAATTGAACTAGATGATGAATTCATCAAAAATAGATACAGTTTTAAAAGCTAAAAAATGTTGAGGGATATTCTTTTTATCTAAATATTAATTAATGTATTCAAAATTATCTTCAAGGTAACATTGATTATACATATCTCAGTCATTTATAAATGTTAATTAGTTAATGTACTTTTTCAGTCTTTTATGATGTCTCATACTTTTAATATCGATTGAAGAATAATAATCAATGGTGATATGTACGTTACTTTCAATATTAAAAATCATCCAACCTAATTGTTAAATTCTTGGCGTATTTTGTTTTTATAATTTATTTTTATTAAATCTATCTTCTACCATTATAAAACTATTTATACCAATAATTTGTTATATGATCGTATAAAATTTCACTTTTTTCATATTTCATATACAAAATGAAAAAGTCAACTTTAATAAATAGTCGAAACAGTAAGGCCTATCAGTTGTTATAAAAAAAAATTATGAGGAAAGATAAGTATGAAGTTTAACATAAAATATTGAATAAATTTAGAATTACTTTAAAAAATCCTGAAAAAAAAATAATATTCAATAAATTTCAATATACAATACAATCTTCTTTTTTCTTTATGTCAAAGTTTTTTATAGTTTCCAAAAGGCAACTTCCTTTAGATTTAAATAAAGGTTTTAAATCTTTCCCTTAATGGTTGATGAATTCTCCTTATAAGATAAGTGTTCCTTGTGCTTCTAATAAAGGATTCTAACAAATCCTAAGTATTGTATGATCTGGCTCAACTAAATAATAATAAATAACAAATACCATTTGGTAATAATGAGCTATTCTAAAGTGGTATTTTCAATTATTCAAGAATATCTTTGTAGTTTTTATCAGAGGATTTAATTTCTTATCCTGTCTTTACATCCCATAGGCGGATAGAGTAATCTTCACTACCAGAAGTTAATGTATTTCCATCAGGAGATAAAGAGACTGAGTTAATAAAATTACTATGACCATCTAATTTGGCTTTTTATTATCCTGTTTTGACATCCCATAGACG